GGATAAATCTCACAATGGCAGTTTCCCACGACAGGATGTTGGAAGGTCTGGTCTGGACCTCGACCGAAATTCGACCTGGCTTTCACTGCTGACCTGTCCAAGCTGGTCACGTTTTCACGGACCTACAGATCGCAGGAAAAGAATGGTGCAGCTTTTTTGAGCAAGGGGCAAAGTGCTCGGTAAGCGAGGTGGTTTTGAAGATCTCCCGAGCTATAGCTGGTGTGTGATTTCAAAATATTTCAAATACCATCTGGTTATTTACAATAGCTATGGAAAATCACCATTTTGTAATAGGTAAGCCATCTATTTCTATGGGCCATCTATACCATGGCTATGTTAGTCATAACCAGGTTGGGTAAATTTTGATGACTTGATTGTTCCCCATGGCATGATGACACCCTCCGGTTTTCTCAAACATGGCAGTGGAGATGCCTCATTTATGCTTGGTTTTCCCAGCAAACCTCATTGAAGCCCTCTGTTTGTAGGGGAATTTCCAGGCCAGCCACGTTTCCAGTAGGTGTTCAGGAACATAGTTGCAGTAGGCTTGGAGATACCATGCTCAGAGTGAAACTACGTGAGAGTTTCAACATTGAAAGACCTTGGTGATGTTTCGTGGCCAGCCATATTTTGAGCCATGGAGCACTATCATATATTATATATATTATATCATATTCAACCTCGCAGTCAAATTTCCTCTTGGGTCAGGTACGCACCTGAATATCATATTGTTGGTTATACCACCAATTATGTCATGCCGCATCAAAACATCGGATATTTCCAATTGATATTTCACATATCATTATAACATACCATTCATTAATATCTAATTAATTAGTTTTTTTTTTTTAAAAAAAACTTTTAAAAAAAACTAACATCACTATTTTTATATAAGAAATAGATAGAAATAATATCTAACAAACATTCATTAATGATGATTAATTAGTGATCATTAATATGTATAACTATATATAATTATATATGTACATCACCCCACTGAATCCTGATGTGCCATATGTTCAATCATTCAAAAAAGCCTATTAGTTCATATCCAATAAAAAACATTTAAACACCCACTAAATCTCGGAAAAAAATGAGAAAAGTGTGTCCATGTTCATCTCCACTAAAATCCCATTAATTTCCATGTTTAAAACCCATGACATCCCATTAAAACCCAATAAAACCCATTGAAATCCCATTAAATTCCCATTAAACCATATTAAACCATCCATTTTCATATCTAATGATCTTTTTTTTTTTTTGTAATTTCAAATCCATTTTCAGAATTCCATGATCCATCACCTCATATCGGAGTTTTTGGGCCAGGATGAGTGGCAAGATGACTGGGACAGGGGCCAAAGGGGTCCCTTCTTCCTGGCAAAGGATACTCTGCAGGTTCGGGGACGGGGACGTCGTCGCCGTCGATGATGTTCGATTCGGTAAACATCGTGGTGTTTTTGTAAAAACAGGGGATTTGTTTGTGGTAACAACTGAAGGGGTTATCCTAGTGGGAGTTGTTTAGTGGGATGTTTGTGGGAATTTCATGGAATTTTCATGAATTTTCATGGATTCTAGAGATTTTATGGGGCTTGTTAAGCAACAGAAATTTGTGCTTTGAGAGATGGAGGAAGAGTTTTTCTATCTTGCAGCGATTTTAGGACTTGAGGCACCATTCAGACGTCGTTGGATGGCCCTTTTTCAAGTGTTTTTCCTCGCTTGGCTGAAGATCACTGGTCAAAACTACCTCACAAGTGGTGCATTTTGCATCATCTTGCCAGATGAGACAGGGTGTTTCCCATATGGTGTATACATATCTCAACATATCTCAACGCTTCAATGGAAAAACGGCTGCACTTCACAAGGGGTGCTGGCTCTCCATGTCGATTTACCCAGACCTCAAGGCTTCCGTTTTGTTCCTTGGTTATGCCCTAATGTCGTGAACAAATATCCCCACTTGATTGATTCCATTTGCAGCAAGCTTTGTTGCGCATATTGCAATATTCCAAGGTTTTCTAGGGACATTGATCACCCACGATTTTAAACTGGATGGCCCTGTTGGTTCTCAAATTTCTTGACCTCTTCCAGTTCCAGGCTTCTCCATTTTTGTCATCCTATGACATTTTGAAAGAGGCTGCGAACATTTCAGAATCCCATGCCTAGTTCATGTCAGTTGGATGTTCACCATTTTGCTGTGAAGTACTGTACATACGTAGTTATGTTAAACTACCAGAGGATGCCTTCATCTCGGTAGTATTTTATAGATTTCATCTAATTAATGGATTCATAATTAGCAATAATTAGTTGTAATCCAATTATGAATATATTTAAGGTTTTTGCTGTTTTCGGTTCTGTTCAAGTAGTGGGTAATTTTGCTGTATTTTTTTTTTTTAATTCTATAGATTTAATCCAGTTCATGTTCTACTTATCAAAATATCTCAAAATTACCAACAGTATTGTTACGATAGTCAATAATACCACTAATAATAATGATGATAGTAATAATAAAATTAATATACGTATAGATCATTGTCACAATTTGTATTATCAATAATTGGTTTCGAATCAAATTTGATAATTCTTATTTATCAAACATCTGATAATTGTATTGATATCAATTCAACAGTTATCAAATAATTACTGTATTAAAATCAATAATCAAATCATATTATGATAATTATTATCAAATTTGATTCGACATTTGAACATTACACCGCAAGGGTTACGGTGGACAACATTTCAGGCCATGAAGAAGAGCTGCGAGTGGGGTGGTCGTTTCAGCCACGCCCGGGAGCCCGTTTGGAGTGTTAATTTAGGGCTGGTTTATAAAGATGTATGTCTATAGCGGAGTTATATGTCTATATACATGTTAATACTATTTTATACTAGATGTGTGCATATCTAATTGATATGTATATGTATATAATTATATATTATATATATATATGTTAAATATATATATATACATATAAAGAGTGGATTTGTGCCAACACCTATTTTTGTTTCCCAGGAAGCAATATCGGAAGCCATGTCAATCAGCCAGAGGGTTTGGGGCACTGCTATGGCGATCTGTCAATACTACCAGACAACCCTAAATTCTGGTTGGTGGTTTGGAACATTTTTTATTTTCCATAATATATGGGATAATTCTTCCCATTGACTAATATTTTTCAAGATGGCTAAAACCACCAACCAGTTGTTCACATTGCAAAACAAATAGATCCTTCTGTTCATGTTCGGCATGTGAACTACAGGATACAAATAGGTAGATATAAATAGCTCAACAACATTCAACAACATGTTGTCGGTGGAGCCGCAGATTGTGGGCAGTTTTTTCATCTTTTTCATGGTACAGTAGGCCATCACATTGTTAGTACATGTTAGTACCTAATGCTCACTCACCAAATTATGGTGCTCGAATTGTCGTAAAAATTGTATGTCCCATCCTTATCCATCCTTGTCATTTTGGATGAAGCTGTTGACATTGGCATGGATGGCTCAACCACCAAGTGCTAAGGATGTGGGCCGATGCAGCCGCACCGTGGGTAGCTGGGCATTTCAATGGTTTAAGCAAGAAAAATGGTGAATTTAAGGAGATCTTGATGGGATTTAATGGGATGTGAGTGGGCGGATTTAATGGGATGTAAATGGGATATGTAACCAACTTGATATATTTGGGAGTGTGTCTGAAAATGGGGATGGTCCCCCAAATAATGTAGCCGTTTTTATCTTGGGCAAATGGTGATAAACATTGATGAACCAGCAATGGAAGGGGTTACATTTATTTTCAGACACACCCTCATATGGGGAGTTAATGCGGATTTAATGGTATATCAATGGGATAAAGTGAGATAAACATGAGATACTGGGATATCATGGGGATATCATTGGGCTTCAGGTATCATACGATGTTGGAAAACTGCCACGATAGGTTTAACAGGGTTTAGCCTATGAACATAGGGGGGAAAAAACATGCAGGCTGGTTTGTAATTACACAAGACTACCAGAGTGTAAGCTGATTCCGATTCTTTTTTTTTCGATGTTCGTCACCTCGCTGGTACTTCATGGTACTTCAGGGTACTTGGATCATCCGGTGAATTGCCCAAAAGCACCAGTTCTATCGGTTTTTTGGCGAAGATTTTGCCGCTAAATCCATCTTTGAGTTCTTGAGTAATTACTATATTATATCATACCATACCATATCATATCATATTATATTATATTATATTATATTATATTATACCATACTATATTATGTTCTATTCTATTCTATTTTATTATGGCCATTTGGATAAGTCTTCCTTTCAATAGTCCACATTCGCATGTCCCTGGGTGAAATGGGAACTTAAAGTATCTAATATGATATTATATGATCATGTAACATGAGTCAGAAAATGGTCAGATAATGTCAGATTCTACATATATACATAATTATATACGTATATGATTATATATATATGATTATATATATGATTATATATATTTGATTATATATATATGATTATATATATATGATTATATATATATGATTATATATATAATCACATATATATATAATCATATATATATATATATATATACATGTTCGCCATCCGAAAATGGATGTCATCCCCTTGGTCCACTGGTGCACTGGATGCTGGATCAAGGTTGGGGCCACATCTATCCGGAGTTCTTTGGACAGGTGGGGTTGGTTTCGGCCATGGGGGGGTTGGCTTTCCCCAAGGAAAATCGTCACTTTTTGATGGGTTTTTGCAGATTTGGAGGTTTGCTAATGGCTGGGGGTACCCCTCGTTCTCATCCATTGATGGGATTTTCCATGAAATCAACCATCCATTTTGGGGTACCCCCTATTTTCAGAGAAACTCCATATGGTTTGATCATGTTGTAGGATTGTGGCAATTTTCCATAATGATAGTATCAGATTAACAAGCATATTGTAACCTCGGGGAATCAATCACATTTACAATGTTTTTTTCCGATATGGTTTTCCGCATCTTGTATTTCCCATGGCGTTTCGCCAGGTGAGTACTGCCAGTGCCTTGTTGCGCCATTGTGCCGGACCACGCTTTCGCAAGGTGCGGGTTTGGTACGGTGCTGGGACTTGTTTCGGGCTGAGATTGGGATGACTGAAGACCTGCAAACATGGAGCCTTAACATGTCATCACCACGAAAAATCTCATGAAAACCCTCGAAAATTGGGATCGGATGAATAAAGCCTAAACAAATTGGGATTGAGGATGATTGAAACCCTAAAGTTGGGAGGAATTAAAGTAATTAAATCCAATTGTTAATGGAAAAACAGAATCATGTAACATGTAACAATCCTTCCCACAATGTTTTCATGGCAGACGGGAGATCCAAGAGTTGGAGACCTATCCACGACCTTTGGGACCGGGACCCTCTGGTAAATTTAACCGATGGAAAATCAGACTTTACAAAAGGTGAAATTTATATTGGATTACCAGATAGTATAGCTTGCGCATCCAACTGCTGATGGAAACGATTGTGTGATGTCATATCACTATTAGCATTAACAAGGAATCCTGGTTGGTGGTTTGGAACATTTGGATTATTTTTCCATATATTGGGAATGTCATCATCCCAACTGTTACTCACTCCATCATTTTTCAGAGGGGTAGGTCAACCACCAATTAGATGTCATTAAAATTCCCATTAGATCCTATTAAACAACCATTAAAAATCCCATTCAACCACCATTAAACCACCAATTAGAATTATATTGATGTTCACCAACCAGCATATATATATACACATAGATATTATAGGTATTATAACCACTATTATGATATAATCCCATTATTGATGATTATCCCATTATCAAACTGATGTTTTACAATCGTTTATGAAAAGTTGGGTCAAATCTTAAGGCCCAAGAAAACCGCAGTGCTTTAGATTCCATTAATTGCCATCCAATGAGCCTCCAATTTTGGTTTCGGTCATATTTTTACCAAGAACATCCAAGAACATCTAGCTATACCTATTTTTGAATTGGATGGTTTGAGTCAGGCAGGGCTTTTGCTGAAAAAAACACCATCATTTTACTGTTCAAACTGATGGCTAAAAAGTGGTTGTATCATGTTGGATTCCATGGTGGTTGTAGATCATTGGTGAATATTCGCCATCAATATCATAGATTAATTTAAGCCATGTATCTATATGATAGTCTACCCAATTTCCAATCTAATTAGCCATATATAATCCAGTAATTTAGCCTACATTCCATTCATGTTTGCAAGGCATTTCTCATTCTTTCCCCCTTCCCCGTTTTTTGACGCAGGACTTCTTCACGTTCAACGTCTCGGCGCAAGTGGTGGCAGAAGGCGCCTCACCGTGGCCGTGGAACATCGGAATAGAAATGGATAGAAATGGATATCACTACTGCAATAAATTTAGACATGAAATCGCTGAACATTTGTGGTATTACATGACCTGTGAGCTATTTTTTTAGATGGCTTTTACATGCTTTTTCAAGTTTGGTAAAAGGACACACTTACTTGTTGAAACATGATGAAACATGGCCAGTGAAAAATTTTCGTGCCATATAAAAAAAATGATCCTTCCGCAGGGCCCTTACCGGTGGACTGCAGATTGCTGGAGCCGCATTATGCCGGGTTCCCATGGTGGCGTTGATCCAAACGGCGTTTCAGGTTGACCCACTGGGATCCACTGGGAAATCTTTGGCTGGTTGACCATCTGGTATATATATAGATATAATATATATATTAAATATATACCTGGTATCTATGGGATATATATATATAGATATAGATATAGATGGGTTTTTCTGAACAAAATGGGCAGATTCGGTTCAAAATGATAAAAATGCTATGTCATGCTTCATGAATTCGGAACATGTCCGAATTGATGAGAGGGAAAATTCACGGAGACACCATAAAAAAACCACCGACTTGGATGGTTTTTCACGGTTTTCAGCTCTGAATGCTACAGATTTCCCCAAGGGGATTTCACCACGGCCCTTCCGTTCCCCAGTTCACCAAGGGCCCAACGACGGGTGGGTAAGTTTCGGGTGGGATCTCCACGGGCCAAGGCAATTGTGATGGCGGCACTGGGTTTGCTTGCCCTGGTATCACTCCTGCAAGTGACTTGGCGCAGAGTGGAGTGGCAAGTCATTAACTAGTGAGCATTTATCATCATTTATCATCATTTATATATCCAAAAACTTTCAAGTCATTACACTATTGCATTTATATGCATTTATCATCATTTATATATCCCAAGAACTTTCAAGATCTTTCAAGTCTCATGCCTTCGGGGTGAAAGACCAAGAATTTGTGAAAAGTCTTTTCTTGCTTTCTCCTAGAGTCGATCTTTCTTTGGCGTCGGTGTTTCAGGCGTCGGTGTATCCGTATGAATACAGTTAGCATCAAGTTTTTTTTTGCCTCCAATAATGAGTAGACAACAATGTGATATGTGCAATATACAATACTATATAATTCTAATACATATACATGATACATGTATATAGATTCGATTAGATTAGGTTAGATTGGGTTAGATTAGATTAGATCAATTTGGATCAGATTGAATGATAGATAGGATTGGCTTCAATGAGTTGAGATTCGATTGGATTCAATCGCTGAGATGGAAAAAGAATGCCAACGTCCATATCTCTTCCAAAAGTGGTGCAATTATCCTATGAACTGGTGTGAATTTGGCGGCAGCTGCCGCCCGTGGTTTCCTGAAGATTTTCCCCCCAACATCCACCAACAAAGGTGATGCAGTTGACTCGAAAGAAATGGTGAAGGATTAAGACATCGATCAGGGAACACGTTTTTTTTTTGTAGATATATGAGCATTCACGAATGACCCTAGATACTATGATTCTAAGATATTCTAAATATTCAGTGTAGCTGTAATCACTACTACATTACTCATTCTACTCATAAGTGGTGTATGATGGTGTCTCTTTAGTAGCGTTCTCATGGTCATGTGATATACCACAGCTGGCGCCCCTCCAAGGTTGGCCGAACAGCTTTCAGGCGCGTGAAAAGCCGAAATGCCGAAATGGCCACGGGTGTTTGATATGAGGGGGACGCCATAAATCATGGCATATTGGGGCTTATATCCGCCATAAATCATCGTTAACAGTTCACCAAATTATGGGCATTATGGGCATCAACTTAGCTATCATAAATCAGCTATAAATTCCACTCAATTCCCATCTCTTTGTAGGTTAAATTAATCCTATGGTTTTCCTATGACTTTTCTATGGTTTTCCTATACATGTTTCCAATGGTTTTCCTAGGGTTTCCGATGGTTTTCCTAGGGGAGCCTCACCTTTTTAGGACCGTTTCGGTGAGGTCCTGCCGTTCACAGAGTCGCAGCCCGCGCTTCGAGCATTCGCAGTCGGAGATGTCCTTAGGTGTCGGATGGCGGAGATTTACCCTCTGGTTATTTGTTACATAGCCATGGTTTAGCCATGGCCCATATATAGAAATAGATGGTTTACCGTTCTTAATAGCATGGTGATTTTCCATGGCTATGTTAGTCATCACCAGAGGGTATATTTCATGTATTATCCTGGTTATATATATGGCTGCGAGTCGGTGATCCTGACCGATCCAGCTGCGTTTGAATCACGGCGGATGCCGATCCCCCACAAGCCCACTGATTGTTATGGGATTCAAATAACCGATAGATATATTTGTATATGGATATGTAAATATGTGTATATATATATATTATACACACATATATATATAGATAATTTATCTATTTCCTCATGAAGATATAATATATGGGCCGATAGTATACAATTTTATACTTAAAATGAGAAAATCCCAAATGATCAACAAAAACCATTCAATGGGGATTTAATCAAGGACCTAGGAATATAGGTAATGGGGTTATAATGGGCATATAAGGTTATATGATATAACCATAATGGGGATATACATTTAACCCATGATGTATATATATATATATGGATTTTGTAAGTGGAATTTGTTAAATACTATAATGGGGATATATTTGACTTTATATATATATATTTATATGTATATATATATTTATATATATATATACATGTATATATATATATGTACACATATATATATGTATATATATATGTAGATATATATGTATATATATATGTATATATATATGTATATATATGTATATATATATATATATTTGTATATATATATGTATATATATATATATGTATATGTATATATATACACGTATATATTTGTATGCACATATTTGATGTATTGGGGCGAAATGGGAGATTTACTGCAATTAATTAACTTTTTTTTTGCCGGGCAAATGATGCACAACCATGAGACGGAATTGGGTACACGATTTTCAGCCAATGGAGTTTCCTAATTCTTAAGAATGAGGGTTCCCCAAGTCACCATAGCTTTCAATACTAAATCATGCGTATCTTGGATGATTTTGGGGTACCCCCCATGACTTAGGAAACCTCCATATATGTGGATTTACCAGACGCTTACTGGCGAACTTGTGGAGCCAGGTTCTTCGTCCCTGAAAGAACCAATTACCCACTCCATTCATTGGCTCTCCAAGTTCTTCTGAACCAACAAAAGATACCAAAGCATTTTTTTTCTGGAATTCCGGGCATGATTAACTATGCCAATTGTGAGAACTGCAATTGTTTCAAGAAGGTCGTACTGTATAGGGTTCTCTCTACTTACCCTCCAAGATGGAAAGATAAACACCGAAATGTGGAATGTCAAGCTCGCCAAAAACCGTTTAATATTCCATGCAGCAACACATGATTTGGTCATTTTTAGTACAACAGTACTATCATTATACTACTAAACTACTATACTACTATTAACCTCCAGTAATCAAACTTGGCGTGCGAAATCAGAATGGGCGCCCAAACCTGATCCGACGATCTTCCCAGCTATATATAAACCTCCAACCTGAGCACGAAGTCACGAAGCCTAGCTGGCGGTTTTCCATGTCTTCTATTATACTATATTATAGTTATCCGTAATGGTACAATAGGTACTATCATTATACTAATCCACTATACTATGCTATCATACCATATATATATATATTCCATTACTATATTATAATTCCACATTTATTTATCAATTGCATTGTTCATTTATCATTATTATATATTATGATTATATTATGGAATAAAATTTGTAACTTATGATAATCATGAATATAGATGGAATATTTATCCACTATAAATATTTCTTTATTATATTCTTACATTACCATATATTATAGTTTTACATTTATTTATCAATTCCATTATTTATCATTATCATTATCATTCTTATTTATCCACTATTATCATTATCATGATCAATAATCCATTGTCCACTATTGTCCACTATTATCCACTATTATCTACTATTATCTAATCATTAGATTTATCATTATCCATTATAAATCTTTAACTATTCCTTTACTATATTATAATTCCACATGTATATATCTATTCCATTGTTTATTTATCATTATGATTACATTATGGAATATAATTTATATAATTTATGATAATTATGAATATAGATGGAATATTTATCCACTATAAATATTTATCTATTTTATTATTGCATTACCATATATTATACCCTCTGGTTATTTAACATAGCCATGGACAGTGGCCCATAGAAATAGATGGTTTACCTATTAAAAGCATGGTGATTTTCCATGGCTATGTTGAATAACCAGATGGTAATTCCACATTTATTGATCAATTCCATTATCCTCTCCCATCCCATCGCCGAAGTGACCACAAAGTTTACAAAGCCAGGTGGGATGAAGCTAAAAGGCCCGAAAGCCAAGACCCTTTGCGGGGCCTTGAAAGACTCAGACAGTGGCTCTATCAATGCATGGTGTGTATATATATAATGTATTACATATATATATATATATTACATATATATATATATATTTGCATATAGTGCTCTTGGGCAGGTTTGGTGTATGCTGCTCATTCAATTGTGTCAGACATGCATCTATGCCAACTGTTACATTTTGGTTCAAAGTATTTCCCAAAATGGCTAACATCAGGGAGAATCTCTGAAGAGAGAATCTCTAAGGTCGAAGACCGACTGTTGGCATAATTTGACCTGCTAGCTGTGCAGCATGTCATGCACTTGAAGTCCAGGGCAGCGTTTAGGGAGAATCCCCGCCGCAGTCTACATTGGGTTGACCCTAATGAGGTATGGATGCAACAGTATGGTGGGTGGTTTGATTTTTTGTATGACAATTGTTGTTTTCTGGCGGCTCGGAAGAAAGCCCAGACAATCAGGCACAACATAGAAGAGATGAGAGTGTTGCCTGATCTGACATGCGGTCATTGGCACAATGAGACCGACTGGAGGCCTTACTTAGTCCGAGGCAACTGGTGTTACCCAAGTGCTGAGGAAGCCGAATACCCTGCTAGCTTGGTTTTTACTCTTGCAGTCTGTTGTTCCCATTGGGCAGCCAATCGGGGTTTTGGAACCTTGCGCATCTCACGTTTGCCGCCTGTTGAATGCTCAGGTGACCGAAGAGAATGGACGTCATGGGACTCAGCAACCTTCAGGGAGCACTCTATGGTGCCTATGGCCGTCGCCCTAGGTTTGACCCCAACAGCAGTTTTGGGTCTCCCCAAGAGAGTGCATGTTTTGGATGTCATGGAATCAGGGCAACTTCCTCAAGATGTGGTGTATGCAGGCCATGGACATTTTTCACACAGGCTTAGCCCTACCAAATGGGAGAACCCTTTTGTTGAAGGCAGAGATGGAAGCGCCGCTCAAGTTCTTATGAAGTTTATTGCTCATTGGAACGAATTCCAATTGGAGCAGTTTCTTCCTGGGCTCACAGGGTGCAGGATCGCATGTGACTGCCTCAGTAACGAGACCTGCCATGTTGACGTGATCATTGCCAAGTGGTTGGAGGCAAATAGCAGGGGACAGCCCCAGCGATTGGGTCACAGGTCAGTGCAGCTGACCAGTGGACGGGTCTGGATAGCAGCAGTTAGAGTAGTCCATGCTGTTCCGCAGATGTTTTCACAAGCTGCTGCAATGGCAGCCATTCGAGGGCAATTCCCAATGTTATCATTTCAGGATGTTAAGTGGCCTCTGCTGGAAGACATCATTAATTCAGCGCCTTTCCAGAGTTTTCGAATGTGGTTGTCAGAGAATGGACAAGTGGCTGATGGGCCCATAGGATCCAGTATGCTCAACCGTACTGGGACAGTTGTTTTTCGTGCCGGCATGGCAGAGCAAGCAGGTGCTGGTGCTCGCAAAACAGCCGCCCCCCCTGTAGTGCCGTTCAACTTAGCCCCAGATGAGCATTTCGCTGCATCGCTAAGGGTCCAAGCCGACGGAGGACCGCTCGATTTCCCAGCGCCAGTGGACTTGGACATCGCCTTTGCTGCACAAGGCATGGTGCAGGAGTTCAGCAGCTTGACAGCTGCCAGGCAGTTTGCTGTCGAACAGCTCCGGGCCCTCAGTTATAGGTTGCAAGAAATTTCTGAGTACATCCGTAGCATGCAAGTGCCAGTGTTGCGAGACGTGAATCCTAGCGTTCATTTCAGCCTTGTAGCCTTGCTTATTGCTATAATCCATTGGCCTGATACTGGGTTTTGCCAAGCTCTTTTCAATGGCTTCCCAGCCGTCGGGTTTTGTCCGCCTTGTGGTATCTGGGACACCCAACCTGCTCAATTTGTTTCCTTGGAGGATGCACTTGCAGGAGGACCGCGGGACGCCCAGGATTTGCTGAAGCAATTGCGGGTCTCCGAGCTGGAGACAATTGAAGAAGCAGGTCGGAAAGACCAAGCCAATGGATGGTGCTCCGAGGAATTCGGATGGGATGAACTGCAACGCAGATTTCCATCATATAGGCTGATTAGAAGATTCGTCATTACACAAGCTTCTGGGAAGAAGCGGGTAATTGATGATGCTGCAGCTGGGGGGCAGAGTCTCTGGAGTGCAGATTCCAACAAGCTCCAGTTCTGTAGCGCGTTGCAACCATGTGCCCATGTCCAAGCCCTAGCACAAGCCTGTTCGCATGCAGGGGAAAGTAATCTGCTAGATGATGTCGTTACATGTGGCGAAGATTTGCCGGACGCCTACAGGAAGATTCCCATGCAGACATCTCACCATGCAGCATGTATTGTGACGTATCCCAACCAGATGGGTAGACCAGTTTTCAGGCAGTACTATTCCATGCTGTTTGGCCTCCCATTGGCCGTCACTGCTTTTAATAGATTGCCTTACCTGTGTCAAGCCATTTTACGCCGCTGCTTCAGGTTGATGGCCAGTTTCTACTACGACGACTGTACCCTCCAAGATTGGAATAGTCATGCAGCCGCAGCCCAGCAGTGCATGTGCACAGCTATGGAACTGCTAGGTTACCCTTTTGCTGAAAGCAAACGGCAGAATCCTAACTCTCAAGGAGATTTCCTTGGTTTAGTCCATGACTTTGAGGACATTCGAACACATGGTGTAGTCCGTTTGTGGATCCGTCCCCGGCTGCAGGAGAAGATTCTGGACATCATAGCTACCGCGCGGAGAGACGGGACATTTCGTGCTGGCACTGCAGCGAAACTGTACGGATGTGTCACTTTTTTGGACCAGGCTGCATTCGGCAAGATAGCCAGGGCAGGACTTGCAGCCATCAAGGATAGGCAATATCTGGATACCACAGCCCACTTGACTGACGCCTTGTTGCAGGCATTCCAGGTAATCGAGGACATCTTTCGGTTGAATCCCAGGAGGATAGTGTCACTTTTTCCATTATCAACCCCTCGCATGACAGGAGCTTCGGATGCTGCGCAAGAAGAGGGTTTTGGTTCAGGAGGATTCCTGTTGAGTGACAAACACTGGGTTCGCCGTGGAGCCGAAGTGGTGATCACTGAGGATGTGCTCAGCCTTTGGAGACCTCAGGATGTCCTCATAGCACAGCTTGAGTTATTAATGGTTTTTCAGGCCATAGTGACTTTTCCTGATGCTTTCCGTTATGCCACAGGCGTATGGTATATTGACAATATTGCTGCCTTAATGAGCTTGGTACGAGGTCGATCAGATAACCCAGACCTGGAGCGCATGGCCCAAATGATTCATCTGGCTCTCTTCCATCTCCATTGCGGTCTATGGTTTGAATGGGTACAGAGTAAGTCGAATTGGAGTGACGGCATCTCACGCTTTGGGCTTAGAGATTCGTTTGTGATCCACCATAGTTTCACATGCCATCGCACCCGAGTGGTTACACAGCTATGGCAGCTACCAACTTTCCCCCTCAGCAAAGTCTTCAGTTACCTTTAATTAATGCGTTGGGAAAATTAGGAAGAAGTGCCTTGGGTGTATGCGTGAATCGCGCGGCTGTTGTCGACACCCGTGATGGGTCCCTACCAACTGGGGGTAACCAACGCATTATGGCAGAAGGCCTTTACCCCTGAATGGGGAGCGACCAGAAGACAGGCTGGAGGAAAAGTAAAGCGCTGCGTTGCAGTCTTTGATGTCCTGATCCCATTGAATGTATTTGCATATAGTGCTCTTGGGCAGGTTTGGTGTATGCTGCTCATTCAATTGTGTCAGACATGCATCTATGCCAACTGTTACATTTTGGTTCAAAGTATTTCCCAAAATGGCTAACATCAGGGAGAATCTCTGAAGAGAGAATCTCTAAGGTCGAAGACCGACTGTTGGCATAATTTGTTGTCCCAACCCTCCCAAACCCACGGCGTCACCAACCCAATGGTGGCAGCCGATTCCTACGTGCAGTAGCGCCGTAGATGATGAGGAACACCAGGTGTATGCGTGGGAGCATGGTTTTACACCCGGGTGTATGCGTGAATCGCGCGGCTGTTGTCGACACCCGTGATGGGTCCCTACCAACTGGGGGTAACCAACGCATTATGGCAGAAGGCCTTTACCCCTGAATGGGGAGCGACCAGAAGACAGGCTGGAGGAAAAGTAAAGCGCTGCGTTGCAGTCTTTGATGTCCTGATCCCATTGAATGTATATATAAATATATTAATGTGGTTAAAACAATCATCAACAACCCCTTTTTTGATGGTTTATACCATCCATAAAAAATGTGATTTTGGGGATGGTTCGTTATTGTTTTAACACCATTATATTTATTACATATACATTACATAAATTACATATTGTATGAGCATCCGGACAATATAGGATTTTCACACATATTGCCAATTTGGTGGAGGTCTTTTTTGAAATTCCATATTCCATCTACTTAAGGATGACTCTATCTACTTCAGGATGGCTGTATAGAATAGTTTTAAATCAAACCAACCATTACAAAAGGTGCTAGTCCTTTAGTTGAACCACAAGTACCATGGGCCATGAGCGAGTTTCAAGGCAACACTCACCAGCTTCCTTTGGTGCTCTGCTTTTGAGCTTCAAACCGATGAAAATGAATGCCATAAAGATGAATACCCCACATTCAGTTTGCGACTTGTGGCCATAATTCAATATAATTTTGAAAAACACACGTTAGGATTTCCTTGGCGGGGTCCTCTTTGAGATTCCGATTGGAAACACTTAACTTGTGATCCTCGGATACCTTGGGTCTTTCGAGCCATCCTGATCTGCTTGAAAAAATTATCTTCCCAACAGACCTTCACAGGTGGCTCATGATGGGTTGTCATTTGTTCTCACGTGGGGGTTCCATAAGTGGGGTACCCCTAAATCATCCATTTATAGATGGATTTTCCATGGATTTCCCCTTAGAAACCATCCAGCGATTGGGGTAATTCGTAGCTCGCAACCATGTGTGACGTCGAGCGCGCAGGTCATGTCACCATCATGCCAAAGGAGGCCCAACTTCGTTTCAGGGGTAGATCCTCAAGGTTAAGGGGTAGCCAGTGAAATGTGACATTTCCCTCTGGAAATTTCACATAGCTATGAATAATCACATTTTTTCAATGGGAATTCCAGGATCCTAAAATGGAGGTACTGTACCATATTTTTGGCCTTATTTTGTGGGGATATTCCCTTACATAGGCCTTATATTATATAGGCCTTATATATGGTAGGTACCTTCAATTTAGGTTCCTGAAATGGCCATTGATTTTTTAAATAAATCATCATATATCATCTATAAATGGAACATTTTCCATAGCTATGTTAAATCACCAGAGCTTGCGGCTTGTGATGTTTACCAACTTGCGATTCCGTCCCGGAGGACCACCCTTGCATGGCTAGAAAGAAAAGGGACAGGTGGGATAGTGATGTTTCACTGGAGGATTTAGTTTCTTTTTTTCACACAGACACATATGGTTTTCCGCAATTTCATCATTTTCCAGGGATGTTGTTTTTCAACGCGCCAGCTGGATTTGGGTCACCCTTGAACGACCGAGGTCCAATGGGTCCCTTTCCCATCTCCGTGTACGGTATATCTGACATAGCTACATTTGGATTAAGTATAGGGCAAATCCTTTGGTAACTAATCATTCCCGGAATGGGGCATTTGGGTCTGATTCCTTCTGGATACCACATCACAAGCTCATATTGTTGGTTACATGAATTTATGATAATTTATGTGTATTATCCCATTCATATCCCATTCGTATCTCATTCATATCTCATTCATATCCTATTTATGTCCTATGAATATCGCATTACAATAATATATATATAATATGTATTCCATTAGTAGCCCATTCATATCCTTTACAATACAAATGGAATACTAATGGAATAATATGCCTAATAATATCATAGGCCTAGCACAATAACATGGACCAATATTAATATTCCACTAATATCCCATTACTAATTATTAGTCCATATTATTCCACTCCCAAAAAAATAATTATGGAGTCCTTTTTGTTCCTCAATATATTATTGTTTGGGATGTCCATTAATAATACTGTGGATGGAAGAAATCCTGCACCAGTTGATAGGTGATAAACATCCCATTATTTACAGGGTTTCAACCATCCAAGGTGATGCAGGATTTCTTCCATCCACAGTATGTCCATAAATCTGGGTAAATTATAACGACCTCACTGTCCTCCCTCACTGGAAATCATGGTTAGTATATAAGGGAAATCATCCCCAAATGGCCGAACTATTCAGGTTAGTGAAATATTATAATTTACCCAGAATCAATGATAGACATGGGAAATCAATGGATATCATCAATGACTGGTTGGTGGTTTGGAAAATTTGGATTATTTTTCCATATATTGGACCATAAATGACCCTGAACTGTTCCTAGTCCACAAAAATCCAACTTTCCGAATGGCGAGGCCCGATTTCGCGGCGGTCATCGCTTCGAGCGCCTCGGACAGATAACCGGCCGGCAAGTTGTTGCCATGGATGGACAGCGACACGGCAAGTTGCCATGAAATATGGAAGATATCCTGGAAGAAATGTTGTTTGAACATGTTTGAACCATTTTTTCCCTTGTTTTTTCAGATTGATTTATTGATTGAGTTGGTATTTGTGGCATTTTTTTTTCAACTGGAGATGGTTTGATTTTCTGCTAGGTGGGTATTGTTGATAATAGAACACTGTGTATATGTTTTACATTGTTTTACCATTCTACGAGGGATGATAATATAATGTGGCTTTATGTTTAGTTGATATGAGGATATTCATATTTCTATTTGGATGGGTCGACGCCACAAACCAGATCGACAGTATTTCTAGCCCCTAGTTACAAGTTGGTGTATAGCTCCAATTCACTATAGACTCATAATTATAGTTAATAGATATATCTACCATATAATCATATAGTTAATAGGTGTATCTGCCGTCTGCCGTGGGCCCTAGTTATGTTAGTACACAAACTTACCCTCTGGTAATTTAACATAACTATCGAAAATCACAATTTTTCATGGGAAAACTCACTATTTCTATGGCCATTTTCAATAGCTATGTTAAATTACCAGAGGGTAAATTCATCCCATGAAACCTGATGTCATGGCCATGTCAAGAACTGTAGATGTGATGTTCACATATTTTCACCCTTAGCTCCGGGGTAAAACCGCGTTCTTTACCAAACGCAAAATGCGCCGCTCGCAGGTTGCACTCCAGTCGGATACGAAGCGAAGAGGAGGTGCCCGGTGTTTAGACATCGTGAAAGATGGTGGTCCGTCAAAAAGGTGTATACAGCATATATTATATCATTATTATATATATCATATGTATTATTATTTTTATTATATACATAATAATATATATATATAATAATACGTGTATATATAAATAATAATGATATATAATGATATATAATAATAATAATAATAATATATATAATAATATATATATTATATAATAATATATACATATACATATATATAATAATACATAATATATACATATATATATATATATATAATAATACATAATATATATAATTATATAAAATAATATATATATAATAATAATCTATAAAATAATATATATATAATAATATATATAATGATATATATAATAATATATGTATAATAATGTATATATACGTATATATAATATGCATTATTATTGTATATAATAATAATGCTAATAATAATAATCATAATAATAATAATGATAATACTAATAGTATATATTTAATAATACATATATATATATATATATTTAATAATGATATATATATATAATAAGAGTATATAATAATATATTTATATATTATATAATAATACATATATATATATAATAATAATACATATATATATATATAATAATAAAAATATATATATATATGTATGGATAATAATACATATATATATAATCATAATATATAATCATATAACAATAGTATATATATACAATAATCATATATATATATATATCTAATAAATACAATCATATTTATATATAGTATGGTGTACCCTCTGGTAAGCATACACAAAAAAAACTATGGAAAATCACCATTTTTAATGGGTAAATCAACGAACTAAATGGGCATTTTCAATAGCAAACTGTTAGTTCACCAGAGGGTAATGGGGGTAACACAATGCCATAAACCACCCATGACTGGGAATGGTAAACATAGCACCTATTTGTGGTGAAATTGGGGATGGTTTATTATTGTTTTACCAACATTAATTATATAATATAACACAATATAATATAATATAATATAGTATAATACAATATAATATAGTATAACATAATATAATATAATATAATATAATATAGTATGATATAATATAATATGATATAATATAGTATAATATACTGTAATATAATATAATATAACATAATATAACATAGTATAATATAATATAGTATAATAAAATATAATATAATATAATATATATACATATATTATTACTATTATACACTATTTGTGGGGGATGAAGATGCGGAACTACAACCTATTTTTCAGGAGTGCCAAAATATTGACCAGAGGTGAGCTTAAAGATGTGTAGGGAAATCATCCCAATGACAATGACCAGCAGCCAGCTTCACAAATCTATATCAAGAATACCACTATATCAGGAGATAAATATATATATATATATATATATAAATCCCGTAATTTGTACAGGATTTTTTCCTGGTTGGTGGTTTGTTTTTTTTTTCATTTTTCCATTGAGAAAAGGGAATGGAAAATCATCCCAACTGGCGATTCGTCCATCATTTTTCAGCGGGGTAGGCGTACCAACCACCAATTAGATGTCATTAAAATTCCCATTAGATCCTATTAAACCACCATTAAAAATCCCATTCAACCACCATTAAACCACCAATTAGAATTATATTGATGTTCACCAACCAGCAGTTTCAATTTGACGACATTTTACCATCACCTCCAGTACGAAGCCCAGGTGGGCTGGTGGTTGTGGTGCCATCTCTCTGCAACTTGGACCGTCGGCAAAGTGGTGGGAAGATTTCTTTGGTTTAATGGTTTATGACTCTATTATAATATTGTAATTATATATATATATTAATTTGTGGTTTATGAATGGTTTACTCATATTATATGTACTTAATATATTGTAATATACACTAATGATTACTAATGAATAAAATATATACATAATGTTATATAATAACAACAATGAAAAACATGTACTAACCAACTCAAGATTTGATTTTGTTGCACATCGAAGAATGGCAAAACCAGCACACCCAGGCTCAGCTTAGTATTCTCGAGAGGCAGATCCAGGTGCCCTTTCTCTGCGATCGGGGATGGGGGTGCGGGATCCACTTCGGTGATCATCATATGGACCCCGCTGGAAAAATAGAATCTCCCTAGGTACAATATATACACATGCATACATAATAGTACATAATATATGATTAATATGTGGTGGTTTCCTCAAATTGGGGCACCCCCAAATCATCCATTTATAGATGGATTTTGCCTTATAAACCATCCAGCTATTGGGGTATCTGCAGTATCCCCATTTAAGGAACCCCCCATATGTATATCCCATGGTATACATGATAATACATACCGGGGTTATAAACCATTTACATCCATTTACGATGCATGAGATGAACATTCCGAGTGGGAATGATCCAAAATTGACATCCAAAAGAAAAGGAGTGGTCATTTTTCGGTAGGCAAAAAACATTCTCAAACATCTCCAAACTCATTTTGAGGGCTTTCGATGCTAATTTGTGAATTTCATGTTTCAATTTTTTGCAATACTGCTATGGTCTCTAGTCTTTTTTGTAGGGCAACCAGCAAGATCTTCCCATGTGGAGCCTTCTTTTGGGGGATCGAAATATGGATATACTGGAGGCGATCAAAGAAAAGGGAGCACCATCCAACCAGAAGAGTCCTTTGTTTATTGAGGTACCATTTCTGGTTGGTGGTTTGGTTTTTTTTTCATTTTTCCATTCAGTTGGGAATGTCATCATCCCAACTGGCGAAGTCCATCATTTTTCAGAGGGGTAGGCGTACCAACCACCAAGCAGTTTCAATTTGACGACATTTTCCCATCACCAGCTTTATTTATTCAATCCTTAGCCCTTTTTCCCAGACGTGCCGAGCAAAACAGGCGGAAGTCTTGGCTTTGAAAGCTCTGCGTGCCAGAGCCAAGTACACACCGAGGCTGTGGAACCCGGGCCCAGCAGTCCCGACTTTCGCATGGCTTCGGAGTCGATGGGTGCAGCAACAACTGCAGGATTCATCAACTTCATCAAGATCCAGAAAAAACATGATGAATTATCACAAGTCTTATTCTATTGGCTGGATTTTTAGTAGCCATAGATAGCCATAGAGTTATTTTTGATATCCAGCTACAATTCAGCCTTTCAATAGGGCATGTTTATATATGGCATGGATCAAGGACCCTCAAAATCTACCAATTTTAACATTTTATATAACGCATTCTTTTGGGGGGAACGTATTGTCGTTCCTGGGAAGAAACAATCATATATCAGAGTCTCAATCAGAGTCGATCAAATGTCAGCAAACTCCAGATATCCATTTGGAAGATTCGGAAACTTGAAGCCATGAGAAAGGGATGAGATCATGTCGTCAATGTTCAAGAGCCAGGTATCGCACGATTATCAAAACCCATAGATACCTTCATGGGTTAATGATGCTAATATGAGTAATATGTTCCTATTGTGGATAACTCATCCTGGATTTGCTTTTTTTTTGACATATTTGGACATGATTTAGACATAATTTAGACATATTTTCCCATTGATTCATCCACTATTTGAGGAGAATCTGCTAGGACACACCAACAGTGTAGAGCCTTTTGAGACGATCACAGCCCGGCTTTGTCTGCCTAGACAGGTTAGATCAGGTTAGTTTGTTGCTTCAAATCCTATGCTTAAATCTAGAAAAACCATGAAAACCACGGACTAAAAATTTTCTTAAAGTGGTGGTTTCCCAAGTTTTTTGGGTCCCCCCAAAAAAAGGTGACACAAATCTAGTTTTTTTATGGATCCATTCACCTGGAGGCCCTCGATTGCGGAGATGGAGAGTGAAGAAGAGGTGCCAAAGAATGGGTCTTCATTGCAGGATGGCCAGGATGGATGTTCAGTTCATTGGATGTCCAATCCTGGGACAAGCTCTATGACTCTATGATGCAAATTAAAAGGATTTCCATGTCGAAAAAATGTCTTCTCCAATGTCATTGTTGATCTTCCCATGGATTCACTTCAACATATGTCCCTGCTAATTTGATGATGATTTACTTGTCTAAGTCCTTTTTGGAGGTTTTTTCACATTAAAACACCATAGAAAATGAAACATGAAGTACATGAAGCACTAAACATCAGCCTCTGGTTATTTATAGATGGTTTACCGTTCTTAATAGCATGGTGATTTTCCATGGCGAACTGTGAATGTCATAACCAGCTGGTAACCAAAGATGTTGGAGGTTTGGGTACAGATTCCCACCCCCATCAGAGCCACAGGATGATCCGGGCCACATCGATGGCAAAGGCCAGTTCTGGTACCATTGATGGGAACATCATCTAAGAAATGGGATATAAAAATGGACTATTCATGGACTATTAATGGACTATTAATGGAATATATCATCTGGTAGAATTCATCTGCATGGTACCATTAATGGACTATCCATGATATATGTTTATGGAATATAAAGCTCTTTGAAAATGGGCTGGTTGGTGATTTAATACAGATTTAAGCATCAAATCTGAGTTTTAATCAACAAAATCTCGGAATATGATCTGATATAACTGATAAAACATGGTTGATGGGTTATGAAATCGGGACTTATACTTAGGTAGTCTACCTACTTGTAGTTTCTTGAAGATTATGCTAGGCCATAGGATTGGGAAACCGTTTTCAACCAACTAGTGTTGAATTTGAGATGGGTTAGCGTTACTTTTAATGGTTCATTTGGCCAATGAGGACCTTTTTTCAGCCAGCAAATCTTGGCATATACCGTCCTGTAAATACCAACATAGATGTAGAAAAGCCATGGGAAAAGCCGTTCGGAACATGGCGACTCTACATCCATGGTGGGTTTTCCACATCTATGTACCCTCTGGTAATTTAACGTAGCTATTGAAAATGGCCATTTAGAGTGGATTTACCCATTAACAATGGCCATTTTCAATAGCTATGTTAAATTACCAGAGGGTAGACGTTTTCCCAGGGTATGATACGTGTGCCCTCCATCATGACTCATTTATGACCATGACTCAACAGGACCATTTATCGCAGATCTGATCCATTTAAATTGGAGGTACAAAAAATTATCAGATAACCCCGTGGCATCCAACAACGATCAAGGTAAGCTAAGATAGTACAGGAAATGTAGTGGTTACCCTCTGGTAAATTAACATAGACCCTGAACATCACCAATTTTTAGAGGAAACTAATCTTCCAACCCCTACCAGGGTCGAACTGTTAATTTACTGAAGGGTAATGGTATGATAATCAAGATGAATGGTCAAGAAACGAGGGCTAAAACTAAGGGCTCCTGGTGGAGATCTATTGGACAACTCGGCGGTTGGATTGTGACATCCCCAAATTCTGCCAGGGGAGGTCCCCCAGTGAAAAGTTCGTTTATAAATGTTTATAAAGCCATGAACTATAGTGTTACATCCATCAATTTCCCCAAATTCGAAGTCACCTGGGAGCCTCACCTTGTGTGAAGATGGGGTGTCCGAAACCTCAATTTTCTTCGTGTCGATCAAAAAAGGGAATGGTGAAGCCGCCGGTGCCCGGATCAGCAACTCCAAGATGATTCATTCGGATAGTGCTTCGATTTGCAACTCCAATCTTTGGGAAAACCACCGTGATAGTTACATAAAATACCTATTTTGTAGCAGGTCACCTGCTACTCATGTTTCACATACCATCTGGTTATGACTAACATAGCCATGGAAAATCACCATGCTATTAAGAACGGTAAACCATCTATAAATGGGCCATCTATACCATGGCTATGTTAGTCATAACCAGAGGGTAATACTTCGTTACATGTGTCATGGTCAAAAGTTGGGGTGGATTGGCCATATTGAGGGATGGTCATCAATGCATAAAAAGGGCATAGTATGGCATATTTAATATATACCTTATGACCATTGCAGATTTCACACGTGGCAATGGAAAACCACCCATTTACAGAAAGGTGTTCCAATAAAACGCCATCGAAACTAGTTTTTTCAGCTTAACTGGTTTGATTACCGGAGGGTATATCCCCTTAAGTGGATTATATATTATCATCCCATTGATTTTACCATTGAATCACCATGAACATTCCCCATAAAAATCACCATTAAATGGCCGTTACCGGAGGGTACCCTCTGGTAAACACACACAAAACTATGGAAAGATCCACCATTTTTAGTGGGTAAATCCACTATTTCTATGGGCCATGTTCAAGTGCTCTTTGTATCTTTACCAGAGGGTACCCCATGAAACATCTTATGCTAAATTCCATTGAATGCCATGAAATCATCATGATCGACTCCCCACGATTTTCTCTCAAAAACGATGCAGGCGACGACGTGGCCAGCGCCATGGCAATCGTGCCTTAGACTGGAAATTCACCATTGAAATGACAAGCAAATCTTGTTTTTTGGCAAATCATCCAAGTAAATTTCAATGGGCCATAGCTACTATAGCTAACAAATTAGCCGGGGGTTTTGAAAAAGAACTGACATAGACTTACTAACGTGCTATGCACACAGTGTTTGCAGAGGTTGCAGGTTGTCCCCAGAGGTTTCTGCATGTGCTTGAATCGGTGTGATTTTCCTTGGTTTTAGTCCCAACGTTCAAGGGGTTCTACCCTCCAGTAAACTAACATGGTTATGGAAAATCAGCAATTTATAGACGATTTACATGTTAAACTTGCGATGTTCCATAGCAAACCGTGAAATTGCCAGAGGGTAACATGGTTCAACATCCTTTTTTGGTGGCTAAAATTAGTGGCTGTTCCCCAGATATTCTTTAAAGATACAATGAACAGCGTCATTTCGCCCAGCAAATTTAGGGCTGGTGTCCAAATTAGGGTGCGAACCGTTTCGCATGTTGGGCATGTTGGTTCATTTTGTCCAATTTTGAAGGCTTCAACGTTACTTCCTAAAATCATGTTAACTGGTGGCTAGAGAAAGAAGAGAAAGACAGAGGCATGCAGTCCCGCAGTTGAAAAGAACAACGGGTGGTTTTCTTTCCCCAATAGACCGCCCTTGGGCTTAATTACCATCATCCATATCATCCATGAAGTGGATGTGTCAACCAACCATTCTTGTTGTTGCTTTCCAACTGTTTTTTTTGCCAGAGCTTTTAAGAAGTCCAATCATGAAACCATCCCCAATGTCATCATCATGTTTCCAGGAATGGCTGAGTAGTATCCCCAATTTTTCCAGGAATGGGTAGTATTACTACCAGTATAAACCATCCCATACCCTCTGGTAAACTAACATAGTTTATTGAAAATGACCATCTATAGTGGATTTACTCATTAAAAATAGTGATTTTCCATAGCTATGTTAGTTTACCAGAGGGTACCATCCCCAAACAAAACGGGGCTTACCGCTCAGGTCCACAAGCGGGTGCTCGAAGGCGTTTCTGCTTGGTTTGGCGATCCCAGCTCGGTCTTGGTTTGGCCAAAGGGCAACAGCAAAAGAGGGGAACGTTTACCCAGCAAACAGTGGCTATCATTGATATATATATATATATAATTATATGTATATATATATGTATAATATATATATATTGATCATATATATATATATACTGATATACGACGTTATAAATATATACAGATATTTGATGATATTTGGATATTTGTACATATGGTAGGCAACAAGATCCAGGACAGTTCTTTGATCATTTCGGGCTGAATGCTGACGGATGGATATGATGGATGCAAGTCCCTCCATTTGGATTCCTGGAAGCATCCTCAATGACCTCTGTTTTGAGGTGCACTTACGTCGCAGAGGGCCTCTGTTTGCCGTCTGGAATGGAGAAGAACCAATTGAAGGCATGACAACAGTCGCGAGAAAAGTTTGGGGATGCAATCTACTGTAGTTTTTGTTTGGGAACATAATCATGCTCAATGTTTATCAAAGTTACGTGAACATTGATGGGTGCCAGAGGTTTCAACCATTATTTTTGGCATTTAACACATACGATGAATTTGCTGATTGGCAAATCTTGGCCGAAGTTTGAGATTGAGGCCCCCAAAACACTTGCTTTGTTTGGACGTTTGAACACACCATTTAATAATTTAATACGTACTATCTCCGCCAGTCAACAATCATCCACGGCGCAAAGCTTACCCACCCAATTTTTCAGACGGATCCCCATATTGTTCTTTTTATCATGGATTCCCAGAAATGGAAACAGATTCTCCAAAGCCATAAACAAATTCATGACCTACACCTCCTCATAGCCACTTGAGCCAGCGTTGGCCCGGCAGATGGCAGATGATTTTATGGGGTTCTTGGGATTTCGCAGACATTGGTTGCATCGTCACTTGGTGTTCCACTTTGTCCCAACGCTTGGTCAACTTCCCAAGTTCTTGGGGTGACCAAAAAGCACCTGGGAATCAGTAAATGTTTGGTCATATGGGCCACGGTCGAAGCATAGAGTGTTTTCATGTGTTTTCCATATTGGGGGAAGATCATCAATCCATTAATAGGGATATATTATAATATATATAATATGATATAATATCAATATATAATACATAATATATATATATATGTATATATATACCAAGGATTCGCAATAGATGGATGATGACCATAAACCATTCATCCCTTGTCACTTGACCATGGCACATATGTCTGGTATTGCCAGCCATCCTAAATGTTGCTTGGGAGTGTCAAAGCAGCATTTCCAGTTGGATGGGTCTATAAACCACCCGAACTTGGGGGCATCCTGCATCAACCTTCCATATTACGGTTCCCATATATTTCAATGTTCTTTTGGGTATAGGTCTAGGTCCTCAACCCCCCATGAAAAACAGGGACTATAGATCCGACCAAAACTCTGAAGCGCTCCCTCCGAAGCATATTTCCAATTATTTCCAAGCCACTCCTCATAACCACCACTTGATTCACTAGATTTTTAGGTCTCCCTCAAATTCACTGGTGAAATTTCCAATTTTCCATATGTGCTATGATCAAAACTTGGGCTTCCGTTATCCTTTATCCATCCATTAATAGGGATTTATACAAACATTGCAAGGGATTTCTATACCATAAACCATAAACATTCCGCAGAGGGACCCCACATCATGACATCATCCCTGACTCCAAGAATCTATCTTCCAACAATCAGGCTTTCCAAACATGACTGGTTGCTGGTTGGTGGTTTGGAACATTTTTTTATCATTTTTTATGACTTTCCATATATTGGGAAGTTCGTAACTCCAACTGTTACTCACTCCATCATTTTTCAGAGGGGTAGGTCAACCACCAAGCAGTATTTCCCAGTCATCATCCATATTTTCATGGTATTTTCCACCATAAACCATCCATATCATCCATTTATAGATGGGGGTAGGTCAACCACCAAGCAGGTAGCCATTGTGATGAGAATGGCTCCATCGTCGCCGGTCCCCCTCGCCGGTTCTCGCCAGACCTTGGCCCGAAGCATCGAGGAGAACTCCACGCGACCCTTGTCCAAGCTTTTCGCTGAGGTGCGAGTGCTGGAGGAAATTCCAGCAAGACCATTGGAGCGTTGACCGATGAAAGTTATTAAATGACAAGATTGGCCGATAAAATGAGCCCATAATTCAATAATTCTCAGTTTTTTACTAAATTTGATGGGTACTTTGAGTGTTTTGGGAGATTTATACAATCTATAGATAGTATGGGGACAGTTAAGTGGGTAGTTCATGGACGATGACTCGCTTGTGACTGTCGGATCCACTGGTGTGTGGCTGTTGGATGCGCTCGCTTGTACTTGTCTATTTCCATCATCACCATGACCATCATGATCATCATGATCATCATGATCATCATGATCATCATGATCATCATGATCGTCATGATCGTCATGATCGTCATGATCGTCATGATCGTCATGATCGTCATGATCGTCATGATCGTCATGATCGTCATGATCGTCATGATCGTCATGATCGTCATGATCGTCATGATGATGATGATGATGATGATGATGATGATGATGATGATCATCATCATCAGGATCATCGGGATCATCATGATCATCATGATCATCATGATCATCATGATCATCATGATCATGATCATCACGATCATCACGATCATCATCATCATCATCATCATCATCATCATCATCATCATCATCATCATCATGATCATGATCATGATCATGATCATGATCATGATCATGATCATCTTCATCATCTTCATCATCATCATCATCATCATCATCAGGATCATGAGCAGGTCCCTTGTCTCCCGGGTTCCGACTTATATAGGTGATACCCTAAATGCGACATTTAGTGGGAGCTGACCCTGAAATGTGGGTGCAGTTGGGATTATGTTCATGGGTCTAACTATGGTATTATTCAATGTTATTAATGATTCATTATATATATATATATATGTGCATACACATGTTTTTTTGTCAGCTGGTCAACTCTTCTTCACTTCTAATCACCATTTATGATTAATCTGCCGCTGAAACGACCATTTTGCATCATGTATGCATTTGTTGTTGGGATGCTAAATGCTTAAACTCTCCCATTGATGGTTGGTGTGCCCATATGGGCATAGATCAATACCTATTTTAGCATGTTTGGTGGGCATGAACATACATGACTACCAGCTGGTCTGGTGTGAACAAAAGGGTGCCGGGGTTCTAATCCACACCCCAAATTTGTGTGTGCCGCTAAAATCTATGGTTTATCATCACTTTTTTTCAACTGAGATTGCCATTTGGAGGGTATACCACATGTTTAGACACATGCACATATCGTTAGTTACATCTAGTTACCCTCTGGTAATTCAACATAGCTATTGAAAATTGCACATTTATAGTTGATTTACCTATTAAAACATGTGATTTTCCATAGCTATGTTAGTTTACCAGAGGGTACATATCCCACATGAGTATCTCGTAAATGGGAAGTTCAGGACCCCAAAATAGAGGTACTGTACAAAAACCATAGAAATTGGATGCATATCCCCTGAACATTTAGCCCATTGATTCTTGGGATGCAATGTGTAAAAGCCTTACTTTTTGGGGCATTAGGTTAATGATTGATAAGACTGGAAGGCATTTCGGGTAATGAATCCAATTAATGATTGATTTAAAAGCTTCTCAATGTCGCATTTTGCGGCATGGAAGATTATAAGAACCACGGTTTCTTCAAGCCGTGTCAGGCACTGTTGTTACGCACCATGGAGTCGTTGAGCGAGCAGATCCTGCACTGCCCAGGGGCCCAGCGTTAAGAGTTGATGGGGAGCTAACTCTCTTGGGAACCGCATATGTTAAAGACAACATTTAACCATTTATGATATAATATGACATAACATGGCATATATGATATAATATAATATAACATGATGTATATATATAACATGATATAGCATTATAATATATAATGTTATATCACATGAGATAACATGATATAACCGTATGAACCGAGCATAACCATACCATCTTTTCAGTTGCGTCGTTGCGTCCAGGCCCCGAACGGCTGGCGTTTCTGTACTTCAAAATTCTAGTGGCTTCAAAGGCTGGAGATGGGAACTGCGGGAAACTCCAAGTTTTCTGGTGGTTTTATGGATGGTTTTTGTTGGGTTAATCATCGTTAATGATATGGTTAATATAATGGTAATGGATGGGAACGGTGAATCATGGAATTGGGAAATTGGGGATATTTTTATGATTTATGGATGATATGGATGGAGGTTTAACAACAATAGCGATGTATAGGGATAGTTGGGACAATGATGGGATATACCCTCCGGTGTCATCAAACATGCTTAATTAGCTGAAACATCCCCCAGCCATAGTCTGATGATTTTCCCAGCGAACGACACCTCCAGGCAGAGTCTCCCCATCCCCCTTTCATATTAAACACCCCCACAAACCACGTCTTTTTATTTGAAGGGATTTACACATATTTGGGACGGTACAATGGGTGTGTTTAATGTTAGGGGGCTGGATTATGCCATGTCTTTTGGTGAATCAATCATTCTGAAACATGTTTTAATGGAAAAACAAAAAGATTTGCCGAGGAAACTTGATTGCATAAGTACCCTCTGGTAATTTAACATAGCTATTGAAAATCACCATTTTTCATGGGAAAATCCACTATTTCAATGGCCATTTTCAATAGCTATTTTGACATAACCAGAGGGTATGACCTTGAACATGATGTGTCCAGGACTGGATGACGGCTGGGCCAGTCGCCTGATAGCGTAAGAATTCTGAAAGTAGGAAACCATCCTCTTTGTCTTGTATAGATTTGTATAGTATAACTAGCGCACTCCCACACAATATGCGCTTGACATTGGAAGGATTTGTTCCTTTTCAACATCAACCTTCATTAGACTAATCAGTTCAATATAACGTCCTTTTAAGCTTCACTAGACCCATCAGTTCAAGATAATGATGCATGATTCATGATGATATCAAAGGTTGCGTCATTTCGTCTTATGATCACCTGCTGATACATGGATTCAGATGATTCAGTACACCTGAATGGAGCAACAACTTTTTCAACATCATGGGGTAGACCTTGGTTTGGTTTGATGTTCATGCAATACCCTGTAATAGTAAGACACTGATACATATATATATACACATACTATATATACACATACTATATATATACTATATATACACTATATATATAATAGTACTCGTACTCTATATGTCAGTGATTTTCCACTCCAAAAATAAGACGTCTTGTCAACAGTTTCCATGCTGAATTCTCCTGTGGCAGGAAGAGCTAGGAGATGATGATCTCCAGCCGATGAGTGCAATCCTGGACTTGGAGACTTTACAGGCGGATTTTTGGGACGATGGAATCGGGATGGAAACAGCCAAGAATGGAAGGTCACGGGTGAAATTAAGAGTTTCTTGGGAACAAAATGGAGCACAAAAATATATGTATATATATATATACATATTTGGATCTCATCAGAAAATATCAGACGTAGAAAGGAAGCGTTTTTCTTGCCGAGCACAGTTTGCTTGCAGAAAAATAGTCCATTATGGCAGCCATGGCACGGTGCCAGGATGGTTTGGATCAAATTCAATTCCACTCCAATCCCTTCGAGTGGAAGAGGCAGGGTGGGCCACGGGACTAGGTTGGCTATCGCATTGAACCAGTGGCTGATCAGCACAGTTCCCACTTTCTAGTTGGGATGGTGAAGCAATACTTCAAGTAAAGCAATACAACCAATGATGACTAAATCAATGGTGTCACAGTGTCACCCAAATTGATTTCAGAGAAGACCCCCGGGCAAAACGCAGGACGTTAAGTAAAACTATGGCGCGTATGGTCCAGATTCTGCTTTCTGGCTGCTTGCAACGTAGCGAGCCCTGTTCCAAAGGATCAAGAATCAAGGCACAAAAAATCACAGAATGGTATTTTCAAACCACCAATTTGGCCTATGTCTATACCTTACCCAAATGTGTTTTATTCTTTCTCAGATCCACATTTCAAACCTAGCCCATCCAAAGTGCTTACCCTCTGGTAGTTTCAGATAGATACGGATGCTTCGGAAGATTGCCCATTTATCATTGATTTACCTGTTAGGACTATCAAAAAGGGTGATTTTCCAATTGCCATGTTTGGTTCCCTGAGGGGATACATATACTGTATATATATATATTTATTTAAATACATACATATATATATAGATAGTTATATATATAGTTCTGTATATATATATATATATACTTGAGCCCCAGGCCCTGACAAAAAGCACATCCATTCTCTGTCCAGGATGCCAAACGGACGAGGGTCGCTTGGTATCAACTTCGACGACATCAACGAATGCCGGGAACCCATCGGTGGAAGAACCTTGGCGACTCGGTGATATTTTTTTCCATGAAAATAGCAGGTGGTCATTGATCTTTAAGCATGTTCATGGGAGTAATGACTAATTAATAATGACTAATAATGACTAATAATGACCAAAAATGATTAATAATGACTAATAATGACTAATAATGACTAATAATGACCAAAAATGATTAACAATGACTAATAATGACTAATAATGACCAAACATGACTAATAATAATTACTAATAATGACTAATAATGACCAAACATGATTAATGATGACTAATATCATTGATGCTCATGGATTTTCTACCCCTTCCGATCCATTCCGATTCTCCACGGTCACGGTATCTTGGTATCTTGGACGGGTAGCATGACCGAGGTGGCATTCAATGTCGGGATGAAGTGGTGAAGACGCCGGGGGCCCCGGGGGCCCCGGGTTGGTCCTTTCCACCCGGAAACCACTCCGTGCAGTCATGGGGAGTAGGGAAAAAACCACTGAAACAATGGTGTTTTATTTGGAATTATATAACATTGATGACATCATTAAGGGAATTTTTTGGGGAATCTCATTCCAAACAGATTCCATTTATATGATTATATGGAGGTTTCCGTTTTGTCATGGGGGTACCCCTGTACCATCATCTAGCCGTCATGGATGGTTTTGCTGGCTGTTGATTCCCCTACAGATGGGAATTTCATAGGAGACCCATACCGTAATACAAGGTGGTGCCCCCCAGTTATAAGTTGGCGTATAAACATTTATAAACCATATAAGTATAAATATATATATATATATCTAACATAAACCAACTTATAACTGTGGTAGATATAAAGATAAAACAACTTAGTTAACTAAGTTGGTAAGAAATCCCATAGTTATTGGAGTTATTTGCACCAACTTAGCTAACGAACTGGGGCACCACCTTAGGCAACCGACTTCACGTCCCCCGAGCCTTGTTGTCTCCCGCAGGTTTAAGGAACCTCGGAGCTTGATGGTCTGGAAGCTCAGATGCTTTCGTGTCACGTGGGTCAACCACATGTCTACATTAATACACTATTTACCCTCTGGTAATTTAACATAGCTATTGAAAATGGCCATTTATAGTGAGTTTTCCCATTAAAGATAGTGATTTTCCATAGCTATGTTAGTTTACCAGAGGGTAATACATATATGTATATATACAATATATATATAATATTGTATGTATACTGTATCTATCAGGAAAAAATATACTATTTCTCATATTGATACCTTTAGTGTGTTATATGTTTATATATGTAGATGATTATGCATATAGAGATATTGATATTACCCACAAATAAGATATATCACCTGCAAATATATGGGATCTCTGTCTAAACAGAGAGAAACACTTGTTGCAGTTACTTTTTAAGTCCCCCATTAACGAGATAGTAGAAGGGAATGAACTGGGATGAACTTTTGTTTTTTTTGCACCTACGAATCTATTGAAAGATGATGAAGATGATGAACTTCAAGTCAAGTCCAGACTCAAACACAGTTTTTTTCTGCGACAAAAACTGTGGGACTGCGATTTTTCACCGAGGTGGTTCTGGATTTCCTCATTTGCTACCGAGTGCCTTCCATGCTCAAGTGCTTCGGCTGGAACTCACCTGAAACGCAAAAAAAATCGGAACGGGAAGCCGAAAATTGGGGAATTGGAGAAGTATTATGATAGTGCTATGATCTGCGATGTGTTTTGTTGCATGATGGTGTTTTATATAATGTATGGCCCCTTGTTTGGTGCATCAGTCAATAGCATCAACCGAAGATGGGTCAAAATGCTTGAAAACACAAGAGGAAGCTGCAAGCTTTGGTTATCCTGATTGTGAAAAACCGTCCAATTTTGGAATACACAAAAGCCCCTGTTTTTCGTTGATCACCCCACTTTTGGCGGGTGATAGTTAAAAAATATCTTGTGGCTCTCCGCGGCTCTCTTGTGACTGATATGCACCCGTTTTTGATCCCATTTTGTAGGTTTCTCAAATGTGTTTTTGCTAGTTGCCCTGCAACTAACGTACCCTCTGGTTATTTAACATAGCCATGGTATAGATTGCCCATTTATAGATGGTTTAGCTATTAAACATGGTGATTTTCCTTGGCTATGTTAGTCATAACCAGATGGTAGATGTGGAAAACCCACCATCGATGTATGATTTGCTGATGGGTTCCCACATGTTCCCACATGAAAACCGCGAATGGCGTTGACCGTTCAGAACGTGATTTTACCTGCCATGTTGACCAACAGCCGCATGGCTCACCAAGGGTATGGACGCTCCTCATTTCCGTCTACATCTATTTGGGCACAGGTGGACGCACAGGACATAGCTGTGGTTCCAGCTGTGGTTCCAGTAAGTTAATCATGATGACTTTTCAACATATCATCCAACAAAAGAAAGTGGATTTTCAGATCATTGGTTTGTATCAACTGAATTTTTAGAATAGTCGATAATCAATATGATAACATAAGTTTACAACTGGATTTTTTGGATCATTTCACTTAAACGTTGTGAATTGTATCGCACTGCTTTGTGAATAGTCCTGGTACAGTATGTCCTGGTTGTGCATCTTTAAGCCTATTGGATCTATTGGGATCATCAGGATGGGGACGAGGTCATGGGGGGGTCCAAATTCATGGGGACCCCAAAAATATCCCACAATCATTGGGGTTATTGGATCTTGGTTACTTTTAAAGGTCTCCCCAGTAAAATATCTTCATAAAAATAAAAGTCTTTCAAGATATGCAAGATATTGGTGACTTTTATTGGGGAGACCGAGACCTGAAAATTCCAAGGAGTTTTCATTTCAGCGGCCCATAGAAAAGCAACAGCCTTCAGTTGCATGTTCGGCAATGACAGCGGTTTTGACAGGTTTCGGCAATGACATCACCACGTCCTTTAATGGTTCTTGGTGCGCAGAGTGATGTCGTTTTGGAATTTTGGGCGATGTTGTGGTCAATGAGATCACCTGCTGGGTGCCTTTATGGGCAAACTTCACAGCGTTGTTATATTAACATGGCTATGGATCAATACCTATAGATACAATTTGTTAGGGGATGAACGGATGAACCTTCATAAATCCCAGCTGTTTTGATGTGAACAGAAGGGGTACAGGGTCTTGACATGTCTTGACCCATCAAAGGTTGGGAGAACAGCCGCTGTTCGGCAGCGGTTGGTTTGCAATGTGTACAGTACCTGAGTTGCCAAGTGCCATGGCCAGCGTCTGTGAGAACACGCCATCTAAAGATTTGAACCATTCGAAGCAAACATCCTGATGTGGGGATGAGTCTTCCTATCTATGGTACAAATTTTCAGGGGAAGGAGCATGAAGAAATCCCAGCTATTTTGGTGTTCACACGGGCAAAAACGGGTTTTGACGCCTTCTGATGTTGGAAATCAGTGCTGAATCTTTGGTCTTTTTGAATTGAAACCTGGCAAGGTACAAGCCGAAATGGTTGCGGCTCAACTTCATCCAATACGCCGCAGCAGTTGGGATGCCCAGCAGTTGATCTGAGGTGCCAAAGAGCTTGGACATGTCATGCTTGTGGATCTATGATCCATAAAAAATGCCAGTATTAAAAAAAACATAGATGATCAACAATGATTATAGATAATATAACCTATGGATTTAAAAAATATGATGATTATAGATAATATAATCCTGGATTGATCTATGATCAACATAATCTATGGATTATCAACAATTATCCATAATCCATAATCCATTTTCAAGAACCATTGTCAGGATTATCACCCAGATGATGTTTGGGTATTTTTGCAGATTGGTCATCATGAAATCATGTTTTTTTTTTCATCACCCCCAGAGTCAGGTGAAGATTCACCCAGTCATTGTGGTTGTTTGTTTCAGAAACCCTGAATTGGCCCTGAACCTAAACATGAAGGGCATGGAGGTCATCTGGGGGGTTAAATTGTCATGAAGAAATGCTTCGATTTATTGATTTGAAGACATTTGAAGATACCCTCCGGTAATCAAACATGGCTTGCTGGAAAATACACTATTTGTAGGTGATTTTCCTATTGAACCCCCCCATTTCTAGTGGATTCCCAATTGCCACGTTTGATTACCGGAGGGTATGTTTAGACATGCTTAAGATATCTAAAGATGTATCAAGGCCCTCCGCCCTCCGCGGCGTCTTTGGTGCCGGAAGTGTCACCATAGGTTACAGTGTAGGGGTCCCAATGGCTGTGAAAATAGGGTATCCCATGGTTGTTTATGTCTATTTTCATGTACCCTATTATAAATGGCCATTTTAAATGGGTACATCATGGTACATCCCATTTTCCATTTAAATCCCAATGTTTTTCAGGGTAACCTGCCCAACTCCATGATGATTTCCCTCATGACTTGCGACCAAGGCCGATGCAGTTGCATGGGTGGTGTTGGAGACCCTAACGATCCTGTACACTTGTTGCTTGGAACGGAACTGGGGGAGGAAGCTCGATCCGGTTTATTTATTTGGACAACCCCATAAATCATGTTTTCCGCATATGTTGTATATGAATGTATATGAATATATATAATATATATATATATATATATGTTTTTATCTCTATATGAATGTAGGTTAATGTGCACACATGATGTTTTCCACGGAAAGGGGAGCTTGGTCGGCTTTGACGTTGGAGAGAACGGCCCCACCACGAGTTCACGTGAGGATCTTCCCAAACCAATTCGCCCTACGTTGATACGGCACATGGATTGTCCCCGAGAGGTGTCCTTGGATTCCGTATGATGCTCTGCAATCTTCCAATGGGTTGATTGGCCATGGGCCATTGGGGGTTAATTAAAGCTGTTCCAATGATCGGACTAGTTGCCAGTTCCTCTAATCTTAACTAAACAAGAACCAACATGGGGGGCATTGCTTGAACCATGAACCTCTGCCTACATGATTTGATATCTGGCTTCTCCAAATACCTTGAAGCTTTGTAGTGTTGTGAACAACAACCTGGGCCGCAGGAAATCACCGGGAATCCTGGCCTGAAAATTACATGCTACATCATGGTACCGTAGTAGCAATCACTACTGGCCACGGTCAGCATTTTGTGGGGCCTCCTCTTAGTTTTTGGTGGATGCTTAGCTACCAATCAACCGCGGACCCCTGGCATGCGGGTGAGTCAAACCCGGAGTAAGCCTTGGCTAGGTAGGTTCAAAAACGCTGTTTTTCTGCCCTAAATGTGAGGGAACTGAATGCATTCAGCAATAAGCAACTATTTTGCTGAGTATATACAAGATTATGAGCCGTTCAAAATGAATCTTGTGGTTCCATGTTCTGTGATTGTCCATCTTCCCAAAAAAATGGGAGCATCCGAAGTCGTGAGAAGACAATCTTTGCTCCCAATTATTAAATATCTTGGTGATTTTGGAAGCATCCTACGAAGCATCCTAGTCATCATGATCCAAATTCTTGTGATTGTCATCCCAAACAACTAAAAAAAGTCGAGATGATTTTTGTGATTGTCATCCATTGTCATCCTAAACACCTTTTCAGAACATCTTTGGAGCACCATGGCAGACCAGCCATGGCATCTTCTTGGGTCGGTTGCGCCCAGGTTGGCAGCGTTGGCCCTCCTTATGTCGACGTTCTCCCGGGGTCCCAGGTCGTGGCTTGCTCCAATTTTTTGGGTGAAGATGATGGGAATTTCCATGGGAATATCATGGGAATCACAATTTTTGATGGGAAAACTATGGTAAATCACAATTTTTAATGGGAAATCTATGGGAAATCACAATTTTTAATGGGAAATCTATGGTAAACTAACATAACTATGGGAAGATCCACCATTTCGAATGGGAAAACTCACTATAAATAAATGGGCCATCTATACCATAGCTATGTTAAATATTGTTAAATTACCAGGGGGTATTGGTGAAGATGGTGGGAATTTCCATGGGAAAAAAACTTGGGAATCCTGTGGCTATATGAATCGGATCACTGGGAAAATAGTGGGATGCGTTTTTTGGAGTATGACCATGTATGACCAATATGATCTGATCATATGAAATCATATGTGCCTGAAACGATTATTTTCGTAAGTTCACATGGATAGTGGTTGTAGGGTCAGTGGTTGCACTTGAGGTTCTCCCGGCAGTTTAGAAACGCAAAATGCAGATCGCTTGGGCAGCTGTCTTTCAAAAACCAGCCCTGATGAATAGAATATTGAATGGAAGACATTATTTGGATCGCTTTGGGAAAATCTGATATATAACTAAACTTTAGGGTATACTGCATGTTCTTGGAATATGTTCTTGGAATATGTTTTTCTTTGGAAGATCACCAATGGTGGTTTCTTAAATATGTCTGTTGATGATCCAAACTGAGGATGCCCTTGGTGCAAAAAGAAAACACGTTTTACTTAGTACTGCCAGTATTTCGTTGTGATATGTCCCAAGACACAGATTGTATATGATTGTATTATAGGCATACACATGTCAACCGTCGACCCATAGATGTATTGCATATATTGATAAGTATTGTCTCTTTATTGTGTTTTTCATCCACACAGAATAGTTTTCTTCCTTTCGCAAACCCCACGACGCCATCGCTCTGAGTTAAATGGATCATGGCTCACTTCCTCAATGCCTTGCTCTCTGCTGCGGGCGCGAATTCCGGACGGGATGTTGTCCCCAAGGGGACCGGTGGTGCAGCTTAAGCACCAAACTTCTAAGTGATTACAACCATACCTATGGCAACCCCCAAATTAGATAGATACAAAGCTTGGGGACTGTCATTCTATGATATTCTGATATCAAGAATTTGGAACATGATCAAAAAGATACGCAATATGGCAATATCCCTATGGTATCAGTGTAATTGTTGGTTGTTTAGATCATGAATCAATCAGTTATTAGTGTGAATAGTCAATATATATATAGATGGCAATAGATATGAAGATACTATCAAGCATAATAATATACCAAGAAATATATCAAGAATAAGGACGAAATTATGAAAAAGATGCCTAGGATAGCCATGGTGAATATCTCAAACATATCCCAAACATCAGCATTTTATCATCACCAAAAATACCGCTCGAGGTATACTGAGATACCCAGCGGATTTCTTTACTGAGATACCCAGCGGATTCCTATGTTTCATAGCTATTTTTTTTGAAAGGTACTCAGCGTTACCTCAGGTTATGGGAGGATCCTCATGGTAAAATCTTCCCCGGATTTTTGTCTCCCCCATTGATTTCCCCATTTTGCTACCACCTGGGACAGGCTTTGTGATGGTCTGGAGCAATGGGAAGTTTGCGACAAAGCCCTGGCAGTCGGGATCCGAGTCTGGGGAAAATTCATGGACAAACAACTGGGGATTCCCATGGAACATATGGAGGTTTTAAACTCAAAAAACCATGAGATTCTTGGTGTCTCCAAGTCTTTTTGATGTTCTTTGATTTTTTTTTGTTTTTTGCGAGTTGTTAAGTTACCCTTCCATGGATTTTTGGAGATTTGGACTGAAGGTCTTTGAGTATTCCTTTTCCAAAGGGAATTGGGATTCTGGTCTCTAATTCCGTTTGGAAACATATCTATCATTATCTATCTATATAATCATTTTTTTTGCAGAGCTTTCTATGAAAAGATACGGGTTTCCATAGCAACATTTGTTCCAAAAGGGTATATAGCCCCCAAGTCGACATGTTTCATTACCAAAAAGGGGAAGTATCCTTACCCATTCCATTCTAATCTAATATAACAGCAACATATTGCAACCCCCAAAAAGATAGAAATACCGAAATACCTAATAAATTATTCCTTTCTTTTGAGGGTAATAAGTTATTAGACTTGTTGACGATCATCCAACCGTGAGCTGCAACACAGGTGTCGCCAGTCTGACAGCAACGAATGCGTGGATGAGCGAGCTGCCACCTATATGGAGCGGTCGACGAGGGATTGACCGGGATAATTTTTGAACTTAGGGACATGTTGGAAATAGTAAGTGGGGTATATCCAATTTATCCATATAAGGTCACAATGGTTGTTTGTTCTTTTGGAGGGGTGTTTACTTTCCGGGTTTTCTTTCCTAGTTCGGAATATTTGAGATAATGCTCCAGAATCACTCATATTCTTCGAAAGATAAGCCATGATATCATACATGTATATAATATTATTATATATGTGTATGATTGTGTATGTTCAGTAATCATATATATATATACACATGTATACAATATATACATATACGTAGTATGTATATGTATGTATATATATATGTATATATATATATACATATTATACATACACCGTCCAACAATCAAACATGGCTTGTTGGACCATTCCCCAGCCATAGTTCGTTGATTTTCGGAGTGGAAGACACCTCAAAAAATGAGTTCGGGAAGACACCTCCGCTGCTGGGACATTTCCTGGAAACAATAGGAGAATCATGATGATTTATTGGATGGAAATGGGCATGTCCGTTACATTTTACAGATATCATTGAACTAATTACCCTCTGGTAAACTAACATAACTATGGAAAATCACCATTTTTAATGGGAAAACTCACTATTTCAATGGCCATTTTCAATAGCTACGTTAGTCATTACCAGAGGGTAACTAATTGCGGATGTTCCGAAGTTCCCAGGTGAACTTGCCGGAGAAACGATCTGTTTTTCGCTGGAAATTTTCACAACTCTGGATACAACGAGTCAACGAGTTTTGCCAACAAAGATAGGGATTTTGCTCAAGATAGCTTAGCGAAAAAAAGTTCGCAAATCCACACTTGATATCAATTTTTACCCCGTATCTTCATTTACAGTGTTTGTTTTGTATATTCATTCTTCCAACATCGAACATGTTCCATCATTAAGTCTTTTTCTCTAAAAGATCTCATGCCATCCTTGTGCCCATCTACCCCTTTGCAACTTGAAAAAAACGGTGCGACATAAAAGTTAGCTGAAAGTAACTTATACACAGTAAGTCTCTACACATCAAGATCGAAATAGAAAGTTTCTTGTGTTCCATTCTTTATTTGCCGCTCTAAATCAAGATTCTCCTCCATTCGGTCTTTGTTGGAAGCATGACTGTTCCCTGGTAGGTGGTATCAAATATCGTCTATTTTCCATTATGCCAAGAAACAGTGGTGAGAACGGGGCCTGAAAAAAAAAGTATACAATGTCTCAGTGATTTGATTCACCTAGCATCGTACATTTGAATAGTTTTCCATCCTTTTTTTCATCCCTAAAATTTGGGATGACCATCTCCCAATATGAGTTTATCTGAAAATAGGGTGAGAATTTCAATAAATTTGAACTCAAAATAAACCCTCATTTTCATCATTTTCCCTATTAAAACGGTCACAACTTTGGGTTGAGTCGTGCATCAGCCAGCCAAAATATTAATATCAAGTTGGCTTTATATTATCTCATATCCTTTAGATGATATATTATCCACTAATAATATAAGTTACCACATTAATTCGATCCCGTTAATATCCACAATTATCCCATTGATCTCCATCACTATCAGCAGGACCTCTGGAACACCTTGATGTGGGCCATCATCTACTGGTTGGCGCGGGTGATCCTCTTCTGGCTCTCGCACCGGAGGTCCGGAACCCGCGGTAAAGCCCAAATTTGGACACAAAAAACATCAAAAAATCCCGTCCTCCCCAGTTATAGATGGTCTTTGAATTAAAACCTCTCAGGATTTTTCATGGCTGCGTTTGATTGAGGATCTTATCCCCGTGGATGATCATCCCTTTGATGAATTGCCATTAAATCACCAGGGTCTCGAGGATCAGCCATTGCCTGGCGAGTGACCGGGGATGAAACTCACGACTGGGACATGCAGCAGGGTGTTGTTTCCCTGTGTTGAGCCATGGATTTTGGGGACACATGTATTATTATATAATATTGTATTGTAATTATGATACATGATACGTTATTCATAATATTGTTGGTATTGTAATTGCTAGTATGATGTATACATTATGTAGTATATTGTAGTATATAGTTTTGTGTATTGTGATGTATTATGATGTATTATGATGTATTATGATGTATTATGATGTATCATGATGTATCATGATGTATCATGATGTATGATGATGTATTATGATGTATTATGATGTATTATGATGTATTATGATGTATCATGATGTATCATGATGTATCATGATGTATCATGATATATCATGATATATCATGATGTATCATGATGTATCATGATGTATGATGATGTATCATGATGTATTATGATGTATTATGATGTATTATGATGTATTATGATGTATTATGATGTATTATGATGTATTATGTATTTTTGCTTAGCATTCTCCTAAAACCGACCTCGCAGGAAACACCAAGTTGACGGTCTGGTACCATGGAAAATCATCTACGGTGCACTTTGAGTGGTTTAGAGAATTGTTTGATATTTTGGACCACAACTCCCTGACTCGTTGGTCAGTCTGGTATAAGACATATTTTGGATTGTTTCCGTATACTCAACATCATTTGAATATCATCGGATTTTCTTCAGACTTTGCGATACCACAATTTTGTGGTGATTTTCCAATGTTGCCCGATTGTACAGGATTTCATGGTACATGTTCCATTTAATGATGTTGACAACTGCTATTTGCGCCCAGCAATAGTAGCTGCAGATTTATGATTGTTGTCAAAAGTTGATAGATGTTTCAGATTATATCCCTAATATTTCAACTAATACTAAAGTTTGTTCTTATGTTTTTCCAAAGCAAAGCCCAAGGCCTAATGATCTGGGGGTCTTTGAACTGAAGTTGGGTGATGTTTCATGACATTTACCAACCCCCATCCCAATCGCCAGGTCCTTTCCCATGTTCATCCACGGGACGCCTTGGAACAACGTGCGGAGGGAAGGTCAGAAGGGGGTTTCTTTGGAAATAGGCTACCCCAAAGCCTATGGATCATCAGAACATTCCCTATTCAAGTGGCCATTTATACCTGTATCCAGGAAATTTTTTGGCCACACCCAGATGTACATCCATTTTTACCCAAGTTTGACTGACAGAGCGTTTTGTTTTCAAGACCTGGAGTAATGAATTGAAGTTTCCAACGGATCTTGGAGATCAGAGCGTATCAGAGCTGACAGTTTTTGGTCTCAAAATTGGGCATCCTTCCTTTGGTTCCATCTCTTTCCAATTGCCGATATTTCAATATTTCCATTTGCTTGTTGATATTGCTGATATTGTTGACATTCCCGAATTAGTTGAAACAAAACTCTAGATGCAAAGAGAAAAACACTGACAAACACAATAGTTGACTCAGACTCAGAGATCTTCCCTTGAATCTGCCCAGACTATGGTTCCGTTCGAAGGTGGCAGAGGCAGCTGCGACCAATGGAAAGCCAATTGTCGTGTACGCATCATTTGGGCCTGGCTCCCCAGTCGTTGTTGGGATGTCGTTTTGGGACTGGATATGACTGGATGTTTCTGCAGGAAGCCAGGGACAACAGCGGGGTGCCATGTTTTTCGTTTGATTGATCAATTTTTTGAACATCTTCGAAGAACCTGCTGCAACTGGTGGGTAAAGAATGGTAAACTCCCTCCAAAGGGTGATTTTGAGCAATGGGCCGCGGATGGAAAACTCGAAGCTGGCGGGATTAGAGTTGCTTGGCAATGCTTTGATGAGTTGTTGAATCAATGTTTATCATAAACTGGTTGGTGGTTTGGAACATGGTTGATTTTTCCATATATTGGGCATTGGGAATGTCAATGAATGTCATCATCCCAACTGACGATTCGTCATATTTTTCAGAGGGGTGGCTTGAAATCACCAGATAAATGTAGTTAAGTCCCATTAGCCGAAAAAAAACCCTCATAATTAAAGGCATCCAAATGAATAGATCCAGGGGGTTCTCAAGGGTATAAAAACTTTGATCATCATCGTACGGGATTAATGTCAACCCCGGATGAGACTAAACCCCTAGGTTTATTAATTAGGGGGATACTCCTCCAATAGTCATTTCATCTAATACTTTTTTATGGTACCCCCCCAATTAAACAACCGTAAACGGGGGTTTAGCAAAATCCAGGGTTGACAAAAAAGTCATGAATCAAGTCCTAGATCTACTACCCTCTGGTAAACTAACGTAACTATGGAAAATTACCATGTTTCATGGGGAAATCCACTATAAATGGCCATTTTCATCCATTTTCAATAGCTATGTTAAATTACCAGAGGGTATCTCCAAATCTCCAACCTGAGTCCGAGTTTTTCGCTCCGCAGATCTTGATGTTGACGTGCAGCATTGCCATAGAAGTGGCGATCATCCTACCATCCATGAAAGGTGCACCGGAACAACGAATCTCTGGTGCCGGGCTGTATTGACGGAGCAAAAAGCCGTTGTTTATTTTTTCAGGAGTTCCCATCTACCCAGACTGGTTGGTAGTTTGGAACATTTTTGTTTTCCTTATGTTGGGAATGACTTTTTTTTTTCAGAGGGGTTGAAACCACCAACCAGCAGAAAGATGACATATCATACGTTTCACGAATGAGGAAATCCTAAGTGTTTTTCTTTGAATGACTGTTTGCTCAAACCTTGACCTTCTGTAGAATGCATGAATCTAGACATGAGTATGGGTGACAATGTCCCACGGAACCCACTCACGGGACTATAGATTTTGATTTTTTTAGTTTTTGGATGTTTTTTTTTTTGATTGTCAACCATCTGGGGTAGATCATCAACTTTGATCCCCACAATTCCATAGACATGTCTACAAGGTGGTGCCCCCGGTCGATAGCCAAGTTGGGTTCTAACTCCCACAACCAGGACTTTTGGGGCATCACATTGTATCGACACATCTTCCTACTGTGGATGGCTTAAATCCTGCACCAAAAGGATGGTTTTTCAACCATTGAAAACCTCTAAATAGTGAGATGTTTACCACATATCAACAATTATCAACATCTCTCAAGTGGTTTTCCGGATTTCGCTCGCCCAGCCACGGCTTCGCACGGTGCTCACGGGCCTCGTGGAGTGCAAAAAAATCGTTGCCAGGTTTGGATCTGAACACCGCCTGCGGTTTGGATGTTTTGGGAGATGTGCCTTGGCGGATCCTGACCGATGGCTACCCGGCCTGATTGAAAAACATCGAAAAAAAGCGATGGAAAAGCCATCATTTCTGATAGGTAAATCAACGAACTAAGTGGCCATGTTCAATATAGCTATAGTCTATTGTTCAACAGCTATAGTATAGCTATAGTATGGTAGTGAAAAAAATACCAGAGGGTACTCTAAATGACATTTTTACATAGTTTCACTGGAAAAGAACTTGAGAAACCTCTGGATTTTGGATTGAAAGGGGATATCGTGGGGATGATTCCCCAACAGCATCACCAGTTTGAAACGTGGCATTTGGGGAACGAATGATGCGCAATATTGTGAGGGAATCCTCCCAAGTAGTATTGTTGCTGTTTATTTCTGATTGATGATTCATTTTTCTGTGCGGGGAATCATCCATTGAAACTAAAATTCCGAAATCCACTTGAAATCCACTTGTGCATGGTTTCTTTCTTTGTTTCAACTCTCAAGAGGATATGGGTCATGGGTCATGAAACTGGTGTGACCGTGATGGAAAACGACCACTTTGCAAATACAAAAAAAAACGAGTTGATCAAACATGGGAACCGGATGGAGACGATTCTAGTAGTATGCTTTTCAGTTCCAGCGAACAACACAAAGATAGACGGACAAACACATGTGATGGTCGATGATGGCCAAAACGCCCAACATTTCACATATTCCAGCTTTTATTTCAAAGTAGCTACGCTGTAGATGACACAATCTTACCATTAATTTACCTATTTTTTGTGAAACACCCATAAAAAAACCCATAAACCCAGTGGCTAGGTCCATAGCTTTTAACATGTTTTAACCTACCGTGGTTTAACGGTGGGCCATGCCCCCAGCCCCCCGGGCTGGCCTTGCGGGTCTAGACCGATGCCGTCGAGGTCATCGGTCTGCCGTTTCAAGTGGGCGACTGCTCCGAGAAGGCACGGCTGAGATGGTTAATCTATAGTCAATCCAGGGTTAATCATGGTTAATAGTGGAGAATGATGGTTTGTTAATAGTTAATCATGATTATTAATGGTTAATAATGGTTAAGAATGGTGATATGGGCGGTTCTTAAGTCATGTGGCATCCCCAGTCGTCACCATAGGTTGTTTCAATACTAAATGGTCATTCATGACTTGGATGATTTGGGGCGGTACCCCCATGACTTCGGAAACCTCCATATTATGATTTTATGATTCACCCATTACTTCTTTTTTTACGGTACCGGTACATACCGGTACCCTATTTTCAGGCCTGAAAATAGAAAGATCATGAAATATCTATTTTAAGACTCAGTACTCTGTTAATAAATATCGATTATATAGTCTTAAGAAATCTTAAAATAACAATGAATATCTAAATAGGATTATATATATATTATAATAGAACAAAATCATACGCACTTAGTGAAAGACTGTAGACTACTGTTGGTTAATATTCACAATCCCAATTCCGAATAATGTCTCCCAGTACTCTTTGTTATGTCACCACGTTCAGTATAGCGATGACTCTTATGTTGGACCATTTACTACTACCATATAGTCTTATATAAAGCATCTTACAGCCATTTGCAACGGATCCGGAAGACTTTTGATTTACATTAAGCTTAAACTAACACTAAAATCAGGTGTTTTATTCATCACTAACACGTACATTATCAGTTCGAACACTAAGAATCACTGACATTACCCTCTGGTAATTTAACATAGCTATGGCAAATCACCATTTATAGTGGATTTACCCATTAAAAATGGTGATTTTCCATAGCTATGTTAGTTTACCAGAGGGTATGACATCCAATGACCCGGACTTTTCGGTGCTCCAAAACACGACGGGCTCAACAGGAGAGCCTCCTGGATTTTGGCTGCGTGACCTGCATCGGGAGCGTGCCACTGGGCAGATGCGAGAATGGCCTGCTTTGGATGTGGGAAACCATGGGAAACCCAAGCCATAAGAAACCCAAGATTTGGGGACGATGTTTAATGATATTTACATATATTTTTCTATCTATTTCTGGTGATAGGGATTCAAACAATTGTGTCCACCGCAGTATCTATTTAGTGATGGTTTAGCCCTGGTTGTTCATTTGTTTGAACTACCCAAACTCTGCCACAATCTATAAAAAAACATCACATTCATGGCTTTCCAAGCCCCCCTTTAACAGTAATCAGATGAATCAGCCATCACGTTCTTCAAGCGATTTCTTTGGCAGTTTAACAATCCACTGATGGTTTCAAGAAACCAACTGCTCCCCATTTCTCAGTTATGTCGACTCCTTAAGGCTGATGGCGATGCTGCTGGTATTCCTTGGCTCATTGGTCCGGGCTCCCCGGAAGTTCGAACAGTTGGTTTTTGCCAGGCTGAAAAGTCAGTGCGGATGATCAGAAAAATCCACTTGTCAATGGATTGGTTTAAGGGAAAATTTACAGGAAAGCCCCATATTTAATGGGAAAATCTATGGTTTCCTGTAGATTTTCCCTTAAACCAATCCATTGAACTTGAAAAATGAAGAAATATGAACGAAGAAGGTGAGATATATCTTGATACATCTATGTGAAAAATCATCTATGTGAAAAATCAATACATCTATGTTCAATCCCGTATGATTCCGATTTTGGAATGGATGACCACATCACATTTATATTACATTTATCCCATGCAACTGGACCATTCATCCCAGTCACCCAGTACCAGGTTTATCGGATTTCATAAGGTTGATCATATAAGATTGTAGACACGTTGCTTGATATTCCTTGGGCCAAACATGGTTTGTATCAGAGGCTGTACTCAAAACATCTCGTCATGAAGTTGTGGGTACCCTGCACAGTTCATCTCTGTGACAATTCGAAGTGAATCCGGGATCCACTGAATCCACACTTTTTTGGTGGTGTTGTGTTGATCTCATAACCAACATCAACGTTCCATCCTTTTTGCTGTGGCATGACCCATAGGTTTACCCAGGCTGCATGACCCAACCATCGACCCAAGCGTCTCCAAGCCGCGGAGGTCGATGTGTACTTTGTCTTCTACATCTTCTCGGCCATTTTCGGCAGCATGATGGGTGGCTTGGATAATTATTGGATATGCTGCTAGGTAGCTTTGAGAAGAATGTCAGGATAGAAATCCAGAAAAAATAACGAAAAACAATCTGGCTTTACAAACCTGCAACGACATGCAATCTAGGCATATCTTGGGCCGCTTCGTAGTAGCTGCGCCATGCTGCGCCATGCTTTTTTCGAAGCGCAACAAAGGCCACCGACGACATCTGAACGATGTGAAGAACATCTCAGTGCCCATCGATTTGAGACCCGGCGTCCGGGTCCCAGGGGACCCAGGGGACCCAGCAAAACCCAGGCCGTCCAGGCTGCTGAAAAAGTGGAGTGTTTTAAAGGAATGATGGCACTTAAGAACTCCCAGTTCTTTCGCGTCTTTATGTACAATTATACGACAATTATATGTTATTATACAATATTATACAATATTATACACATGTTTAATATTGTTTAACCATATACATTATACATTTATATACATTCATATACATTCGCACAGCTACTCGTATCTTTTCATGGCACCAATGTGGGCCTATGGTTTATCATCTTCGAGGAACCAAGGATTCGGTCATATTTGGGCATAGGCTGGCTATGCTGGTCGTGTAAGACGTGGAAGATGTAGCCAGTTTCATTTCTACCAAGAAATGTACCCTCTGGTTATTTAACATAGCCATGGAAAATGGCCCATTTATAGATGATTTTCCCATTTTATAAGGGATTTTCCATGGCTATGTTAGTCATAACCAGATAGTAAAGCTAACAAGGGCTAGTTGCGGCTGAGTGAATTCTGGAGTTCATTCTGGCGCCGCATTCTGAGACCATGATAAAGATGTTAGAGGATGGTGGTTCCTTCCTTTGGTAGAGACTTTACGCACTTTTTTAGAAGCAGGAGGAGTAGGAGCAGTAGGAGGAGTAGGAGGAGTAGTGGTGGTGGTAGTAGTAGTTGTTGTTGATGATGTTTCTGATGAGTCATCGTGTTCCTGCTTTAAAATCATAATTTCAGGGTATACTGGGTATACCCCATCTTCAGACATATGTTTTTAGATATTTAGACCTACACATTACAGTACACACACATATATATATACACACGTATATATATATAATTATATGGCTACGAGTCAAAATGTAAAGCCCTGATCCATACCCTGAACCCACAGGCCGATCCGTACCCCCGATCCATAACAAAACGCAGGTGATCCAGACCGATCCATACATCTGGATCACTGCCGGCCGATCCATACCCGAATTTGACACAACCCCATATAATATATATATATATACATAATAATATATATATATACATAATATATATATATAATAATATATATATATATGCATAATATAATATATATATATATATATAATATAATATATATATATGCATAATATAATATATATATAATATAATATAATATAATATAATATAATATAATATAATGTATATAATGATTCACATATTATATATATGTATATATATATATATATATATAATCATATTCTTTTATTTTGATGTTTTTTTACTAAATCATTGTTATCCACAGGTTCAATCCATTTTTTTTTGTTTCACCTTCACATCTCCGAAGCTCGCTCGCTTCAGCGAGGTGGGAAAAGATGCCTTTCGCTTCGAGGCGGCTTTTGGACCGCAATGGCAATTGGTTTGGAGAGAAATTGCCTGGATACCCAGCAGATCCGAGCAGATCCCAGGAATTTTAGGGCAGAAAGCTGAGCAAAAACAACCAAAAATATGGTTCTGTGTCCATCATTTGGATTTTTTTTTGGGAATTTTCCATGGGACTTAAGCAACAAAGATGTGGGTTATATCTGATTATCTGGATGAATTTGATCACCTGACTGTTTTCCATCACTGGAATGATGATCGGCATGGGGAATCATCACGGATCATCCCCAAATGCCCGAACATTTTCAGGTTCTCCAAAATGGTTTTGGGAAAATATGGGAAAATGATGATAAAATGATCAACAACTGGTTTTTTTTGGTCATTTTCAGACAAACCCCTCTGTTGGAAGACATACCCATACCAACCCTTCGTGAAAAAGAGAACGACACCTCTAGACAAAGTGAGTGTTTTTCGTTTTTTTTTTTTTGTTTTTTCGAAGTAGCATGTTTGTACGGAATAAGGTTCAAAGAGACTTTGCCACGTGCTGACAAATGAAATCACCATCATGGCACTTCACCAACTTCATGCTTTGTTTGAAAATAAATGTGGGTATATTAACCATTTCTATGATATAATATGGTATTACATAGATATAGATATCCATCCAACATATACTAAATTACTAAATCAATGTTTTTGCTTTAAGATCTTCTTTATCCCCCCATGTTATCCCATTTTCATTGGCCGCTCATCTGGAAGTTGGCCCAGGTTCAGAGCTTGTTGGATGAGCTTCGACCTCAGGGTTTTCCGCAACAAAGCGGAGATCTGTTTTTGGGCGGTGAGAATATCGGGAAACCTTGGACAATACTATGGGAAATACCATGGTTTTTGTTGATGTTTTACCCTCTGGTTATTTAACATAGCCATGGAAAATCCCTTATAAATGGAGGTTTTAATGGGAAAATCATCTATAAATGGGCCATTTTCCATGGCTATGTTAAATAACCAGAGGGTAACTATTTTTAACTTCTGAAACTTCTTCCGCATTTCCGGAAATAGGAGATCTAAAAGGTAAGTCGTCCCCCGCTCGGTTTGTATAGGAATGGATAGCCCGCTGCCATGCAGTGGACGGTGGTAGGATTACAACTGCTATGCCTTTGACATCACCTTGACCCGATCACGCCATGGCCCGTCTAAGCAAAAGATATGGGTTTGAAAAAAATGGGTTTCCCGTTGGGCACGGAGAATTGCGTCCATCTCAAGTTTGTGGCTGTGAATCTCTACACGTTTTCAGACTGTACTAGCAAGAACAGAACTTGGCACACCTTTTAGCATGATACACATTTTGTTCAGCTTCCGAGATCGGAATGAGATCCCACGTTGTGTTTTCTTTTTTTTAAATATGGCTAGACATTGGGCAATCACCACCAATTTTCAGAGATACAGTCGTTCCATATTTATGGATTTAATATGATTAATATAATATATATATATACATACAATATATAGATAAATATACGGTCATATCTCCCCATGTTTATGCACTGGTTATTTTTGTTTCAATTTTGTGCATGTGACAACAGTTATCTCATCTTACATAGTTGGTAAAAATCATTTCAATAACTAGGACAAAACTTGGGACTTTAATTGTAGATGTATCGAACTAGTTAATGAGCAAACATCACTTACCTCATAGAATTGGATGATGGGAAAATTTGCAGGAAAACCCTATATTTGATGGTAAAAACCATGGTTTCCTGTAGATTTTCCCTTAAACCAACCCAATGATTACCGAAACAAACATCACTGGGGCAGCTGCCGGCAGCTGCTTTCTTTCTAAGGTCCTACATCAGTCCACGGATGGCCAAGTGGTTGGTCGAAGCCGCAGGCGCTGGCGCTGCGGAGAACTGGTTGACTGGTGATTTTTAATAACTACCCTCTGGTAATTTAACATAGCTATGGTATAGATGGCCCATAGAAATAGATGGTTTACCTATGAAACATGGTGATTTTCCATGGCGAACTGTTAAATAACCAGAGGGTAGTTATTATGATAACCAGTTATTATGATAATCATGATTTGCCAAATCATTAGATTTTTTTCGCCAAATTTGATGATTAATATAATGACTGGTTCTAATATGATTTAGTATGATTCTAATGATTCTATATAAAATATCATATCATATGGTTCTAATGATTTTATATGATATGATGATATACTCTGGTTTGTGCTTTGGAACATGAATGGATTATTTTTCCATTCAGTTGGGAACAATATGATCCCATTTGACTTTCATATTTTGCAGAGGGGTAGGTCAACCACCAACCCGAGAATCAAGGTATGAGTCAACATTATCAATGAATCAAGATGAAACAAGATGATATCAAGATGATAACAATCATATTCAATCATATTCAATCACTCAAAAAGATGGCTATGAATCGAGAAATTCAATATATGAATCAAGCTTACCTGGGCTACCTGGCCATCCCAAGAGGGACCATTCTGACTATTGGGGATGGACATTGGGGTACCGACCAAAAATGCCTGCCATGGCAACGTCAGCTCTTGCCGTAAATTGCTGTACATTTAGCACGGGAAAACATCGACATAAATGGCAGCTATCTACCCTCTGGTTATGTCAAAATAGCTATTGAAAATGGCCATAGAAATAGTGAGTTTTCCCATTAAAAATGGGGATTTTCCATAGTTAGGTTAGTTTACCAGAGGGTATATGATTGGCCATATTTTTGCGCGTTGCACGAGACGTGGTAAACGTGGGGAGCAAGACGTTTGTCTTGGAGTATATATCTTTAGTCCACTCTGAGCATCCCTGTTATCCAACAAGTAGATGGGGATACAAAAAACCGGTCCCCGGCTCTGATCGAACGACTGTTTTTTTAGTTAATCAAATTAAGCCATACTGATGGCTAGTGAAGCAACAAAGGTTAATATTATCATCAAAGAATGGAGTTATGTCTCACTAGACTTACATCGAAGGATGTGTGTGTCGCGTCTATCGAGTTCAAACAGCTTTGATGGGTTTGATTCGTATGTGTTGAACCCAGTTCAAACACATCTTATGCTCTGGTAAATTAACATAGACCCTTAAAATCACCAAGTTTTAGTGGAAACAAATCTTCCAAGCCCTATCTGGCAGGGTCTATGTTAATTTACTGGAGGGCAAATCAATACAAACGTATACAAAGCATGTTGAACACAGACCCAAATCGAACCACTGACCTTGCGGATATAGATTTCAGCCTCCCAAGGTGGTTGGAACCCCGGTCTGAAGCTGTTAATGGTACTTACCCACTAGTTTGAGAAATCAGAGCTCCAGTTGCTGGAGTTATTCCAACTTTGCTAGACTTTTCTAACATCACTCACCTATAAAATCCTATAAATCATGATAGATATCTATAAATCCACCAATTTTCTTGGTGAAATCCATGATTTTCGATGGGTTTTTCAGCACCAAAAAGGCGACTTCCCATAGGTGAAGCCCATCGTCCCATCGTCCAGAAATCGACGGAGCCCAGGCATCACCTTGGACGGGACCGACCTCCAACGCCGAGACAAGAAAGATCAGCCGTGCCCTGGCGACAGCGGTGGTTATTTGAAGTACCTAGATATGGGTTACCCTCTGGTAAAGTAACATAACTATGGAAAATCACCGTTTTTCATGGGAAATTTCACTATAAATGGTGATTTTCCATAGTTATGTTAAATTACCAGAGGGTATCATATGGTTGTGATCATATCTGTTACCCATATGCGAACCATGGTGCTGGCATATTTACCTACATAACTGGGTGATTTTTAGGGGGCAAATGTTGGTAAATATTCCATACATGGATTACATGGAGCATATTTGTTATGATATGCTTATGATATTGGTTATATGATATTGTTATGATACAATTGTTATAGTGACTACGGTTGTAGTATTATTACAATATTTAGGTATATCTAGGTAAATTATTATGACCTCACTAAGACATCACTGGAATGATCGTTAGGATTCGGGGTAACTATCCCAAGAAGAAGCCAAGCATTTCAGGTTAGCGAAATATTTTCGCAGTTACCTTACTGTACATATAGTGGGAATGATATACAACATGGTTACAGAAATATGGATTTATTTCTAATGGAAACGATTTATGTACATCATTATACATCAATAGTGTATAGTATGTGTATATAAATATATGTGATATTATATTTGTATGTGATTGTTTGACGGGAATATAACCAACTCTATGTGGTCAAAATTCATGTTTTTTTTTTTTTTTCGGATCTATGGAACCGGTGTTCAAAAACCCTGTCGGTTTGATGTGGTTCGGGGGTTATACTACCCTTTATATGGGTATGGATCAATACCTATTAATACCATTTTTAGTGGGATGAACATCCATTTACCATCTATTTTGATGTTCACCAGGGGTACAAGGTTTTGACACATTGCCATATAGGGATTCTCACAATCCAGTGCCACTCCTATTCTTGACCAGCCAATCCTTCATGGACAGGTTGGGTAAACCCATAATGGCATCATTTCATGTTCTCATATATTACCCTCTGGTTATTTAACGTAGCCATGGGAAAATCACATTTTTTATATAGGTAAATCATCATTTTTATCATCTATATTATGGCCCATTTTCCATAGCTACGTTAAATAACCGAAGGGTACCTTTTATAATTGGATCAACCAATACAATCCCATCCCCGTAATGCGGTCCCAAATGTGTTTTCCAATCCCCAACGAAAAAAACATGATTTCTGCTGGTGGTTTGATATAAACGGAGGAAGGGATTAATTACAGTTGGTTAGTTATATCTTCATTGATATCACATTAAATCACCATGAACGGGTTATTTTCCCATTAACACACCAAATACAGTATAAATCCTCATTTGCATCTCATTGAGTCAGCATCTTTTGATGCTTCAACCCATAAAAGAATTTGTTTCATATTCCACGGTGCCAAGTCGAAGCACCGATCGATGAGGATCCACTTGTCACGCTTCCCGTCCATGGCTGCGGAGCGTTTGGCCTTCTTCTTTCAGTCCTTGTCTTGGATCCAGGTGAGGGAGCTAAAATAAATCGATGGGAGCAGGTGATGGGAAGTGGAAAACTCAAGAGATCACTGGTTGGTGGTTTGGAACATGAATTTTATTTTTCCATATATTGGGAAGTTCGAAACCCCAACTGACTTTTACTCCATCATTTTTCAGAGGGGTAGGCGTACCAACCACCAACCAGAGAATCATTCCCGGAATATCTGCGAACATTTGGGAACATATATCTGGGCATATGAATGAGTAAATTTACGATTCACAATATCTGGGAATATCTGGAAAAATCTGTGGTGATAAAAACGGGGATAACACATGAAGAAAAACGCCATCTGTTCGGATTTTCATGACATGTTGCGACCTAAAACTTCGGCCGAAGTTTTCGTCGGTCGGATCGTGTCTAGGTGGAAAAGTGGTCAAAACTTTTTGGTCAATTCAGATCCTGTGATATCCGGGCATGGTCATGAATCCATTAACATTTTTTTTGTGTCAACCCCCGGATGAGACTGAACCATGGTTTATTAATTAGGAGTACTACTCCAATATAGTCATAATTAATATTCATTACCCTCTGGTAAACTAACATATCTATGGAAAAGCACCATTTTTAATGGAAAATCCAGTATAATTGGCCATTTTCAATAGCGAACTGTTAGTCATTACCAGAGGGTATTCATTAATCCATAATACGGGGTTGATATAGCCGTAAGGATTCCCATTCTGGGATGGATGACCCTAAAACCTCGGCCCTACCATGTTTTGACCATGGCACAGATGAATTTCTGCATATTATATTATGGAGATTTCCCTTCATTTATGGCTGGGTTTGCCCAAAAACAGGGTACCACCAAATCCATCAGTTGATTCTTGATTTTAGGGGCATGGAAGCGAGTCTAGCTGGGATAATCCTCACATTTTCTGAGCTTGCTTTGGATAGGTAACCATGGTTAACCAGCTAATCCTTTCTGGGTCAAGAAGAGGGTCAACTATAAACCCTCTAGACGCATCCATCTAGCTATGCGGATACTCCCTTCACGGATCATATAAAGAAGTAATCCTTTTGCATGTCTACCAGGCTATTATATCATGCTATTAACCCCTAGATGGATTCTAAGCTATAGAAGTTTTCAAAATTATATTCCATATCACCATGAACTTGAATGTATACCTGTGTACATCTATATGATTTAGATTGGACATGACCCATATTAAAGATCACCAAGGACCAGGACACTTCCAGTTTTTCCAATGTAAAATTACATTCCGTATCATGGAATATCAAGTAATCAAGGCTCCATTTTGATTAAGGATAAATTAATGTTAAGATTAGATTGTTACATTCCATATCAGTTTAAGTTAGTCCATCTAGCTTTTTTTTCCAGATTTCATCCTCAGATTCTGAAATAATGCCCATTTATACTTCTCTAGGGTCAAATCTTTCAGAAAGATATGTACATTCTATATCAAATTCCAGAATTAGTCATTCTAAGCTGAGGATGAATGTAATTGTTGCAATGTCAACAGAAAATTACTGATGTTCCCAGGCTCCCTCTACATTCAACGGAATCCTATTACATCCTATTACTTCATTCTATAAATTTCATGTCATTTCATAATCCCCCATTACTTCTGATTTCATCCTCAGGTTCTATAACATTCTATAACTACGAGGATGAAATGGAGGTTTCCTGAAATGGGGGTACCCCTCTCATCCATTTATAGATGGATTTTCTATGATTTTCCATTCTAAACCATCCATTTGGAGGTATCCCCATTTATGGAAACCCCCAAATGAAGTACTGACATGTCAGTTTCTTCTGATTTCCTGAAGTATATCGACGGCCATTTGTCAAACCTGACTCATCCCAGATCATTTCTCAACTAGAAATCCCCATGGAAATTTCGTCATCCGGAAAATTGGGAAAATTCTATGGTCATCCGGAAAAATATCCCATGAGATTCCCATCAAAAATTCCAAATCTTATAGAGATCTCATTTTTATTCTCGCTAATACCCTCCGGTAAACTAACATAACTATGGAAAATCACCATTTTTAATGGAAAAAATCCACTATAAATGGCCATTTTCAATAGCTATGTTAGTTTACCAGAGGGTAAACCTCCATTTTCCTATGGAAATCCCCATATGGAAATCCCCATATGGAAATCCCCATGTTGACTCATCGCCAGGACCCAGGCAGTGGAATCACCTTCCGCGCCGAGACGGATGCGTGGCTCGGGTTTCAATGGAGCGGATTTTCTTCCATCCACAGGATGAATAGCTCATCTTTTGGCTGATAATAATGGATAAATATTGATAAATATTGATACATATTGATAAATATTGATAAATGTTGATACATGTTGTTAATCGATCATTGAAACATATTGAAACCTCATTTTCCAAGGTATTGACAATTGATAAATGCAAAAGTGTGCTGCTACTTTTGCCGATCTTGGCTGCAACATGTGTATTGGTGGATGTATATAATCAACAAGCTATTATGAGAATAGTGAATATGAGATAGTTGTAGTTAATTGGATACTTAATTCATCTTAATGCGATATTCATCAGGGGGTTGGTAAATGTCCTCATTTTTCACATCACCCAACAAAAGGGGAATATAATCTCCAACAAAGACTTGAAAAAGGTGACGTTCAAAATCCCCAAAACAGGACATTTACCAACCCCTGTTTATTCAGAGAAGAAAATTTATAATTCAAACTCAGCTTGGTAATTAAATTCAGCTGGTTTCAGATTGGTTTCATGATCATGAAAGTCAGCCGTTTTCATGGTTAGAATCTACAGGACAGTCGTACATTTCATGGTAAAATAACAGGTTTTCACAGCTCGTCATAGAGTCATAGATAGGATATTGACAGAGCTAAGAAGCCGACAATTCCCCTAAATGGACACCCAAGGGGCCCATTTACCCCGATCAACGGTTTGAAATTAGTACCGGTAATAACATTCTCAAGCCAAACAAAACGAACAATTTTATATAGTTATATAATAATTTACCCTTTGCTTACTTGCAAGTTCGCTATCGAATCTATCGAAGCCATGGCCCATTTAGCTCGATGATTTTTGATGATTTACAGTTCTGAAAAAATTGTGATTTTCCAGTTCACGACGCTAAATATCCAAAGGGTACTATCCATGGATCCGAACTTACAGACCCTTTTTACGCGCAGAAACAATTTTGGACATTATTTTTTTGTTTTGCGTATCTTCAGCCAATCCATACATTGGGTACTCAAAAGAATATTTGGACACGGGTCGCAGTTCGAGACAACCTATGTAGCTGGATTGGGGGTAATTATGGCTAAGCCATGAGATGCTTTTGTGAGACACGATGCTTTCGTGGTGTCGTAAAGTAGTGATTTTTGTTAAGTTCTTTGAGCCTTGCTAACCCATAGGATCCATGGTGCTGGTATATATGCTAACATGACTGGGGTATATTGATGGGATCCATGTTACCATATATAGCAGCACCATGGATCCTATGGGATGTCGGCTCACAGAATTTGAGTTCGATGCAAATTGCCACTGCAACAAATTCAACAACCGAATCTCCGTGAGGAATCCGAAGCTCCGAGCCGCATTCGCGTTAAAATTATGGGCCAATTGACCACAGAAACTCTAAGTACTTTGGGTTTTGGTTTCAATCCCCATAAATTTCTCTCTAACAACCATGAAAAACCCTATGAAAAAATACATTGAAGCCCCCATCCCCCACAAACAGTTGATGGGATTAAAAAAAAAACAAATCCGACTTTTCTGCTTCAATTCCTATTTTTCTTGCTTGACCTTTTTTAAAAAAATCGACCAATTCACCAAAAAAGACCTGCGCGAAATCCCAGGCTCACCTCTGCGATGTTTGATCCAGGGACCGTTCCGTCCTTGACGCAGATCATTCCCGCCTACAACGAGGCCGGTGTCCTCAATTCCAGGTGGAAAATCCAGAGTGATAATGGATGATGGGAATTGATGGGATATGATGGGCATTGATGGGATATGTATGATTACTGGATATGAATGGAATATTCATAGGATGATTAAAGGGATATCTTCATGGATTTCGATGATCCGAACGAAACCTCTGTTTAGTTCGTGGGACTAAAGCGAATGGTATGCCCGCGGTCGCTCCTAGTTTGGTTGAAACCAGTGGTTGTTGACATCAAGTTCCCTGCGTTTGTTCCTTGAATTGATTGACTCACCATCCTTGTCAGTTCAGTTTCATTGAATTATATGAACTTCCTATGTGTCCCATTGTTTTCTTCATGAAAAAGTCCCATGGTCCATCATTAAATCCCATGGTCCATCTTATAGTAATATCCCATGGTCCATCTCCATGAAATCCCATTGAAATCTCATAAAATGTGGAATGATTTTGGATATTTTTGGATGATATTGAATATCCCTTTCTGAATCCCATGAAGAGACATCCCATTTTCATCATCTTTTAAAACTCCGTCCGTCCCTTCAATACACCATGAACATCTGGGTAAAAAAAATAACGACCTCACTGTCCTCCCGAGCCCTGGAATCATAGTTAATTCAGCTGAGTGAAATATTAACATATGATTCAGGGTAGCTATATTAATGCTGGTTTGTGGTTTGGAACATGTTTTATTCCATATGTTTTTCGAAGAATCCTTCCCAACTGAGTCATATTTTTCAGATGGCTAGGTATACCACCAAGCACTATATATATAGATATATATTAATCTGGTTAATGCTATATATTTACCCAGAAACAATTGCTGTGGTCCCATCGGTCTGGTCGAAAAAAGTCAGGTCATCATCCCTTCGGTGGACTTCTTACGCTCCGGTGCGCTGCCTGAGGCGCCCGGTGGTGACGCTTCGCGCTTCGGCGGGCTTTGGGATGGATGGAATGCTGGTGGATTTTTCTATGGTTTGGTGTGTCAAAACCAATAGTACCCCTTTTTTGTTCACATCAAAATAGCTGGGATTTAGATGTGAAATGATGTGAATAACCCCCTAAAAATGGTATTTTCATAGGTATTGATCCATAGCCATATGATTGTGAGAGGTGGACAAGGGAGGGATGTGTGATATGTAAACATGGGATCTTTTGCTTGGGAATTCTGTGGATGTGACCTACTTGCTATGATATTTGAAATGATGAAAGAGGAATCTACAGTTTATTGAGAATAAACAGAGGAATAAAAGCGAAAGTGATGAAACGATGATTATGATGATTCTGGTTATTTTTACAGATCTTTGGAAAGTTGGTTGTTGGAACATCAATCTTTATTGGTGGAACGTTCCCATAAAGATTCCAAGAAAGTACCGTTCAACTGAGAATTGATGGAATCATCCCATGAAGGATAATGTCCACGAGAAACAACCTCTTCCGAATTTATAGGTTGCTTGCTTCACATGATACACTGTGCTTGGGAAACGTCTATGTAAATTTTGGTAATCAAACATGGTTTGCTGGAAAATCTTCAGTTTTGTTCGATCATTTTCCCATATACAAACATATTAACACCTCCATTTCCTCCATTTTGGAGGGGAATTTCCCAGGTAGCCCGCCATGTCTGACAGAATGACCTTCAAAAAGCCAAAAATCTCAGAACAGGATGCCTTGGCCACAACTGTAGATCATTTTGTAAACAGCCCTGGAGTTCCAAGTCTTGTGAGACCCTTTTTTTGGTACCCTCTGGTAAACGCTTACATAACTATGGAAAATCACCATTTCTAATGGGAAAATCCACTATAAATGGCCATTTTCAATAGCTATGTTAGTTTACCAGAGGGTAAACAGAAAAGACAAACACACCGATTTCGGTTCCATTTCGGGGTCAAGGGGTCCGCAGTTTCTCCGCGTGAGGATGCCATGAATCAAAGCCCAGATGATCAGCAGGGACTCTCAGTGACATTTTTACCACTGGAAATGTCAATGTTATTCAATGTTCACAGGCTATCAGCCTGCCATCACATGTTTCTCTCATATGATCTCATAATATCTCATATTCATATACCCTCTGGTAATTTAACATAGCTATTGAAAATGGCCATTTATAGTGGATTTACCTATATATTAAAAATTGTGATTTTCCATAGTTATGTAAACGTTTACCAGAGGGTACATTGTAGAAAGGTGCTATCTTCGCCCCAAATCGACGAGACACACTGGCCTCTTTACATCTGCATGAACATTGATTTCCATACTTGCCGCCAATATGGTATTATACATATATATAATTCTATAATATATATATATATGTGTATATAATAAGGAACTATACGTATATACACTGTCTACAGAGGATACATGTCTACATATAGTCGCACAAGGTAGTTCTCCATATGGTAATCGCAGTTGGACAATATCACTAACTGTTGGCTTTACCGATGTTTTTTTTGGGATATTTCTCACATTTCATCAGGTGAACCGGTTTACCACTTGGAAGTGCAGTTCCAGCTTCATCAGGGGCCCCTTTTCCCAAATTGCAGGGCGGTTAGTTAGTTCATGTTAGTTCACCATGGCCCCAGTCTTGTTCCAGCTTTTATTAAGGCAGCCCCGTTTGTTTTATATGTTTGGCTATATATCCCATTCATGTTCCCATGATATTCCCGTGAAATGTTTATATCTAATTCATGTTCCCATGGGAATTTTTCAGGGGAATCTCCCCAAATATGGCCTGATTTTTTCCACCAAAAAGTTTAAAAAAAAGATGGGAAGTCCTGAGAGTCCCATCATGACGATTGTTACAGGGTAGCCATGAATCCCATGATATTTCCATGATATACCCTCTGGTTATGACTAACACTTCGCCATGATGGCCCTAATGGAAATAGATGCTTGACCTATTATACAAATGGTGATTTTCCATGGCAAACTGTTAAATAACCAGAGAGTATTCATCAAAATCCCCCATGATTTCAAGATATTTCAAGGCATGGCATCGGCGACCTCACGGCACCCCCTTTGGGCGATGGGGTCCGGGAACCGAAGGGAACTGAAGGGAAGCGAAGGTAATCAAACATGGTGAGTTAATGGGTTCATAACATTTTATGGTAGATGATAAACCCTAGATAATTAAATATGAACCTGAGATGCTTTTAGCTTTGAAACTACCCCATAGACCCATAGATATGAATCGTTTATATGGTAAGCATCGTATTTTTAGTGCGAAATGGCGATGCGAATCCTCAAACATTGCGTTCATGTGTCTACGGTCGAAAAATACTTCACGGTGATGCCATTCACCCGTTATGAAACGAGACCGCGATGAGGTGAATCCAAATTTGGCCTTCATCATCTCCCAATTTCCAGAGGAGTGGATGTTCTTGGCCAAGAGGCACCTTGAATCACCTTGAGATGTGAGTTTTTTGCAGGGGTGGGAGCTTGCGGCATGCTGTTGTGAGAGGCAGATTCTGCTGTTGCAATTTCTTTAAAGATAAAATAAACTGCTAGCAGGCCCGATGATGATCATGATGATCATGATGATCATGATGATGATGATGATGATGATGATGTTTGTTACAATAGTCAGTACAGTGTTTCTTGTTTACACCATCATTATTCTCACTACTGGTATTATAAAATTGCATGATTGTTACAATTACATATGGCATTACTAGGCGCAGACACCGCGTTCCCCCAACATCACTGTTCGGTTTAAGGTTTGGGGGTGTAAGAAGTGCGGTCTTAGGGTCAGGTGTTTAGGGTCCAGGGTTTGCGGCTTTAGGATGTCAGGGTTCAGGATGACTTGTGACGCACAGGTCCCCTACCTGTTCTTTTCATTCCAGGATGAATTACAAGTTAGAGTGTTTTGAGAGTGCCTGGGGCAAGAAAAAGGGACATGTTTGGCCTGTGTGGGGGTTTCTTGAAATGGAGGATCCCCAAGTGACCATAAGTTTTACCCTCTGGTAATTTAACATAGCTATTGAAAATGGCCATTTATAGTGGATTTTCCCATTAAAAATGGTGATTTTCCATAGTTATGTTAGTTTACCAGAGGGTAAAATGGTCATCCATGATTTGGAGGATTTGGGGGTACCCCCATGACGAAGCCTCCATGTCCTTGCTGATCATGTCGTAGATGATGACGAGGCTTCTCCACTCTTCCAGAAAATTTTGCTTCAGGGCGACGTCCCCAAAGGCCAGAAGTATAGAAGTGTAAGGTTCTCGTAATCGGTTTACAGGGAAACACAAAACACATACAGGAAGCCCGTTTTGGATTCAAACATATTGAAATACATAGGAGGTTTCCCAGTTTTTTTTCATGGAAAATAAGGCGGGGAAGGTTGATCCACCCAGCAGAATCCATTCTACGACTTGTAGTAGAAACAAGTTAGTGTCTGGTTATTTTCCCTCAGATTACCTTACATACTGTTACATACTGTATGACTCGGAATTCCGGCAGATGATGCATTTGTGTTTCGCTGTCGTTTGTCAGGCTATTCCATGAGGGTCGGATAGAGCAGCCGAACGTGAACTGGCTCAGTGAACTTGACCTGGTGTATGCTGCTGGAGATTTATTTCACAATTTCACATGAAAAATTGGAAGCCCCCTATAAATGGCGGTGTTTTCACGGGAACATCAACTATAAATGGGACTAACTTACAGCATCTAATTCATGTGGTTTTTAGCGCCATAAACCATCCCCAAGAACCTAACAGTTTATGTTTCTTGGTAGGGATCATGTAAGATAACCTTCAATGGTTCATTAATGGGATAGATTTTATTGGGTTGATCATATTCTGTATTTTCATATCAAGAAAACACCATATGATATGGTAGGACCATATTTATGCAACCAGAGGACGCATCATTTGGACGGCAGATTTGATAACCGATAACATGATTTCGGGTAAACCGTTCACTGCTCCATTGGATGCACCGCTATTTCGGTTGGATGGTTCTCCCCACTGCGATTTTTCATGTCAGGATTCACCTCTCGCCCTTGAATTTCCGAGTCGCATGAGCTGTACAAGAGCTTCATGAAGCGCAAACTTCGCGAGGAGTTGGTCATCGAGGTGGACAAAGATGCGTAAAGGTGGAGGATTTTTTTTTCAGCGACCCAAGGCAAAGGTTGAAGTTGTTTTTGTTGATTTCAGCGTAAAGTTTCATGGCTTGATGGTTTGATGCAGGAACAGAAATTGGTTTGTTTAGATATGTTTTGACTTGGATTATACATATATGAATTTGGAAGTTTACTAATTAAAATATTACATTAGTTATTACTTAATTTGGAAATAACACATTTCGCCCAGTCATGTGCTGCCAGGTCAGGTTATGGGCTGCCATGCGAACGCAAAGCGTGGCCAAAACTGTGGTGGGAGCATTGCAATGTGCGTCATGAGCACCCAGAGATACCACGGCTGAAGATTTGAAGTTGAGCTTGGAGATAGGAAATGCATGTGATGATGATATGGGGATATAATGGGATCCGGTATGCGATATATGTACATATATATATATATTATAATATCTATCCACTGTATCACTGTGTAATACAACCGCTAAGAATAATGATCCCAAAATTGCGCATTCAGTTGGAAAATCAGGGTACTCATAGATTTACGGTATATATGAATATGGATTGATACAGTGGTTGAATGATGCAAGATAATGTCAATCCCGGATTCATAAACCACTGGGCAGTTGAATTGGTGTGTTACTATTTTTGTAGCAGATTGCAACTTTTTGGGTGTAACCTCTATAACCATATATTAATCATACTACATTAACCATATATTGATGGACTAGTGTGTGTCTTATTGATTTAAAGCCGGAGTTGACTTTGTGGCCATCGTGCAGTTGGCATGGCCCAGTAGCGAAGACCTGTTGGGAACAACTGAGTTGAGTGGTTTCTATGGTCATCGTCAGGTTTTTGGATATTACAATTATCTAGAATTGGACTGCCTAAATAGTCATGTGTATTATATATATATATACAGAATCAGATATCCTATCATTTTTTATTGAATATCTTTGAAGACATGGCCTTATTTTAGCTGTCTTTCCTTTCGAGACATCACGTGATGCCACCGTTTCCGCCACGCGTTTTAGGCGGGCGTTAGCATCACTGCCAAAGCTCGGACGCCCAGAGTTTGTGTTCCTCGAGTGGTGGTGAAGGGAAATCCAACCTGGAAATTTGACAACGCTTAAGATGATTTATAACTGGTGGTTTCCTCCTATGATCTGGAAGCACCATGTTTGATGATTTTGCAAGGCCTCCATCAACCTGCGGGGCATTCTGGAACAGAGCCAGAATTTCTTCAGATTTCTCCAACCTTAGTCAGACTGGTTGCCCGGTTCCAACAACGTTCCACCAGTTCAGAGCGATTTTCTTGGGTATCCCGCATTTTGATGCACTTTGATGCAGTTTGAACATATAACTGGTTACATTTAATATCGTCATCTTCTGGTTGGTGGTTTGGAACATTTTTTATTTTTCCATATATTAGGAATAATCATCCCAACTGACTAATATTTTTCAGAGGGGTTGAAACCACCAACCAGAATATCATCATATATATACTTGTTGGTGCAAGTTAAACAAGTTGGGGACTCTTGGATTTTGCAACGCGCCAACCCCGTTGCCCCGTTGCAGCCAACAACCGTCTACGCGCAGGATGAAGCAGTACTACGCGCAGTTCCCAGAGAAACGAAGCCCTGAGGAGCTTTCGCCTGGCGCTTTTAGTCAGCATTACCGAGGGGTCATTAAAAGACCTGATCTGGCCAAATTGGACATCACCTTTTATCATTGTTTTTTTGATCTGGTTTTGAATTTTGTTTGGAAATTGTTTTCGTTTATGTCACAAGTGTGGGGGGTCAGGGCGAGCAACAATTCGCGAAGCGCGTGACGACGACGACAACAACCCACAACAATCGTTCATGCACCATTGTCTGTTGTCAAACTAGAAAGAGGAGACCGGAAGACATTGCAAGTTTACAATTGACTGCATGGAAGGCCCGCTGGTAAACATACAAAAAACTAGTGATAAATCACTACTTTCAATAGGTAAGCGAACTTACTGGGCCATTGTCCATATATGTTAAATTACCAGAGGGTAATGTGTTTTTTCATATGTTTGTTCTTGTAAAGGTCCATATACAAATCAGAAACTAACAGCTGGTTGAACAACTCGGCATGATTCACTTACTCTTTAGTGATTTGAGATAGTTGAACATGGCCCATTTAGATCGGTGATTTACCCAAAAAGGTGATTTTCCAGTTCCCTACGTTAAACAGCCAGAGGGTATAACATTAATATACATTAATAACATCTTAAAACATCTTAAAACTAACTACAAGAGACCACCTTTTTGATCCATGAAAAGAACAAAGCACCATCCCCTCTTCATGGGTTCCAGATGTCCCTTCGGCTTCCTTCTGTTGGCAAATCATCAATTCTATTCATACTGGTACTCGTAAAAAGATGTAAAAGGCTCAAGTGTGCCATGGCTTACCTAAAAATGCGTGGTTTAACTATGGTTTAACTACGGTTTATCATGGTTTAACATGGTTTATCATGGTTTAACACATGTCAACATCGCCTTTTTTTCTTCGAACTTCTTCGAGTCGGCCCAGTTTGGAGATCCGCAGGACCACGCTGAACTGATCCTTGCACATCAGACCTTCGGTGCGGGCACCTGGCATATCATGATCGTATTGAGATATGACACATCTATACAAATCTATGATGAAAATCACGTATCAATTCACATTTATTATGTGAACAAATGTGAATCATCATGTATCATCATCATTGATACAAAGACCAACTACCCAACATGTCTTAGGAAATGATCTTATTTCACGTTAATCATTTGAAGACATACGGAAATTCAGCGCTGGACGGTCCATGTAGCTGGTTGATGAATACTGGATGTGGATGAATGTTTCGATGAATGCTGTGTATCATCAGATCTGATCAGATATCCATAGACATCAATAGACATCAGTAGACATAAATAGACATCAATAGTATAATATACATTAGATATCAAGATATATCAAGATATTATATATATATATATATGTATAATAGACATCAGATATCAAGATATATCAAGATATTATATATATATATATCAATATGTTTTGTTATTTTCGTGTAACAGACTAACAGACATCGACACCTTTAGCACGAAGATCTGCAACAGACGTCGCCAGGATTCAGAGCACCTGAGGGCAGCCCCGAAAATGATGAAGCGGTCAGGCTATTGCTGTCCAGGCGGGACCCAGTCAATGGCAATTTTTCTGAGTTTTCTCCAGTTCAGGTCTCTGCATTATGTAGAGAATTTTGATGTGAAACATGGATGAACATGACAGAGATATGTTCAGATGTACAGGTGGTGGAAATATATCTTGAAATACCAGCTAGTTGGACGAGTTGGACGGATATCATGCTCACAATGCTCTTCGTTTTAGACTTTTGTTTGGGCTGGAGAGTCAAGGCAGATTTGATAGGAAGAATCTGCATCCCCATCAGCAGACCTTGATCTCATTCAGATCCAGGCAACATCCGCTTGAATGGAAGAGATTGGCATTTCAAGATGTTAAAGGCAGGTTTTAATGGGAAAATCATCTATAAATGGGCCATTTTCCACGGCTATGTTAAATAACCAGATGGTAAAGCCCTGGTTTTAACATCTAAAGATGTTTCAAAGATGATTTCTGGTTGGCTCAGGTTTGGCGCTCTCAGTCTAGGCTGCTCTAGTAACCGACCGACCGACCAACCCACCAACCAACCAACATGATTTCTGGCTTTCTGGTTGTTTCTCCCCTGGAAACACACCTTAAAATGAAAGGCAACGGAAAAAAAAACAAATTACCCTCTGGTAATTTAACATAACTATTGAAAATGGCCATTTTTAATGGGAAAATCCACTATAAAATGGCCATTTTCAATAGCTATGTTAAATTACCAGAGGGTAATGTCCTGTGACACGCTGTGACACAAGGCATGCGAACGACCCTGTTTTCCTGGTCTTCGACCTCACTCCGTCCACTTCGGAAGACGTGTGGTACATGGTTGAGGCGGGGCCCAGGGAAAAGCTTCCCGAAGAGGGGGTCTGAAAGACCACTGGATTCTGCGATTTCGGTTAGGATTTTCACCATAATGATATGGCAGTGTGTCAAAACCTTGTACCCCTGGTGAACATCAAAATAGCTGGTAAATGGATGTTCATTCCCCTAAAAATGGTATTAATAGGTATTGATCCATACCCATATATGATATATATGCTCTGAAAAAACTACCACACATGCCACATGTATCCACATGTCAATTATGTATCAACAAGTTCTGATGAAACCATGATCCTGAAACCATGATGATGTCAGAAGTTTCCGGTCTCTCCATTTGTCATGGGCTTTGGCCATTGGTCCAGGCATTCCTTACCCGAAGAGGAGGATACCAATTAGGTGCCTTCACCTATGCCAGCGTGAAGTGCAGGCCGCAAAGTCCGAAGTCGTTGAGAGGGGTAGAAACTGCTGGACTGCCCCGTGTTTGTAGGTTGACAAATTCCATAAAAGGCAGTAGGTCAAGAGATGTCAACAGCAAGCATTGCAAGGCTTGGATTGCTGGTGAACATGGCTAAGGAATCCTATAAAGAGTGTATTCTCTTGACTTTCAATGGTTATAATCACAAAATAACTAATAAACATCTACCATTGGAAGAATTAGACAAGTTTTCCCTTGGAGTAACTGACTATATGTAACTATATATTTCAATCAATATATCATCATATGGTTCGACACCAATTATTACCCTCAAGTAAATTAACATAGACCCTGAAAATCACCCATTTTGAATGGAAACTAGTCTTCCAACCCCGATGACTGCCAGGGTCGAACTGTTAATTTACCAGAGGGTATCATGTATGATCAATTTTTGTGGAATGAACATCCATTTACCAGCTATTTTGATCTATTGTGAGGTTCATTAAATTATGTAGGTGCCAGGATATTGACCCATTGCCACAGGTTTCCCAACCTGGTACCCCCAGTCATCATTCATGGCTTTCTTTGGGATTTCCATGAAAACCATCCGTTCCTGGGAATCCTGACTATGGAAACCCTCCATAAAACATCATATACCCTCTGGTGAACTAACATAGCAATGGAAAATGGCCATTTATAGTGGATTTTCCCATGAAAAATGGTGATTTTCTATTGCTATGTTAGTTCACCAGAGGGTATACCCTCTGGTAAATTAACTTGTTGACCCTGAAAATAGCCCAGTTTTTTCATGGAAACTCATCTTCCAACCCCGATGGCCCGATCCAGGTGGGATGCAGCTGTCGGAGACCTGGCTGTCCTGGAGGCGATCAACCGTGACGACGTGGATCCAGGATTTAAAAAATCAATAAAAATCATCAACATGTTTCTAAACTATATTCACAATATAGAGTAGAGTATGTATGTATATGTAATATGATTATAGATATGAATATATTATATTTCCAGATATTCAGAATCCTTAAATTGGCCACTATAATATTCGCTCATGGTGGTATGACCAGCCCAAGATATGGGGGACCTCCCCAAAATTATGGAAACATCGGCCAGCGAGCAGAAAACTTGGCAAATAGATGGAAACAGAGGAGATGATCCATATTACTGTATCCAATATTCTTGAATCGTCATGCCACCCTTATGGGAATTGGGACGACCAATATAAAAAATGGTGGGACGAGCACAATTACCCCATATACTATGTTTTGACCACTTCACAGATGAGATTATGTAGTAGATGTGATATATTGTTCACACAGGTGCATTCTGTGATATGTTGAGATGACATCAGATTTTCCTAACTTTACTGACGCTTTCCTGATTGAGTGCCTCATTGCCGCATTCTGGGAATCAGTATCAACCAACCAGTGGAAGCAATGCAGAAAGAACTGGGTCTGTCTCTTTACATATATATATATACTGTACACATTATACACTATACATATATCTCATAGAATATATTTGAACCTACGTATCATATGTCTATACAGATCTAGCAGAATACAAAGACGCCCCATGAAACCATTCATATATATATATACGTATATGATCGTATATGTATATATATATATATATATACATACTTATACGTATATATATATATATAGATACATACATATATATATATATACATATACATACATAGATATATTTACACATATACATATATATATATACATAGATATTGCATGCATATATTTATACATATATATGTATGTATATATATATATGTATTAAACAATATGTTTTCCCGACGATTTTATTTTTGTTGGAGCCATGATGTGTCTTGCCACAAGGCATCTTCCCTTCCCACGGCCAGGTGTTACCCCGAAAGTATCCGCTACGTTTAGGCGCGGTGGTGTGGCATTTTTTCATGACATCTTGATGGATGATGATGGTTGATCTTGGTGCCACCAGCCTGATATCTTTAAAGGATTTAATAGGGGTTGCCTTTAAGACATTACCTTCAAGGGATTACTTGAAAGCTCTGTTTGAGCGGTTTCATCTCATTTTTTTCGATCACCATTCCAAAGAACAGGAAACAAACTACTTGACACAATTACAATTTATTTCTACGTGCACAACATCATCGAGCTCATGTTTTGGGGGCCCTAGCTCCTGAGTTTCACCATCCAAAGTTGTGTCAGACAAGCTTCCCAAAATATAACTGGATTTGAGTGGGTGTATCATATCCAATTTATGAATTTATGGTCATTTATGGTCAGCAGATTGTTTAGATCCTATCTGGATCTATCTGGTAATTGAGATACAACCATGATATATATATATTGTATATATACATATTTATGCATTATGACCATTGTTCGTTCAGCCACTGTTTTTTTTTTTTCCCAAGGAGAAATCCACCATGACTGGTTCAGGTCAAGGCGAGTACAAGACGCAGGGCAAAGTGGGAACGCCCAGTGACACGCCTTTGTCGGTGCTCGCGGTGCTCGGATCTGTGCGGTGAAGTCTGAGAAAGATCATGAAATATCTCAATAATTCTCAATAAACAGGGGCTGGTAAATGACTGATTGACTGTCCCTTTGTTGATCCTTTTTGAAGATCTTTAGAACATGACCTGAACAGAGTATTTGTTGGAGAATCTATACCTTTTATTGGGTGATGAAAACAAATAGGACATTTACCAACCCCTCTTGAATATCGGATTAAGTATCCAATTAACTACAACTGTCTAACTGTCCCACATTAACTATCCCCATATTCTTGCTTATTGATTGTATACATCCACCAAGACACAGATTTTGTAGCCATCAAAAATGGTAAAAGTACCAGCAGATTATGCGGAACAACTATTGATTTTGATGAGTCGAAGCAAGCGCCTAGCTGCCTAGCTATCTGCATTGGCGGTTCAAAAGGTTGGTATTCAAGATTTCAAGGAGGTATCCATATCCCCGGATTTGTAGCAGACATAGGGACCATCAACAATAAACAAGGGTGAGACGCAAAGTCGCATGTTCACTAGCAACGAACGGGGGGTTAACCAACCACAGCATATCGATGTCCAACAAAGATCATGATAACCAAAAACCATGGTTTTTCAATATATGAGATGATCAACTTATCTAAATGAAAGAACGTAGGTTGGCAATCTTTGAATCCGGCTTGTCGGACAGAAACGATAGATTCTTCCCCCAAAATTGATCGATGTCGGCTGCGGGGACAGGTTTTGGTTACTTCTTATGTTGCGGTCATAGGTCCGGTTGCTTCTGCCACAGTACTCAGGAACATAGTTAAGAACCCAATAACCTCGATCAAATATACGGTTCTGGGCACCATACTGATCAGAGCGTTCAAACGGTTCGGTTCCACAATTTACCGGTTCGGTTTCTGCGCTGCGTTTTGTTCGGTTTCATTACGGTTCGGTTCATGTTGGTTCCGGTTTCCAGTTCCCCCCCAGACTTTTGGAACGACCCAACTGGGTCAGCCACTATGTTTAATTGGTCTCAAAGAACTTGAGGTAGGACAGATACCCTCCAGTGAGCTAACATAGATCTGGAAAGCCCTCCATTTCTAGTTTTTTGTTAATATGACTTCCAAGGTAAACTAGGTAAACCCATGAATTTCGATGGTTTTTGGCATGTTTTTGGTATGTTTCTTGTATGCTTAGCCCCAAGAAAAACGCCCTGGTCCGAGCTCCGCGACGGTGCTTGAGGCCTGCAATCAGCTCAATGGAGTCCGCTTTGCCTCTGGTCATTACATCCAGGTGGATAGTCAAATGGCGAAGTCTTCGATTCCTATTTTCAATGTGTGGTAAAGCATATGGGATCTACAATGATATGATATATATATATATATAATTATATACATATATATATAATAATAATCATAATCATCATTAATAATTAATAGTAATAATAATAGCAATAATAATAATGATAATAGTAATAATAATAATAGTATAAATATATATATATGTATATATGAATCCCATGAACATAGTATAACAAGAATGTTTAACACAATGGGATATATAGATGAATATTAACAATTGTAGTTTATGATTTTTTTGTTCCATGAGTGATATAGGAATATCTGAGGGGAACATGAAATCCAAATTTCATCACGACCGAGCCCGGCTCCGAGCCCGGAAAAATGATGGGTTTTCGGATTCTGGTTAGGATTCTGGGGTAACGTTTTCCCAAAATAGTTTTGGATTCAGATCAGTGAATTAATTAATTTTAATTTGCTCGGATGGAATGTAAATCTGATGTTCAGCTAGCATCCTTGTGTTTGCATACGTTTAAGCATGCTTTCCAGGACAAGGAAGTCTTGCAAATAGCAAAGAATCTATGTGTTGTATAGCAACAGGGGGAAAAAACATAGGCAAGGTAAAATACAACGAACATATATAATGATAAATGAATGTCTATCTCTCCGGGGCTACTATAGATGCAATCTTGAAGCTTCATGCAGGTGCTGCAGGTGTGACTGAAAATGGGGTCTCGAAAATGGTCATGTTAATAGGGGAAATTGTGGTTCGTCAGTCAGTTTGTTTGGAGACTATTTTGGGACAAATCTATACTGGTTGGTGGTGACTGGCACATTATATAATTTTTGCGAATTTCCATTCAGAAAAGGGAATGTCATCATCCCAATTGACGATTCGTCCATCATTTTTCAGAGGGGTAGGTCAACCACCAAGCAGTATAGGAATAGCCTCTGGTAATTTAACATAGCTATTGGAAATGGCCATTTAAAGTGAGTTTTCCCATTAATAATGGTGATTTTCCCATAGCCACGTTAAATTACCAGAGGGTAGCTATAAAAAATCAATCCCTCCGGTCGTTCCCAGGTGACTCGATGTCACAGATCACGAAGTTTCCAACGAAGTCTCTGTGTAAATGATGGTCCATGCTAGGGAGAACATCATCTGAAAAATGGTTGGTGGTTTCAAACATGGCTGGATTATTTTCCATACTTTTTTTGGGATGTCATCCTTCCCATTGACGAACTCATATTTTTCATATTGCACCACCAACCAGTTATGTTCTGAAAATATGGCTTTGAAAATGCTATGGAACATGAAACATGTCTTCCTCTAAAGCATTTCCAATAGAGGGGATCGCACAGCCAGATCTGACATGCAACTAGATTCTGGTGCAGATGTCTGACATTGCATAAATTGACGACCCAGATGGAAATGTGTCCAACCATTTTCCAAACCGTTTTCAATTCATGGATCTTCACCAGATTGGACACTTAGACCACAGCATACTAAAATAGTGGTACCTTTCGATTTTTTTTAGGGGGTCACTATGACAGTTTAGTTATAGTCATTAATAGCTACCTGAAATAAAGCCAGTTTGGGATACGTTCCCTTGCTCACCCCCTAGCTTTATTTCATGTTGGTGGATGTTTACAATTTATCCAGACATCTTGATAGAATTTCCACCAGTATATCCCGTTATATCCTATTATATCCCACGAGCTATTGGAATAATAAATGTTATTTCCCAATGATATTAACACTAGTTTCATACTATCTGGTGGTTAGTAGGAATCAGTTGGGAGCTATGGTTGTATCCACGTTGCCTGTTTTTAATGCATTTCACGGGGAGCCTTGGGGAGCCAAGGAGCTTCAGTCACAGGTTCCCAACCACATGATGGCACATGATCCCAATGTGAAAATCATTTGTTCATAAGTTTTTATCTGGAGAATAACCATCTCAATGGATTGGTTTAAGGAAAAAATTACAGGAAAGCCCCATATTTAATGGGAAAATCTATGGTTTCCTGTAGATTTTCCCTTAAACCAATCCATTGACCATCACATGAGTTCCAATGATGATTATTTATTCACTACTAGTGTTTATCTGGAATTATGAAATCTATAGTAATATTCATCCAGATTTCCATAGATTCATGATTTCACCATCAGAGCTTTCAACGTTTCACCAGCGTCGCAGGCTTTGGACTGCAACATGGGCGCTTTCAGGGGTGAAGGCTTCAAGGTCGCCCGGCCGTTCGAACATGTGGACTTCATAGGATTTTGAATGGACATGAATGGGATGTACATGGATTCAATATGTTTTTCATGTGAAATTATCAAATATAGAACAATTTTAATAGCGAAACGATCGGACCATGATTGATCAACAGATTTGGGGATACTCGATTTTCAAACTCAAATCGAGCCACTTATTCCATCCCTATAGAGCTTCGACCTGTGCTTCCACCCTGCCAGTCCCACCCATCGCGAAAAAAGCTCGCATAGAATCCCATAGAACCCCAAGAAAAGCTCTTGGAAGAAGAATATGTTCACTTTGGAAGATTGGAAAGTGTAATTTTTTGGGGGTTCTGTGTTAGTTCGCAGGTGGGTGTGATACCTTGTACCTTGGATTTTTTTTGGAGGGGAGGGTTGCAACTGCTACCAGTGCTACCAGGTCCCTTACGTCTTGCGGCTGTTTATGCCGCTGGACAAGAAGAATCGCCCGCGCCCCAGAGTGGCAGGCAGTAGCTGGGATTACGTGAAGGAATGGTTGGTCACAAGATGTACAGTATATGATATGTATATGATATGTACCCTCTGGTTATTTAACATAGCCATGGAAGCCATGGCCCATAGAAATAGATGGTTTACCTATTAATAGCATGGTGATTTTCCATGGCTATGTTAGTCATAACCAGCTGGTACATGTATAATATATTTCTATGAAATCCACCTGTGCAAAAAAAGGGGCCCCTTAGCCTACAGTAAGGGTACACAATTTCAGCCCTTCAGATTTCAGGCAGATTTTGGCTAAAAGAGGCTACCTTCAGGAAGATCCAGGTTGAACCAGGTTGATATCAACATATACTCCTTCCATCTGGGTTGGATGTCATTCCCCCAAGACATGCACCAAATTTGATCCCCAATCTCCAGGTGTGGCCACACAGTGCCGCTACTTGGGCTTTCGCGAGCACATTTATACCGGAAGAGAAGGAACTGCCGCTTGGCTCGAGCAAAACTGCCTTGAGATCATCCATGGTGGAATCATTCGGTGGTGATGCGGAAGCCAAATGTTCACATCGCCTCCAATTAACTAACCATATGGAAAATGACCCATGAAATAGATGGTGTCCCTATTAAACATGGCCATTTTCCATGGTTATGTTAGTTTACTGGAGGGTAAACCCTCAGTTTATTGGTCTTTTTTAGAGGAAATTATAGTATTCCAATCCCCGGAGTGTTTGATCTATACATATTGACCTGTTACCATCTGGTTATGACATGTTATGACTAACATAGCCATGGAAAATCACCATGCTATTAATAGGTAAACCATCTATTTCTATGGGCCATCTATACCATGGCTATGTTAGTCATAACCAGATGGTATGAGGATTGAACATGGCAAAGGTAGGACTTGGACTAGCCAAAAAGCCAGCAGATGCGGGTGATGTGGGTGAACTACCATTGGTTTCTCCCCCGAAATTGACCATTTTGGTGAAAGTTCCCTGGGGAAGGAAATATGACCTACATATTTGTTGGTTATCAAACATGGCTAGCTGGACCATTCCCCTATTTTTTCTCGATGATGTTCACATTAAAACACAATAATATATATATATATAGCCTCTTCAATTGTACTTGTTTGATTACCGGATGGTAATTCCAATCACTATTCATTATTCCAAGAATTGTCTCACTATCTCCCAAGTATATCCCTAGTGTTGCTTGAAAATTCCCATGTTGTTCCCATTAAAAACGCTTAGAATCTCCCATTTCTATCCATTTCTGGCGGGTAGAATCGGGACACCACAACGACCAGGTGGGCAAGTGCCACGCGGCAGCGGAATGGACCTTTGGAACCATCTACCAGCGATTTTTGAGCGGCACCTGGGCCGTAAGGCCGTCGTAAGTTACGGGGTCACTCCGTCTATGTGTCTATGTGTGTTTGTCTATATATATATACTGGTTGGTGGTTTGGAACATGAATGGATTATGACTTTCCATTCAGTTGGGAATTTCATCATCCCAACTGACTCATATTTTTCAGAGGGGTTGAAACCACCAACCAGATTCATATTTTTCAGAGGGGTTGAAACCACCAACCAGATATACATCATATAATTTTCCATGTGCTTGTCTTTCTATCTGTCTGTTTGTCGGTCTGTCAGTCTGTCGCAGTCCAAACTGGAGTACTACATCCATTGAACCGGTTGGCTTAGTTTTTCGCAACACAGATCTTTGTGGAAGTGCCCCACTTTGATGCTTGATGGGTTGTACTGTAAATGTCAATCCATGAATCGCTGAACCTCGAAGCCTACAGCTTGATGCGACAACGTGTAAAGCATTTTTTTTTGTGGAGCAGCAGCTTCCCATGTTTTTTCGTGCTGGTTGCACACATTCCGTTTTTGTTCCTCGCCTAAAAGAGTGATGGTGATCCGCAACTCATATTCATTCATCTTTGTGATACATCTTTGTGATATTTTCGATATTATTATTACGTGATATTATTCACAGCGGTAGCAACCAGTTCTCTACAAATCTATAGTGACCTGAAACAACGCCTTAGCATTTGCGCGCAGGCTCAAGACTAGTAGATGTGGATGTTACTACCTCAGGACATATCATGATACGGGGGGTTCCATAAATGGGGATACCCAAAAATGGATGATTTAGGGAACCCCCATTTTAGGAAACCTCGTCCACATATCCAAATATATCCTATGCAAGCAGCAAAGAGGGGGATATGTATTTAACACAGCTAGCAATCACATTTTTTTTTCAGGAATAAGCATCTTACTGTGGCAACCAATCGAATCGACAGATGAAACTAAGATACCCTCTGGTAAACTAACATAGCAATGGAAAGTCACCATTTTTAATGGGAAATCTCACTATAAATGGCCATTTTCCATAGCTATGTTAGTTTACCAGAGGGTAAACTGTTTGCAGATTTCCCAAACATAGCCCCACAGTTGGGAGGATTCATGATCGTCCCCCTGGGAACGTATTTCCTAATTCGTATATAATACATATCGTCATTGTCGCTGGATATTAATATAGCCAGTCCTTGGGGGATGGCCTATGTTGACCTAGAAGTCTTCTAATCGCACGTCAACAAGGCCTTCTCTTATTCGAAATACCAGCCGGGACGCGGAAAATTACGTGGCGATTTTATCTCTGGCATGTTGCAGGTGGTGTCTGCTGTCTCTGGTGAAACCATTTTAAGCCTTGAGGCAGCTGGGTTTCAGAGCATGTCTGTGCGAGACCTGAAGAAATCGTTGGAGCTGCAGACTGGATGTTCCCGGTTTTGCCAGAAACTCCTCCGTGATCACAGCCCTTTAGCGGATGATGATCCTTTGAGTCCTTTGACCGATGAAACTTTGCATCTTTTGCTGATGCAGTTCTTGCCTCCCGACGAGAAAGATGCGGAATTGATGTCTGCTTGCAGAATCTGTCCACCTGAAATGGTGGAGGCAATCCTGCGTCAACCCAGAGATCCCAACGTCATATCAAAAGGCCGAACAGCCCTTCACTACGTTGCAAGGGGTAAGTACAGTGGTCCCAATTGCAGATTGCTGCTGGAAGCCTGGGCTGATGCCAACACATGGGCAGATGATGGCAATACACCTCTGCATGATGCAGCTGCGCTTGGGAACCTGGAAGTTGCTCACATCCTCCTGAAGTCTGGAGCGGACAAAGACGCCAGCACAGCTTCTGGACTTACGCCTTTACACGCAGCCGCCAAGGCCGGTAGTCTTGATGTGCTTCGTTTGTTGGTGGACTCTGGAGCCAACCACAAGGCTGTCACTGACTCTGGGCAAACGCCCTTGCACCAGGCATCGGTCCTTGGGCGTGAAAAATGTGCTCACTTTTGCTGGACTGCAAGGCTGACATTGAAGCGGCGACGTCTGCTGGTAGGAGGCCTTTACATCTGGTAGCAGCTGGGAACATGCCGAGCCTGGTGCGTTTGCTGCTGAAAACTGGCGCGGACAAAGATGCCAAGTCAGGTGGTGGGAGAGCACCTTTGCACGAGGCAGCTCGGTTTGGTCATATCAAGGTCGTTAAGACCCTGGTTGAATTTTCTGCAGACATCCAGGTAGTAACAAATTCCGGCAACACGCCATTGTATGAAGCAGCAGCAAGTGGCCGCAGCTCGCGGATTGAAGTTGCGCGTTTTCTCTTTGCGTCTTCTGCAGACTTGGAGGCCACTACAGAAAAAGGCATGACTGCTTTGCATGTAGCAGCTGCCAAGGATGACCCTGAGATGGTTCAATTTCTTGTGGCTTCTGGTGCCAATATTGATGCCACCACCGAGGATGGCGAAACACTGGTGGAATTGGCCGGTAAACGTGTGACGAAGTGCCTTCGGAAGAGGCAAATGTAGCCGTGATATGCAGTGACGCATTTCTGCCAGAGGTTGAAAGGGTGTGGTGAGATGTTTGTCTGTGCGTAATGGGTGGTACTACCCTCAGAAACAAAAAGGACCTGCAAACTCAGGTTTGGAAACAGCTTCAAAAATCTTTCCTCAATCACAGTGCCAAATTTTCCACGGGTGCCAGGTTCACATGATTTTTGCGTGGTCCAGATATGGGCCTGTCGTAGTATACCAGTTGTTTCAAAGATATTCAAGACATTTCTTCAGTCCTCGAGGATCAATGTCCATTCTATATTTATGGGCCATATGTGAGGCCTTGTGCGCGACTGAATAAGACTCGCACCGGAATACGTCTAGAGCAGTTTAGATCCAAGGCAATAATCATAGAATCGTTGGTTTTGTTTTGGCCCAAAGAGTCACCGACTCAATTCTGTTTGGTGGAACTTGACACCTTTGATGTGTGCAAATCACATTGCAATGTTTGGACAAACTGGCTGGTGTGTTCAAACATGATGAAACATGTCTTATTTTGTTTCTGTTTCCACCCTTATTTGGCATTATTTGGATTGATTATCCCTAATTGACTTTTCCCGCTATAAGGGGCTTGAAATGGCTTGAAACCACCAACTATACCCGATGATCATTCGCATCCCGGTGATCCTGAAGTTTGGCTTCCCGAAACGTCCCCCTCCAAAGAAGTAAACTGAATTTAAATGCAGCAATATTCAGCAATAATAGTCAACTCATTGTATCCACTGATGTTCGTTTATTACATGTGATGACTTTCCGTATTACCCTCATGTTATTTAAGATGATTTAAGATAACTAAACCATGGCCCATTTGGTTCGATGATGTATGATGTTTTAGATTAAAATCGCGATTTTCCAGTTCGCGAAGTGAAATTTAGCCAGAGGCTATACTCCCATGTGTTTGAAGGCATGAAAGAACTTCATCAAGCCTTGAGTTTCTGCCTGAGGTATGGGTACACGAATGCACTACGGGCATCCCGATTTTGTCGATGGATTTTGGGCCAGAAACCGCGGAGGAATGAGTCCCTTGTCGATCTGGATGATTTTGGTGGGAATCCAACCCCCCATTTTTAGGTGATGCTGTCACTTGGGACTTGAGGTCACAGCGAACATGTTCAAGCTGCAGGGTAAACCCAACAAGAAACCCTCGGGTAGTCCTCGGGTCGGTTCATAGCAATCTATTTCTGCTAAAATTCAAAATTGGGGATGTTTTATGCTTTTGGGTTTCCCAGTCATGTGTTTTTTGGTGAAATCATATGAAATCATGACCAAACCGACTAGAAGTGGAAGTGTTTTCAAGATGTTTCAAGAAACATACCGCTACCTGAAATAATTCCCAATTGACATCAATTGACGTCATGTAGCAAGCTAGGGATGGGTAGCTCAAGCACCAGTAAACACTGACCCATCAATGACTAACTGACCAACTCCATGTGATGAACATGGCTGAAATGGAGGAAACTCCTAAGTCATGGGGGGTACCCCCCAAATCATCATAAATCATGAAAAAAAAATGTGTTTTTCCATGAAATCAGCGGGGTATCCCCATTGGAAACTTCCTCAGGTAAAGGCTCTCCCGTGGTGAACCTCAGCGAGGACATTTTTGCAGGCGCGGTGCCACCGATCGCCGTGGCGGTGGGTGAGATCTTTGGGATTCTCCGGCGAGGCGGATTCTCCGTGTTTGCCACGACAGGTTACAACGTCCACATGCGTGAGGAAGCATCACCGCATGTGGACGCTCTGGAATTTGAGAAAGGCAGAGAGGCGGGGGAACCCAACGGTTTTTGAGGGGGGAACAAACGGAATCCCATGGTTTATCAATGTTCACCACAGGTTTTGCCATGCGTAAGGTTGTCATAAATTGGGGCAAACCCATTTCCAGACAAAGCCATAATTCCATTTCCTGAGGGATCTAAATAGGGTAGGGCTGGGAGAAGCAATTCATTTTATGGGAGATCATCAGTTGGTGGTTTGAAATGATCTTCGAATCCTGTCTAGAAAATGAATTTGATGAACTATGGTTTTCTGGACCTCAGGATCGATTGACATGTGAAACCAACATGTGTTTCCAGATGTCTCGAATGCCTCCATTTCCTTCCGCTTGGGCTTGTCCCAACATGGGGACACCACATAGTGCAATTTCCCCGAGCATTGTTTGACAAACCACAGGTTTTTTGGGTACCCTAATTTCAGACAAACCCAGATGTTCAGTCATACCCCAAGAGGAACTGAGGGTTTGGACTTCGTAGGAACACTTATGATTATGAACACTTTACTTGAAGCTATAGCAACCTCCAAAAAGCTAGAAAAGAAAATCCCTACTAATTTGCTGATGAATTACCCTCTCGTTATTTAATGTAGGTATGGAAATCACCATTTTTAAGAACGGTAGATCATCATAGTTCCATACAAATCATCTATACATGGGTTATTTTCCATAGCGACTGGCTATGTAAAAAAAAACTAGACCAACGGGTTGTAATCAGCCTTTCCGGTCCTCGAGCGTTGTGAGCGGACTGAGGCAGCCTTCAATGCAGCGTGGGAAGCTGAGTGGGGCAGGGCATGGGAGCAGGGCATGGCCGCGTATCCCGGGGTGGCAAGGGGGCACAAACTAGGTGAGAGTCGCAACTGGATGCTACCGGACTGAAAAAGGAGTCAACTAAACTGTATCAACTAGCATCCAATTAACTATAGGTGTTCAAATGAAGTATCAAAGACCAATCAACTAGTATGAATTAACCATCCGCTTCAAAAGGGCCGACTATAGTTGAGGCTGTCACAGAAATGGCTCCGAAATTTGAAAGAGTTGGCCTTGGCCGGTCATTTTGTGGGAAATCTGTTCCCATGTGAAGAGCATACAAGTGGAGTACCCAGTTTTGACGCTTTCACCCACGTCATGGATTAGAGGTCCGCCTACTTACCGTACCTAGCACTCCCGCATAGCGTAGATGATATTCCAAGAAATCGAGTGCCTGCATTATGGCAATGAGTTCAGTCTACACATGGGCATTGAAGGCACTCCAGGCCCAATTGTCACCAAACCTGCCAGGACCAAGCGCATCACACTGGGTACAGTTCAGACAGTCTTCTGTAAGTCACGCCACCATGGCTGTCTGAAATTCGGAAAAGTTGCAGCTCCAAGTTCTTGTTGTTCTACCCTCTGGTAATTTAACGTAGCTATTGAAAATGATCATTAATAGTGGATTTTCCCATTAAAAATGGTGGATCTTTCAATAGCTATGTTAGTCATTACCAGAGGGTAGCTCCAACAGTTTCCCCATGTGTTTCCATGTGCTTTCCCCAATTAGTGTCGATCGTTTCCCCCGGAGTTTCCCCAAGCGATCCCATCCGCGATCCCCAAGCGATCCCATCCCGCCCATGTCGTCACGAGCGATCTCCAGGTCCAGCTTTTTCTCCAAGATCTCCGGCGGAAGCGTCGGAATTCTTCGGTCAAGAGACAATCATTTACTTTGTGAAAGGACTGGACTTTGAGACGCCGAAAAAAGTCCTGGTAAAAATGAGATGTGCATAACATGCGGTGTCTGACATGGATATGTCTGACATGTGAAATGTGGAGATTTTATGGGATATATATATATAACAAAAAATATAATTGTATAGTATTGTATAATTATAGAATTATATTATATATATATACACAATTGCATATATTTATGTGTATATATATATATATGTAATGACATATATATATAATGTGTATATTATCATGTTTTACCATCCACTTGGATATTTCATCAACAAATGTTTTTTTGTTTTTGTGCAGTTGGTGAACTAAGATGCGTGGGTCAACTCCAGATGTGTCACATATTTTGGGTTGCCAAGCAATGTTCATAATTAATGCAGGTAAAACAATGGGATGATTATTGGGATAGTTTTTGGGGACATCAATGATTATAGGGATGATTATTAGATGGTTATGGTGATGTGTGGTTGTACTATCCAATATAATGTGGGTGAAACAATGCCATAAACCATCCCCCAAATCACCATAAATAGGTGGTATAAACCATTCCCAAATGGGTTGTTTGTTATTGTTTCAACCACATTACAGTCATTGCTGTTTGCAGTAACCATTTCCAACTCACCGAGGGGATAGTAAGTCAAATGATAGTTATTATTTATTATACTAACAGTTTATTTTAAATATACCCTCTGGTTATTTAAATAGCCATGGAAAATCACCATGCTATAAATAGGTAAACCATCTATTTCTATGGGCCATCTATACCATGGCTATGTAACAAATAACCAGAGGGTAAGTATATTATGACTCTTTTGCGGTTGATTCACCATCGCTGAGCGGCTACTGCGGATGGTTGCGAAGTCCTGCACCGTTAGAAAATCCCATTTAGTCGTTTTTTTTGGAAATCCCAGCAGTTATCAGATACTGAAACAATGAAAAATATACTGAAACAACAAATAATCAACGTTAATTAATCCCTACGCAATGTTAACATTGACATTAACATATAGTGTTACCAATAGATAGTTACGAAATCCCCATTAAATATGGGTAAATTATAACGACCTCACTGCGACCTCACTATAATCATAGTTAGTAAGAGGAATCATCCCAAAATGGCCTTAATTCAGGTTAGTGAATTATTATAATTTACCCAGATTAAATCTTCACAGTGGAACTATTTCTGAACAGCCACAGCTCCTCGTAGGATTGGCATTCTGCACTCGTTATCGTTTTACTTCACGTCGGTGGCCTTTTATGTGCGCGGGCTAGCCGAAATTGCCCACGGAAGACGTCAGAGATGGTCTGAGATGTGGCAGTGTGTCAAAACCTTGTACCCCTGGTGAACATCAAAATAGCTGGTAAATGGATGTTCATCCCCCTAAAAATGGTATGTATAGGTATTGATCCATAGCCATGTTGGAACAATTGCTTGGGAAATGTATAGATAGTATATATAACCATGAAATGGTCATATTAAACCACCAACCAATATATATATATATTAATATTGTTATTTAAAAGGTTTCTAAAAGGAGTAGGGGAAATTGGCGCACAAATCCCAAGTCAAATATGGAAATCTTTCATGGTCTTATATATTGTTCGGATGTATATATTCTCAACAACAATAAGCCAATTATAATTGTTTCAGTATTCTTGGGATATATCTATACATCTACAGAGGATAGGGATATCCCATTCTTGTAAGAAACCTACCATCTATTATTTTTCTGTTTTCCCAATGTATAGAAGCCAAGAATAGGATATCATTGGGATATATTGAATTGTGATAGCAGATGGTAGTGAAATAGACTTGGAATACAACCAACAAGAATAGGAATGTTTTCACTAGATCAATGTTGTTTTTACTATATTCCAAAATTCATTTCTCTATTATCCCATTTATTACGCTCTCAAGATGGGTTCAGTATCGGGTTTGACGCATTCAATGAGTATTATGATTTCTACAATGTGGTCACTTGATAAATTTACTGCACTATCTCTCCCTATCCAAGGGCTTGGGGTGGTGGTTTTAGGCTGTTGGTTGTTGGAAATGTTTGGGAAACCCATTTGAGCTCTTATGACCCAATTGTAGATAAATATACCATGATATACTAAGACTAAAGGTGGAGCGTACGAATGGCGACACTGGGGTTTTGAAGGGCGAAGACTCGAATCCATAGTATGGAAGTTGCCCGAGTCTTGCTCCAAATAAACGGACTACGCACCCATCCTCAGCCTCCAGTGTTTATTGTTTGTTTATTTTTGAATATCCTGAAGCTAAGGGGTTACCAAAAGATCATTCCAATTTCATGTGTGTAACCAACCTTGCACCATCGCATGGGTGAAAAGATGATCTTGTAAATATTCTGGTGTCCCTGGTTTCCCTGGTTTCCCTCTGTGTTTTGGGGGAAACTTCGGAAAATCACCAAAAAGCACCGAAAAGCACCTTCAGCCTTCGAGCCAGAGATTCTCAGGTGAGCAATTTGCTCATCGACATTTCCATCTCTTTGTATGTTGGGAACTTAGTAGTGCCTTTCAGCTCGATTTGTTTTTCAAATACGCATGAAGATTTGACCAGTGAATATCATGGTTTAATGGTGGCAGAATGGGGAATAATGAATTTAATATGGGATGAACATGTTGAATTTGACCAACCGAAATAGTGATTTTAATTGGGAAAATCATGTTCTAATTAATGTTGTATCCTGATTAGTGTGTACCCCCCCTATACTCTCTTTAAAGTTGTGCGCCAAAAAAATGTTCCCCAGGAAACAACATCTGCACTTAAGTAAGGATTTCAATTGGCTACAATTGAAATCTAATTAAGATTTTTTTTTTGCCGATGAACTTGTGATATTTGTAGTACTTTTAGTACTTTTAGTACTTGTAGTACCTTGTAGTACTTGTAGTACCTTGTAGTACTTGTAGTACTTGTAGTACCTTGTAGTGCGTGTAGTACCTTGTAGTACTTGTAGTACCTTGTAGTACTTGTAGTACCTTATGGTACTTGTAGTACCTTGTAGTGAGTGGGGTTCAGCATGTTGATTGCGTTACCTTTTCCACCTTAAGTTTTTTATTCAAAGTGTAATACGAGAAAAAAAAATAAAGAGAAAGGGAAAGAGAGAAAGAGAAAGAGGAAGAGGATAAAGTTTGGTGCAATTGTGAACCCTGAGAACAAACGTACTAAAGTGAACTGGACCCTCTCATGGCCCAGTGCCTTGGAAATTTGTGGAAAAGCTGTTCTTTAATAAGGGTTTAATAATCGGTCTGATTCTTTTGGGACAGGGAGACAAGCAAGATGTTTTTTTTCCAGAAAACACATTCAGAATTTTTAGTACAAACATGTTTTTGGACAAAAAAACTTGGCCCCCCAAGATTTCTTGCCACAATAGCGAACCTGCCAAACAATGCATGGGTTCAGAATAATTTGGATTTTCTTTGGCACAATAGCGAACCTAGCTATTAATCAGGATACAACATTAGTTGGAATTGGGGATACCCTATTATCAGCCCACCCATTTTGGTGGTTTGATGCAATTCATTTCAACATTTTGTTGCGTAGTTCTGCTTGTTTGGTGATGTTTTGACTTTTAGGAAGGTGTTTGACGTTTGGAACATTGTTGAGGAGAATTAGTTCACATCGGGTTGCTGCAGTCCTTCTGGCTATATAATATCATTATATATCTTTATGATAATGCTATATATATATATTTAAACATGTTTGGGAATTTTGGTCTGTCAAAAACACCATGTGATACCAAGATTCGGAACCGAATTCTACCTTTTGTATCTCTGTGTCCGCTTTGAAAGTGTTCCACTTGCTCTCCGATTTCCTTCAAGTCATGCGAAACCAAAGCCAGAAAAAAGCCAATACGCATTTTGGATTGTTCTAATACAATATAAATCTAAATCATGGAACTATTACAATTCATGTAGATATTCGTGTATGCTATCTATATAATCATATGCATATAATATATATATATATATCATAGAATTCCTATCTGTTATGACGTGTTCGCCGCAAGTGCACCACACCACGATCGCAGGTCTCTCTTTTCATCGTTTTCACCTTGGTGGGGGTCCCTGGACCCCACTGGAGGACTGTTTTCCCAGGCAATCGATGCTGGCTTCCTTGAATTGAAGGAAAAATTGAAACCGGAACCAACATAAACCAATATGTCCTTCAATTCATGTTGGTAGAATAATGTTGGTTTATGTTGGTCAGTAGATATTGCTGGTTCAATTCAATTCACAAAAAAAAACATATTTTGATGTGAATTTCCTATCGTTTCCTGTAGATTCTCCCATACACAAACCAACCCGAAAATTGCGCGTTTCTGAAAGCTGGCTGACTGTCACTTATGTTAATTTTGGGAGACCTCCGCAAATCAGGATCTGAATAGTTTGCAGTTGTTTCATGACGGACCAAAACTCATGAATGTAAGGTTATTTTATCTCATGAAAAGCATTAAACAAGGGCCCTAAGTGAGGATGACAGGGGTTGTTTTTAATTGAGTTCTGCAGATGAATCAGGCAGAATAAATATGTTTTGGCCAATTATGTCACCTCCTGGCCCAACATGGGTAGGAGTCTCGAGTGGTAAGTCGCCGAATACTGGTAGGCATGATGTGCGACGCCACAAACTGGTCAGATCTGAATTCCAGAAAAAAAACAGACTTTTCAATACTCACAATGTAGATTCATGATGATTTTCATGTAATAAAACAGCTTTTTCAAAACTCAGCTGCAGAAGCTCGGCATGTTCTTCACGCCGTGAGCGATTCAAGGCCAACATCGATCTGACCAAGCTTTCGGCCTTGGGATCTTCTTTTAGTTCTGCAGCTCGGCAATGCTCCCAACAGTTGGGAAACAAATAAAGTGGTTTTCGGGTTGATAAATGACATGATTTTTCATGGGATAGAAAGGATATATAACAAAATCAGAGTTTGGGTGTGTGTATATACAATATTATATATACATTTGTACATATTGGCAGTGTTGCTTGAAAGTTGGTATGAATTCGGTACCTTTTTTTGATCGTGCCGATCCATAGGTTTATCACAATGTTCCCTTAAATCATCCCCATTGACCTTTAAGATTAATTATATCATACACGCTCAGTTTACTCATAAGAATAACACATACTAAGTGCAGAGGGTACAGGCAAATGCCATTTTTTAATAGGTCAGCTGAAGGTCTCGGTACATAATTGATATATATAATTATGTATATATATAATTATGTATATATATATATATGATATATATATATATGATATACATATATATATATATATGATATATATATATATGTCTGAAAAAATCGGACATCCCTAAAAATCCAGTGGTTCATCTTCATTTTTCCCATTGATTTCTACACCCGTTTTGGACGAAGCCATGTTGGTACTTGACGTCGCTTAAATGCCCAAAAAGTAGATGATCACATTCAGAAGGAGCCCCCTAGATACCCTCTGGTAATTTAACATAGCTATTGAAAATGACCATTTATAGTGGATTTACCTATGAAAAATGGTGGATCTTTCCATAGTTTTTTGTAAACGTTTACCAGGCCGGGTAGGTTTCTGTTGCCTTCTACGGAGGCTAACCGCAAACTGTTCGTTGGATGTTTGCATTGGGATATCACGTTGGGTGAAACATCGGTCGGTCATCGGTCGGTCGCCATCCCATGGGGCTCCAGGAGTGGCTCCTCTCCTTGGGAATCATGAGCCCGGGAACCTGCGAAAAAATGGGGGTGTTGGAAAAAAATGGGGATACCCCCAGTTATATATCATCCATGTTATGGATTTTCCATGAAATTTGTACCATCTATTGTGGGGAAAAAAAAACAACATGTGAATTTTCCATTGCCATGTTGGTTTACCAGGTAGTACCTCGTGTATTTCGTTCTAAGGCTTTTTTTAGCCAACCTTGAATGACATCAGTGACATTTCCATGACAAACCTCCTGAACATCCTGATTTCAACAGTGAAAAACGTGAATTGTTACCATCTGATTATTTAACAGTTGGGTATGGAAGCCATGGCCCAAAGAAATAGATGATAAACATTATGATTCACAGTTCTAAATGGTGATTTTCCAGTCCGCAAGCTGTTATTCATAACCAGAGGGTATTGATTGTGGTTTGCTCACATCCCATGTTCGGTCCAAGCTGTGCACTCAGGCCTTTTTCCTCAACTTTTTGAGATGATCCTGGAGTTCCTTGGCGGGGTGATAGCGAGAAAGGTTTGAAACACTTGTTCAGCGAACTAGCTTTACCAGCTATAGCAAACCCCCAAAAAGATGGAAGTTTGTAAAATCACATCAAACTAGTGATAAGTTACATGTCCGGCATGTTCATCTATCTTTTTGCGGACGACTAATAACTACAAATTTTATTCATTGTTCAACTAAGATTGTTCAACAAACTAACAAGCAAACTAACACAAACCAACGCAGAAAAGCGGGCCCCACGGTCAAGTTGTCCACTTATTTTGTATCGACTAGGTCTGGCGCCCTGGTTTGGTTTGAACACGGGACAAAAGGGACAGACACAACAAAAAAAAGCTGGAAATTGTAACTATTTGAATACTATTTGTAACTTCTATAGTTTCTGCACATGTGTCGTGATGTTTCTATAGGATTATAGAAGGATTTTGACTCTTGCACTGGAGACGCTGGATCGACATGCACTTTTGTTGGGAGTCTCTTGAAGGGTATCTTTCGAACTGTTGAAGTTGAACGCCGATGGAATTATCCTACCATAGGTTTTGTCACTTTTTTGTGTGATTGTATAGTCATCAATATATAGGTACGTATGTGCTATGCAAGGACATCGAACAAGTAAACTTATCAACTATATTAAATGTACACATATATATATATATATATACACATACAATCTGTGCCAGCTTACTATAAGGATATAGCATCTAATCAAACAACCTATAGATATTGGATCTCAATTTTAAATGTAACCTTCAAGGAGGGTCTCTGCATCGCATCGCGCCCAGGTTCGGAGCGGTCCGAGCGTGTAAAGAGGTCTTCGGTGGTTTGATTGTCCCGAGCCCGAGCCGGGGTGTAGATTGAGGGCAACCCAAATGATAAACCCATACCATTTGTATATGGTCTATACCACCCATTGATAGTGATTTTTACATATTTTTACCACCTATATGATCTATATGGATATGTATATATATATATGGTAAACATACTTTCCATAAAGATGAATATTTTGGATATAGTTTGTTGTGTTTACCACATCATAATTTGACGTAGGATAAACTTCCAGAAAATTGTCGCTCCATATCGGATCATTATATGTGTACCAATGTCATGGTGTTTGGTTTTTCAGGGATTGGCTGAAACACCGTGCAAGCACTATAGCAAGTAGTCGCTAAGTAGAAATATCATTAATCTCAATTGATCATATAGAAAACATGAAACATAACTAGCATCAATATGTCTTAATTGTAACCTTGTACCAGGGAGAATTGCATGAATTGCATGTTTTAAAGTCTGAAAAATGCTGCATTGTTCCCCTTGTTCCTTGGTTTTGTCCAGGTTTTTTCGCCGGGATTGGCTGATTATGGCTGGCCCCTGAGGCATCGACCATGTTTTTCATTTTCCAGAACAAGAACATCGCAGCCGCCGGTTTCGCCCAGCGCCGTTTTTTCTGCCGGGGACGGGTTGAGACGGGTTGATACCAACGAGCCAGCCAGATAGGTCATGCCCCGAATTTTCGTAGGAATCCCTGATGACCAGCGTACATTTTACACCTCTGACCAGCAATCTATTGGATCCTTAGTGTTGGTCCATCTACCATTTTTTCAGGTCTACGCCATTGAAGGTCTACGAATCTACTCTAAAGATCATGTTCCATACAGAAAAAAACTGTCCATCTTGCAGGTGCCTCATTGGCCGAAAATTCGCCAGTGAATTGTTCAACTCATTTGGAAGTGTAGTGTACTTTCTGGGTGTCGGTGTAATGTCCTGGTGAGTTTTGGTCAAATCATCTGGGTTGACCTTGGCTCACCTTAAATCTAGGCGTAAATGGAGATGGCGCTGAAGTTTTACAGGTATCTAGGTGTTTTTCAAGGTACCTGTCTAATCACCTTCGTATTCTGGGTAAGGTGCAACATAAACCCCTAGGTATCTGAAATGAGCAGTGTTCAAAAACCCTGTTGTTGATGACTGTTGATGATTACAGGGGGTTATCCTACTATATTGCTATCCACTATCATTCATATATAACATACATAGATTATATATATGTGTATATATCATCAATATATATATATATAAACCATCATCAATATGTATATATACATACATAATCATACATATGTATTGCTATAGTATCATCCTCCACTATCAAAATTCCTATTAACCAACCAGTCGACCAAGGCAATGCGCGATGGCGCAACGTCAGGTGTAGCAAGGCGCGATGGACGCAATGGCTGCTATGTGGATTTGGCCAAGGGAATTTCCCAGGAATTTCTTGGAAACAGGATGGGGCCCCCGTTGGATAGCGTTCAGTTGCCTTATAAGTGGCTGAATTCTATGATTTCTGGTAGATAGAACCAACTAGTTAATGGGGATTATAATGGTTTATAAACCAACTTGTAACTGGGGGGCCCCATCCTGTAACCCTCAGATGTTTTCTTTGGAACTTCCACGGGATTATTTTGAAAAATGAAGAGTCGGTCAGCAAACATGGAGTCAAGAAGAAATTCATTATATGTGATCTGTGATATGTAAATTTGGTAGACCCAACAATAAACTATCCCCAAATTCACCATCTTTATGGGTGGTATGTTTATCATCCCCATTCATCCCCATATGGTAGTTGTTTATGGCATTGGGTTTTCCATGGTTTTCCCACATTTTCAGTTTTGTATCGTGAAAACATCACTTGACGTGGCTAATTAGTGCTGAAAGCCTTGGAGTCCATGGCAGCATGGAATCATCCCATGATTTTAGGAAAAACATCAAGCTATGATGGAGGTGACTCTATGTGACTCTCATGTTTGTTGGATATGCCAGCACATCCAAAAAGACCAATATCTGGTTTTCAGGCCCATATAAAACGTATAAAACGATCGTTTTTTGTTGATTGGTCAACTTTCATAGCCTGCATTCGAAGCGCTACGTGAGTGCCACATTTTCGCGTGCGGCACAGCACAGCAGCGCAGGTATTTCTCGACGGGTCGGCCCCTGGCAAACCAGCACCAGACCTGGAAGGTAGGACCAGCAATCAGCGAAGGATGGTGGAAAATCAGGAGATTCTTGAATATATCAACACTCAAATGGATATGTTGTATATTAATATATTTAATGGACAAATCTATACTGATTGGTGGTTTGGAACATTTTTTATGTTTCCATATATTGGGAATCATCATCCCAACTGACTGACTAATATTTTTTCAGAGGGGTTGAAACCACCAACCAGAAGATAATGGATATGTTGTATATAAATATATTTAATGGTGAAGATGGTGATAAAATTGATTTTATAATCAACATTATTGGTGAAGAAGATAATATATCAACATTAATGGTGAACATAGTACATAGTATATACGTAGCAATGGATAACACTATATTCTTGGTAATGATGTATATCTATTTAATGCTGAAGATAACAGCATATGATATTATATTTAATAATATCAAATTCACTGCAATACTTATACAAATATGTTGGATTCTGGATTTATGGTGAATCGGTCCCATTCCCATAATATTAAACACCCTTTTTGAATGGTCTCAAATAAGTGTAATTTCCCTACTTTTTACCATGGTTTCTAGGAGGTGTTCAGTAGGCAGGGATTATATTGTTGAATGATCCCCAGAATTACGGGATATTGTATGGAAAGTTTTCTGGTGAATGAGACTATTTGTTGTGAATATACCATCTGGTTATTTAACATCGCCATGGAAGCCATGGTATAGATGGCCCGTAGAAATAGATGGTTTACCTATTAAAAATGGTGATTTTCCATGGCTATGTTAAATAAGCAGATGGTATCAAGATTAATGGGTTGAACATAGCCGTTGTAGAAAAACATATTGTAATAGGATTATACTAAGCTACAATCCTCAACATGTTATCAACACACTCATTTTATGATAAGAACTTATGATACAAGTTAAAACCAGCACATTAAACTATAGTAATTCGTAGTTATGCTGGATTTATTTTTATTTTTTTGTGGAGATATCTGTAGTCGGATGGTTTCATATAAACCAACTTAATCCATTCTCCATAGTAGTAGTTTTATAATCCATTCCCCAGAAACTCGCAGAAGCAGTTTTTTTAAATCTCCGTTAGAGGCACATTCACGAAACTTTTCAGAGAATTGCCACCATTATTTTCACTCATCACATAATACAAAATGTTCCCCCGAAATGAAGCCCTGCATTGAATCTGTCCATTTTCCGGGCTGATATTAGGATGAGATTCATCGCTGGATTTTGTTCAAGAAATCTATTTGGAAACCTTTGGAAACCATGAGTTTTATTCCCACTAAATGGGTTTTATGCCAGGATTTTTCCCTTAAACCAACCCGATGGTGTAAGCGGTGTAAGCCACTGCGGGAAGAACTCACCGGATGCCGCACCGTTGGGAAGCAGTGCGGCGACTGAACGAAAGGGACACAGATGACACAGGGAATCCCAAGACGGTTTTGACCATCCATTTTCTTTACCATCTGGTTATTTAACACAGCCATGGAAAATCATCATTTTTAATAGGTAAACCATCTATTTCTATGGGCCATCTATACCATGGCTTCCATGGCTATGTTAAATAACCAGAGGGTAGTGATCTTGTGATTCGATTCAGAACATATTCAGAATCTAGAAAACCATCCTGGAATTTTGACCATCGATTTCAGACAAATTGGATAGTTTTCTAGATAAAATCAGAATATATATTAGACAAATCCCCCGGTTGCAAATCATGCATTAAATCGATGTCATGAGTCATTGTGACACAGCTGCATATTAAGGTGCGTTTTCTTAGCTCTCGCCCTCTGGTGGATTGCCAGGATAGCTACATCAGTTATTGGAAGTCGCATTATTGTCCGGCCATTCGTCCGGATCCCAGCGCAGCAGTGCCGTGCCGGATGTCTGGTTGGATGGTCCCAGTGATCCCAACGACTGGTTTCATGATCCCAGTGATCCCGGGATTTCAGCCTTGAAACATCTTGAAACCACTAGCTAAAAAAAATCTCTATGACATATCGTGAAATACATATATAGATATATATTATTATACATATATATAATTATATATATATACATATTATATATATATGATATTATATAATATACCTGATAGTTAATCCTGAAATATCCTGAACACTTATTAAATAATAAATACACCAACATTTCCAGCATTTTGGTCAGAACTTTTGGGGATCCTGGATTCTTCACCAGGACTTATGGTCCTTTACATTGTCTACAACCTCTTGGCCAGTCAGACCTTCCAGGCAATGCTGCCGGCTTAAAAAGGATGTGGCGTGGCTTCCATGATTTTCCACAAACATGGATAGATGATGATAGATGTAACTCATATATTTATCATGTCCCATGATTTTCCATATGTTTCCCATAATTTATACGACGTGATGATCCCTGTTTGTCACCTCTAAGTCTTGTTGAGTCTCGTGAATCTTGCAGTGTGTGTCCCCTTGATACCCATGAAAATCTGTGATTTCTCGATGGAACAAAAATCAACTTAGACTGGAGTAAACCCAAATTACAGTAGGAACAGTAGTTATTTAATGTTATTTACTAAACTAAGTTTTCATTGGGTTTACTGCCTGAAATTTTGTTTAGAACATTCACTAACCAAGCAGTTCTACGTTAGGTTCTAAACCCCATCCTAGTTGTATCTACCGTAAACCATATATAGTTATTGGAATTATCCTCCGGTAATCAAACATGGTCTGTTGGAAAATCCTAGATTTGTAAATGATGTTCCCATTGATGCCCATTTAGTTCGGGGATTTCCCATCTACTGATTACTTACCGGAGGGGATATAATAAACCAGCCTTCAATTTTAAATGGCGGAAATTGGATGCTACACTATCCTATCTATCCTACAACTGGAGGTTTATTCTTGTCACATGGCATGGAAATTGCCGGAACGAGAAATTGGATGAAATTGGATGATCATGTTCTGCCCCTCGGGCTCTGTACAACATGGTCCGTTTGCAGAACATGCTGCATGATTTGTTTCTAATTTGCATGTGAAAAAGGTGGATATGATATATGTGTTCGAGTCTTCGTATTATGTTCCAATGATTGATCATGATTGGGCAAATGCCAAGACTCTCTTTAGAGTGATTACATGAGGCATATGAAGTATAGTAACCCCCAAAAAGACAGACCAGTAATTTACCACTATTTTAGTAGGACATGACAGTGAACCTGCCACGGTCGACAACTGGCAGTCTGCCAGGGTCGACTGCCGATGTTTTTGGTGGTGGTGTCCTTTGTCTCTTGGGCCAGATGCCCAGATGATGATATTCCGACGAGCCATGGACTAGTTTGGGTTTCTGAGTGTTTTTCTTCTGGAAAACTCTGAAAGTTTCGGAATATTCCAGTTGGTTCTGAACATTGGGTATCCAAAGCTTCCAAGAAGTAGGTTTCGGGACATCTGAGGCTGTCGTGTCCTCACATCTCTGACACACAGCCAGTTTGCCTGAAAATTGTGGATATCCCAACTTCAATCTTTGGTTTTTCCACCGTCAAAGGGCGGACAGGAATGGAGATTTGGGAGATTTGGCATGGCAAAAGACACAAAGGCCTGACAATCAAACTGACAGTTGACACAGATCAGAGTGATTGTTTGCTCTTTAAGCAGCCTCATAAGAAACACCATATGGGGGTTTCCTAAAAATGGTGGTACCCCAAATATGTTTTTCCATTTTCCGTTATCAACAATTTATTAACCATTCTTTTTGGGGTACCCCCATTTTAGGACACCTCAATATCTCCGCTATTGTATTTTTTTCTGATATTCCTGGTTTTCATCAATCACGTTGTTTGCCTGTATATCTAACATATCCTACTTGCTATGTTGGTAGCTACGGCCAAGCTTATCCCAACTGCCCGGTTTTGACCTATGCCCAACTCAACACATTACCAGCCGTCATCATGGTAGCTGTTATCATCCAGAGGGGTTTCTGCCAGACTCTCGACAGCAATAAATTACATCATTTCTTTCCTGGAAGTAACTATATATAATATAGGTATCATTTGTCACCTGATGAGACGAAATGATGGGCAATTCCTGTGAATTCATCCATGTCAGAATAATGAATGCTGGTGATCATTTTGAGTTCCATTCTCAAATTTGATGTTCTTACATAGTGCCATGTGTGTTCCATTTCCCCGTCCCCATGTTTGTCATATGTTTGGACTCTCCAATGTGGGTAAACCTCCATGAATGATGGAGAAAAGGGTGCACTGATTGGCGGCCGATGAACAACATATGTGGTATTTAAAATATCTAAAGAGAACATGTTTATTATCAGTTCCCCATGTTCCCCCCAAACAGGCGATATCACCAATCAAACATTGGAAATTCAGAACCGAAGAATCCTTTTCCCAAGCTTGATTGGTAATCGTATGGTTGTTTTTCCTCAGTTTCAGTAGGCTTCCCAACTGTAATTGTTGTCCACCGAGTTCTGGGAGGGCGTTCATCCTGGGATGATCCCAAAATGAGGAACATTCAAAACCTGTGTTGTTTGTTGGTTTGCTTGGATTCTCATAATCCCTTTTAGCTGGAAATCCGCTTCTTCACCAACCAGTAAAAATCGTGGAATGGTCGAGTAAACCCATAAATATACTCAAACTGTGGACGATTTTCCCCCCCAAAAAAAGATAAATCACCAGCATATCCCCCATGATTTTGTCGCCACTTTGATACTGAACCACCGCAGTGGTTCAACATATTTGATCGTTTTTTATCATGTGAAGTCATAATCATTAGGTAAATCCAAGAAAATCCAACAAAAACACAACTTTTATTGATATTATCCATTTAAATCATGTTTGGTAATCTAATGCAACCACCATTTTTCTCTTGGTTAAACCATTCAATGGATTGGTTTAAGGGAAAATCTACATAGATTTTCCCATTAAATATGGGGCTTTCCTGTAAATTTTCCCTTAAACCAATCCATTGAACCATGTTAAACCCCAGCATTTTTGTCGCTGTGGAACTTCCCCGGCCGCCCGAGATGGTGACTCCTGTGATCTTTGCGCCGTTCCCACGGTGTGAGCTCATCGAGCAGGCGGGCTCGGGTGCTTCCAACGGGTCATTTATCAAGTAAAATGGCGATTTTATGGGGATGTAGTGGGGATAAAATGGGATATGTATGGGGATATATATATATAACTATGATTAGATATTATACAAATATATATATATAACCAACAATACAATCCATAATATATGGGTATACGGTATATATATATACACATGTATGATAGATCTATATACCTCGCTTTTCTGGGTTTCTCCTGTTTAAAAACGGGAAACAAAAACATGATATATGATAATACAGTGATGCGCAAATACTTCGAATATGTTGCCATGTTGAGCTGTGGGATGACTCTCGGTCTCGCTTCCAGGATTTGAGAGAGTTCAACGGCTTCATCAACGGCCCCTTTGACGGAGAGGGCAAAGATGGAGACAGTTAGATGAACATCGATGGCAAAAACATGGTATTTTGCGGGATCTCAACCAGCTAAAATGGTGATCAAACATGGTGAGTTAATGATGTTAATGGGTTTACAGACATATACCCTCTGGTAATCTAACATTGCTATTGAAGCTATTGTCCATGTAGTTGGATGAATTACCTATTATATATATATGGTGACTTTCCACTTCGCGAACTCTTAGTTTACCGGAGGGTGATTGTAAAGATAGTGAACAGAAACAGGTTTACCTTCATATATAGTATCTGTAAATATCTGTAAATATCATATATCTATATACCAAAAAAGACAGTTCGGAGGCTCGGAGGAACATCGATCATCACTGCTGGTTGTGCCATCTCAACTGGGTTTTTTAAACGCATGATATCCGCCCAATTGTTGGTAGTTGGTTGATAGACACCAAATTGTCATGATTTGTCTTAGTTATACACTGATACACATACATATAGATGGATTGGAGCCTTTACCGATATATATATATATATGTGTATAGTATATGTATACGTATTTTGAGTTCACACTTGGTGGTTGCAAAAAAAAAACATGTGCACACAATCATACAAGATCATAGTCATATATCGTTGGCAGTTTGAATCATACTTTTATGGATAAGCTCCATGTAAAGCGCCTGGTTGCGTCGCATGGCTAGACTCATTGGCAACGGTTTTTGAGGTCGTGCCGGGATGTCAGAAAAAGAGTTACCTGAAGTGGTCGAGCGAGGACAAAGGCGCGTTTTTCAAGGATTTGTACATCGAAGCTGATTTTCAAAGCGTTTCTTCAAAGATGTTCAAATGTGGGTATGGGTCAATACCTATAGATACATTTTTAGTGGGATGAACATCCATAAATCCCAGCTATGACTTGGGGTTCACGGCACGGTGCCAGGGTTTTGACCCATCCCCATGTTGCATCTTTTTGCCTGGTTTGGGTTTGGTGTCCAGTCCACAGATTCTTCATTGTTTCAATCTTCAGTGGAACTCATCCAGACATGTTTTCAATCCCAGAACTGAGACGCAAACTTCTGGAACTGCGTGGAACTTGGAAACCATTTGGCATAGAGTTGATGGTAATATGCTGATCCTTTGTCCTCCTCACATGGGTTTTTGAATTTAAACAATCCATGTCTGAACATTTTTTTTTGAATTCAAACAACATGTTGATGGATGCTGACCCTTTGTCCTTTTCACAGTTTTCAGGACAAACTTGAGTGATTTGTTGAATCAAACCGACCAAACAGACGGCATGCAGTATGCAGCTGATTGCGAAACTCAAAAGCAAACCAAACAAACAATCAATCAAACAAACAAACAATCAATCAATCAAACAAACAAACAATATTGTGGAGCTATAAGATAGCAGACGTATACATATAATCATATATATATATATATCCCATAGGATCCATGTATGCTATATATGGTAACATTTACCATCAATATACCCCAAATGTTAGCATATATGCCATACATGGATCCTATGGGTATATTATATATATATAATACTATACATATGTTTCAGGCGCGAAAATGATGGATTTTTCGAGCGAAAAAAAGCGGCAGGGGCCGAGCTCGTACGATCTTCGAATGTGGGCTGTTGGATTCTGTGAATTATTGGACGACCATGTCAGGAGCCCCAGTTTGGGCCATCATGGGCCCATGGGGAATCCCATGGAAATATGGAAAAATATGGAAAAATATGGAAAAATACCAGAAATTGCTGGCTAGTTGACCCATGAAGTTAACCAGCTTTTTGGCTGGTGCTGGTGAAACTCCAATTGTTGAAACGGTTATCACTGGCATTGGGTGCTTTCAAATGTTGGTTATCACTGGTTTTCCTCCCGTCTCGGAGGATGATTCTTGATATTATTGAGATGGATTATAGGTTTTCGCCGCCGTTCGAGAAACTCCTTAAACGCTTTCTGTTTGCGGGTCAGATATCCCGACAAAAACCCTGGTGTTCACTTGTCCGTTTGGCAACGAAATGAACTGGTAGAGCCAGGAGCCATGGTTCGTGAAATTTCAACTGGTTGGTGATTTGGAACCATGGAATTTTATGAATTTCCATATATTGGGAATACTATATAATCCCAACTGACTTTCATATGTTTCAGAGGGGTAGGTCAACCACCAACCAGTCAAGTTGTTTCGTTGCAAGCCACGTACATCTTTCCAGGATGTGTTTGCCGTTCATGTCCTCAGGTCTCAGGTTCTACGTTCAATAGATCAGACAGTAAACTCAGAAATTTAATCCCAACCCCCTCCGAATATTAAACAGCCCGTGAATGGTTCCAAATATGTTCTTCAATCCCTTACTAAACCAAGGAGGAAGGGATTGTTTGTCCTTCACTGACACTGGTCAAAACTTAGACTCTGGGAAAATCAAGGTGTTTTTTTTCCAGCCAATTTCAACGTTTGATGTCATGGTGGGGCCCGTAGTTATAAGTTGATAACTGTCAATCTCATCATACCTCATCTATAGATATAGCTCCCATAAACCCAATACTTATTGTAGTTACCATGTTCGCTATCGACCGGCCCCACATTGCATGATTTTTGAGGCCGATACTCGTCCTTCTCTTCAATCTTCTAAGCAGGCGGCAGAGAATGGGCCGGGCAGAATTGATGACTTTTGCCATGTGACATTGGAAAATATAAGAGAGGCACTGAAGAAACATGTTCCGAAGCTGATATACTAAAGATGCTTTGATTCTACAATATATGGCTGACACGTTGATTTTGAATCTGAATGGTTGCGTGTGGTTTCGCAATGGCTTTCCAAACCCTTCCTGGGACCGGGGTGAATCCTTCGCAGGCGAACACATGTCATTCCTCTTGGAGTTCTGGGGGGGTTTTGGACGCACCAACAGGAACATCAACGGTTTGCCTTTCTTGGAGACTTAAAAAAAAAAACAAATGACAATTACTCTGGTAATTTTTTCAGCAGCCATTGAACATCATTGAATATCATTGAACATCACCATCTTGGGTAAATCATCATACGTGAAAATAAGTCATCGAGGTTAATATGTGCCATGGCTTCAAATTTGCGAAGATCCGAGGGATCCAATTTGGCTGTGTGTAGACTGTCGAAAGATCCCATGTTCTGTATGTTTTTCTTTGTCCCAAACTGAGATCTCAGTTTGCCGTTGGAAACTGATTATTTGAGCAGCATTTAAGTAATATTTTCTCAGGATGGCTTTTGATGTTACTCGTATGGGTTGAAACGACGAAAGCAAACATTTTTGATGCGCCAGAGAAATAGGAATGGAGACCTTCACCCACGAAAGCACCAACAACTTCTCCAGCTATATCCAGCTATGCATTTTGCATCATTTTGCAAAATTGATTTCGCAGGGGTCTCACAATGCCCGATTTAATATGATTTAACTCAGTAACTCCATCATGTGTGTCTTTCTTCAACATTCAAGTGATGAGTGAACAGATATACCTTGGTCACAGCAGTCCATTTCTCCAATTTTTATGATTGTTGATAATTGTTAATACAGCAAAGTCAGTAACTTAGATTAAGAGTTGATTGATTGTTAATCAAAGTCACAGTTAAGAGTTGATGAAACGGAACATTGAAACATTTTGAAACCGGAAAACGCGAAAACGCAGGTTGATCTTGTGCACCACCTTGGCGTTGCTTGGTGGACTCTGTGACATCGTCAAGAGATGAATTACAATTGGATTATATATATAAGATTACAACACATATTGACATGTCAATATAATATATATATATTATATATATATATATTATGGATTATCTATATGTATATATATATAATTGTGTATATATATATATATGTCATATATATATTATGGATTATCTATGGATATGTGGATTATATATTATATATCAGATGATAGATTATACATGTGATATATGTTCTATCCAGATTGACACGATTTTATGGTGTACATATTATACATATTATACACACATATATATATACATATGCAACATCTCTATATGTCAAAATATTATTTAGATTAGCCCATTCATTGATGGGAATAATCTTAAACCATTTTCATTGGTATTTATATACGCACTGCAAGGAATCCTTTTTGCGCTAGTGGGATGACCGTCTGACCATATAACATGTTTGACCGCGGTAGCTATGGAGATGTAGAGATGACGGTAATCATGGAAAGAAACATTGACTTTTAGATATCCTTCATTAGGTCCATAAATGTCCATGAAAGGGGCTTGATTTGCCCCCATAGGGATTCATAGGGCCTAACCCCGGAAACAAAAGGCCTTTATTGTTGGGAATCCTTCAAGTTCCATGAGTGATTGACGCATGTAGTAGCGATTTCATGGTCGTTTTGATCATGGGAATGATGAACGAATTGTGTGGAGCTACCGTATATGTTCAGACAGGCTGTGACATATGATTTTGGAGTCAATCGCCACCAAAGCGTGAGGGTGAAAATTGGGTATATGCCTGCCATGAAGGCCATACCTTTGTAGCTAGAGCAACTAGCACTCGCTGTGACCATGACTAGTGGGTGCTTTTGATCTACAGAAATGTGATGAAATGCGGATGTGTGGACGAGGTTTCACCGCCGTAATTTGATCCCTACAAGTCAAAAGAAATGGCCCTCCGCTAAAATGAATGGTGAATTCAAGCATTTGATCCAATCTGTGGCTTCAAATAGGTGTGATTTGTTAAGCCAAATTTAGATATTCAGACAGTCAACACATAAAAAAACAACTTGTAGGTCTTGGACCAACTCAAACCAGTAACCCAGTGAATACCAGACTTGTCACCCCACTTCAAGGATCATCATCCACGAATCGTAGGTGAATCGAAAACGCAAAACAGGTGATCGACTAAGTCCCCCCGAAATCGGGCGTAACTCCCCCTATCACTGGGTGAAAAAAATCTGGTTAACCACTGACGATTCAGATGATCCTCAAAGTATTTTCCCATCAAACATTCCTAAATGAATATATATATATGATATATGTGATATATGTGATATTGATATGTAAAAAAAACACTGATCAATAAGTGTATTTTCATGATTTATAGTTATTATATGTTATTATCTATATTTCACTCGTATTTTCCTGATGATTTCAATGTGATATTCCAATATTATTGCCATGATACAGAGAATAACATCCCCCATTATTCGTAGATGTATTCAGATCGCTCCGGTCAGCTCCTAGGCTGGCTCTACCGGCAGAGGTGATCGACTTTCTTTGGGCTCGGATCTGAATGCGAAAAACCATGTGGATAGCATGTGGTTACCCATAGGATCCATGTATGGTATATATGCTAACATTTGGGGTATATTGATGGTAAATGTTACCATATATAGCATACATGGATCCTATGGGTTATTCAATGTTATTCATTGATTCATGGTTCAGATAGCATAACATTGATTCATACATTGATTCATACATGGATTCTAATCATCTCATGATTTAGATGTTAACACATGTTAACACCATTTATTCATTGATTCATGGTTCTAAATGAGATAGCATAACATTGATTCATACATTGATTCATACATTGATTCTAATCATCTCATGATTTAGATGTTAACACATGTTAACACCATTTATTCATTGATTCATGGTTCTAAATGAGATAGCATAACATTGATTCATACATTGATTCATACATTGATTCTAATCATCTCATGATTTAGAATGTTAACACCATTTAATTGATTGATTCATGGTTCTAAATGAGATAGCATAACTTTGATTCATACATTGATTCATACATTGATTCTAATCATCTCATGATTTAGATGTTAACACATGTTAACACCATTTCTTCATTGATTCATGGTTCTAAATGAGATAGCATAACATTGATTCATACATTGATTCATACATTGATTCTAATCATCTCATGATTTAGATGTTAACACATGTTAACACCATTTATTCATTGATTCATGGTTCTAAATGAGATAGCATAACATTGATTCATACATTGATTCATACATTGATTCTAATCATCTCATGATTTAGATGTTAACACATGTTAACACCATTTATTCATTGATTCATGGTTCTAAATGAGATAGCATAACATTGATTCATACATTGATTCATACATTGATTCTAATCATCTCATGATTTAGATGTTAACACATGTTAACACCATTTATTCATTGATTCATGGTTCTAAATGAGATAGCATAACATTGATTCATACATTGATTCATACATTGATTCTAATCATCTCATGATTTAGATGTTAACACATGTTAACACCATTTATTCATTGATTCATGGTTCTAAATGAGATAGCATAACATTGATTCATACATTGATTCATACATTGATTCTAATCATCTCATGATTTAGATGTTAACACATGTTAACACCATTTAATTGATTGATTCATGGTTCTAAATGAGATAGCATAACATCTTTTATCAGTCTCCATAGCTGTAATATGTTGTACTCACATGATTTAGTCGGATCTTCCTTCGTCAATGTCTCAGTGGGAGAGTCGCATCCACTGGGAGAGTCGCATCCACTACGACTTGATGTATAGATTCGTTTAGATCATTTCTCATACCCTCTGGTTATGTCAAAATAGCTATTGAAAATGGCCATTTATAGTGAGTTTTCCCATTAAAAATGGTGGATCTTTCCATAGTTATGTTAAATTACCAGAGGGCACACCTGGTTTCTGAAGCTGTGTCCAATCAGCCTGGCTGTGCCTCGGGTCTGTCTTTGGACCTCGTTTGAGAAGCCATGACTGATCTTTGCAAAGCCTGCACATTTGCATTTACTGTATCTGTATAGTATCTGTATATGTTATGTTGCTTTTGATCAAATCCTGAAAGAAACGTCCAAACCAAGGAGCCACTAAAAGTGGCTCTCTTCTTTCAACTCATTGAACGCTCAGCCATCTTCTTCCGTAGCACCCTGATAGCTTGCGGCAAGGGCAATGATGTTCCAGGTTCCCTACCAGCAAATTGAGATATGGAAAATCCATATGAAAATCCATCTTCCAAGGAACATGTTTATGAACATGATCTACATTCATGGTGGGTTTTCCATATTATATATATATCTGGGTAAATTATAACGACCTCACTGCGACCGAGCCCTGGAATCATGGTTAGTAAGGGAAATCATGTCCAAATGGCCTTAATATGCCTTAATTCAGGTTAGTGAAATATGATAATTTACCCAGATGTATATATATATATGTATACTAGTGGGATATATATATATATTGATGGTGCTTGAGATATCTTACTATATCTTAATAGTTATTGATAGTTAATCCCAACATTGTTCCCAGTGGATAATTCCCTACTAAGGATATTATTCCAATTATATATAATATACACATATTTATGGTCTATATGATTCTATATGTCCATTGCAGGGTAATCGGCATCCTTGGGACGACTCCTAGGTTTACCTCGTGGTGCTCAGTGTGCAATGGCTGTCGGGAACACCCAGGTCTCAAAGGTAGGGACTCAAGGAGAATTGCAGTTGTATCCATGGGAAACCATGGAATCTTCAGGTATTGTTAGGGAACAGTTACTTGTTTTCGTGATTTTATATGAGGTTAATAAGAGAACTCCAATTTAAATCCTGGGTGTGGCCTTTAACATAGACCCAGACATGGTACAATCAGTTATTTGCATCTTGGACCACTAAATGGGTGGCCTTTCAAACGGGCCAATTTCGAATAATGTCGAATTTGTTCCTAAGGCCTCAGTTTTGATCCATGAGGTGATTTCCTTCATATCTCTTCTGGAAAATTGTACAAAATCCAAGCAAAGAGTGGAGATCAACTACTTCATAGGGTGCTGGGGTCAAAAAAGTAACCACTTAAGTGGCAATGACGGACAAATGTAGTCACTGGTGGTAAATCTTCCTACTTGACACCCTCGATTGATAGCTTCAGTGCCATACGATCCGTTTTGTGTCTAGCTTTGAAGAGGTGAAGACATGTTCCGAATAGCGAAGTGAGACCCCCTCTTTCAAGCAGCATGATGCAAAGAAATGCAGAGAAAAGCATTGCACATCATTGCACATCATTATTCATTAGGGAACTTTTACGGATTTTACGGATAGGGATCCGCATAAGTAAGGACCATGATCGTTAAACGATGACTGATGGCATCCAACAGTCCTTTCCGAATCTTTGGAGTTTACCCTCTGGTAAACTCACAGTTTGCTATTGAAAATGGCCCATTTATAGTGGACTATATGATTTACCCATGAAAAATGGTGGATCTTTCCATAGCAAAATGTTAGTTTACCAGAGGGTATCCTAGAAATATATAGCTTGATATTTTTAGCTTAAAGATTATATCAGCTGAACATATATAGAATCTCAAAGTTATCCAGCTCATTGCAAGCTGTGAATATGAGGAGTTTCCCAGTTCCCTGCATTTTCACCAAACATCCACATAATTCTCACCCCATCACTGACTCGTTTTTTGTCGTCACCCCGAGGCTGGTGTTAGGCTTTTTCACCTTCGGTCTCAACAACATTCTTTTGATGCCACCTGGCTGCGTTGCGAACCATGCCGCTTTCTGTTTGTTCTCAGTTCCAAGACATGAGATCAGCCGGAAGTTGATGATCCATTTTTGTTTTGGAAAAATGGATGATCTATGGATGCCATTCAGATCCATTCAGTTTCATTGGTTGAAATATGTGGCTGGACAATGACCCCTAGTCACTGGTCTTTCATGGTGTTTGGCCCAATCGTTCTCCCACCAAACAGGGAGCTGGTGGGTTGATAGAATGTATATTCCCGCATTGCGGGTGTGTGCCATCGGATTCAAGAATCGAATTCCACAAGATGGGCATGTTCACATGCAAAGTGTTTTTGGCTCTGTTCGATATGAGCAAGTATTTGTAATCATGCATTATGTGTGATATATTTGGTGATCGAAGCAAGAATACGGAAAACAACATCTACATACATATCATAGTTGATCATATGTTGATCATATGTTGATCATATCTTGATCATATGTTGATCATATGTTGATCATGACTAGTTCTGGGTGCCCATGGCCCAAGGAAGCCGCCCCCTATCCCTGTTGTCTCGCTCCGCTCCGCGAGGCTTTCTTTGATGGTGTGGCTATTGGCCAGTGACACCCAGCCTTGCGCGTCGTTCACCAGGGACTTTTTGAGAATGAGCAAAATGCCAGCTTTTGGGATACTGTATACTGGTATAATCTCGTATGTACATACTAGTGGACGAATATATATATATATATTTACTTCTGGATAAACTTGTAACGACCTCACTGTGGCACTGGAATGATGGTTTAGTAGGGGTAACTATCTATTAAACAAAAAAATAACTTTTTCTAAATCAGGCTAGTGAATGAGTGAATTATTACAAATCATCCAATTTATATATAGTCCAATATATACATACATATAGTAGCAAGAGCAATAAGAATATTACAATGATCATATCAATTTCAGATTTTTTTTTATATGTTAATCTATATCTATCTCATTCTATATCATTCTATATCTTTATATACAATCTACAATAGTCATTATATCATTATAATCACATCATAAACCACGCTTTGGCTCGCCTTTTTGTCATCGGCATCCACCCAGGTTTTGCCCGTGGGCCGCTTGGTCATTGGCACTCGGGCCGTGAGCCCATCCCTCTGGGCCCGGAAGCTCGGAAACCTGCCATAACTGGGTGATTTTGGACAGCAAATGTTGGGGCAAATCTTCCATAATTACATGGAGCATATATATACATATATGTCATTGGACAATTGAATATATATGAACATATATATATATTGATATATATAATATATAATATACATCAATACATTACATTACTTAAATGTACTTCTCATTTCCAATGATCTAAGCTGTGTTCATAGGATATATAATAATTGTACACATCAATATGATATAATCCATCATCTAAATATGATATATGATATAATCGCATGATAACTATTTTGGGAATACGACATATCATATGTATATCATCGATAGGATAATGGAAAAAATAAGATACTCTTATTTGCAAATATCAGAAATGGGAAGATTCCAACCAACAATATGAAATCTTCATTCCTATATCCAACAATGGAAAATAGATCTAACTATCATTGTTATATCACGTACCATTCATGGAAATATCGTTGTTATATTACATTGTTTACATATACATATCAAAATAATTCTAGATATATGATGATATATAACAGATTTTTCTTCAATGGGAATATACTTGAAGGATCACAAGCCACGTGTTCCGAGTGGTTCGCAATGAGCTTAAGAAGCCCCAGATGTTGGGGTATTAACATGCTATGAGTCCCCTAAAACTATGATTATACTGTAATACTATGGTTATATATATACTGTATATATTATACACACACTAGGGTTATATGATCCACTTGTAGCTGGAACTGCACCCCCAAGTTTTTCGATGTTGAGAATGCAGAATGATTTTTAGCAAAAAAAAACATGGTATATCCCACATATATATCCCACATATCACTGGGTTAAGACGTAGTTTTTACCCTTTTTTACCAATGTTTTGCAGCTGGGATGCAATCCACATATCAGGTCCCAGACCCTCAATCCCTCAATCCACCCAGGTTTGTCTACCGTAGTCTGCTCACCGGTACGGTACCGGTACAACGGTACGACCCAGTTCAATCTCCAAAATCATGGTCAAGTTATGGTGGCTATAAATCTTTGTCAATTAGGGTTTCATTTTTTCTGCATGTTTGCTTTTTAAAAACATAAACATAAAATTATGCAACAACTCATGCAGTAACATCGAAAGGCATCGGATTCTTCGATTCTGAAGGAGGTTGACCCCGCATATATAAACTCCTCCAGGATCTTTGAGATTACAATTATATAATGCATATGGCTGTGTCGGGAAATGTGTTTTTTGCCCTTAAAAACATGTTTTTCGTTTTCACCGTTTTCAAACATCTATAATAAACTATGGTTAAAACTTTGGGTAAACCCAATTTTCAGACCCATATTTGCCCCATATATATATATATATATATGTATAATATATATGTATATATTTGCCTTGAGAATCGCAGATGCGGATGCCGGAGTATTTCATCTCCTTTCTGGTCTTCGTGGAGTTTCTGGGTCTGGATGCCCAGCGATAAAAAACACAGAACGGGAAGCAGTTGTGTTTGAGAAACCCCATGAACAGTATAGTTTAGTATAGGATAGTACAGGATAAGATAGGATAGTATAGGATAAGATAGGATAGTATATGATAGTATATAGTATAGTCTAGTATAGTCTAGTATAGTATAACTATGTATAATTTGTATAGTCATACCTCCAAAAAACATCCATAAACCATAATCAACCAAGCTATAAATTGCTATGAACGGCTTTGGGGGCCGCACTTTGTAAGGCGAAAATGACCTTCACCTATGCGGTTTTAAGAGTGATCTTGTCCAAGCTTTTGAAGCCCAAAACCAATCGATTTTCCATATCCGAATCAGCCATGCCAGATGTATCAATCATTGGCTCCGTGAAACCCGAAACGCTCAGGTTTGGTTCATCATATCTTGATGACCGCTTGTCGGATTTTCATCCACATGCAGGATGGAGGGTTTGGGCGGGCCTGAGGTGTGCGTATTTTGGGGTTGTGATATCCCAAATAGGTTTTTCAAGGTCACTTAAGATCACTTTTAGATTCCATGGCATAGGTCCTATTTTGCTTCACCAGTTTTCGGATATCGATAAGAGCATACAAAACTATGATTTTGAATCATATGATATGTTATAATATGTTATAGAGATATCACCAGTTTTGATCACAAGATTGGCTTCAAATGCCCAACTTCCAAGCAGAGATCCAGGTGATGAAAGCAATCATTGGGGTCCTGCTGTACCATCAGAGCGTTTTTGCGCGTTCTTGCTTGGTAATATCCAAATGTATCCGCGATGTCGGATACTCTCATCATCATCATCGTCATCATCATCATCCTCATCATCATCATCATCATCATCATCCTCATCATCATCATCATCATCATCATCATCCTGTCTTTGAGTGGTTTCCAGCCCTTTCTGTGAGCAGGAGCCGGACTTCATGGCCATCCATCATCATCCATCCGACTGGAAAAAACCACCGTGAATCACTGGTAGCCATTCTTAGCCTTCTTTTTTCAATAAACCAACGGGAACATATACCCTCTGGTTATTTAGCATAAACATGCAAAGTTACTATTTTTAAGACCGGTAAATCATCATAAATCATGGAACTACAAAAACATGGGCCATGGCTTCCATTTCGAACCGTTCGATCGTTGAATAACCAGAGGGTCTGCCAACATAGATGTGTAAGACCCACCATTTGTTGATCTTTGTCCTCGGGAAACCATAGGGGTTTCATGGGGTTTTCCATATCTACGTCAGTTTTCCTGATGTTTTACCCTCTGGTAATTTAACATAGCTATTGAAAATGGCCATTTATAGTGGATTTTCCCATTGAAAATGATGATTTTCCATAGTTATGTTAGTTTTCCTGATGTTTTATCTCATAGAAAACCCATCTTTTACAGCTCCCTCTGTGGCTAAAAGCCTGCAGTCGGAAGGCCACTGGCTGCTGCTTCGGACTTGAAGAACGCAATCACAGGACGGACTGCACGGTGAGGCCTCACTGGATGGCTAGTTGGGGCATATCCCAGGGTTTTTATTCCAGGTGTGTGAATCATAACATTTATATTGGCAGTGTGTCAAAACCTTGTACCCCTGTAGTTCACATCAAAATAGCTGGATTTATGGATGTTCATCCCACTAAAAATGGTATTAATAGGTATTGACCCAACCCCATATGATAACATATAATAACGTATAATAACATATAATAACATAACATATAACTAATGACTAATAATGGTCTTAACAGAATCATCCCATTTTAGGGCCAAATGTCAAAGCATATTGCAACCATTTCGAGCCCCCAAACAAGTAGTAGTTACTAGTAGTTCATGTCAAGGTACTAGAGTGTTCATGTCAAGGTACACACAAAAAACAAAACACGGACTTGTGGCTATCAAGAGTATAAGAGTGAGATAGGACTGACCAAAAATGGAATTTCATCAAGAAGAACTATGACCTTATAAAGCATTGGGATGTTTGGATATGCCATCATATACCCATAGAATTGGAGTTCATTGGAGATACCGCACAGTGAGCTACAACCAGTTGGATCGGGGAAGTTCTACAACCCAGGTGGTGAAGTACAGCGGAACTGAAAGCCATTTGTTTCTTGATGTTGAGGTTCTCTACTGAAAAAGGGCTCATGAAACAATCCGCAAAATTGGAATAGCTACTAGTTGCTACTGCAGGTTTTGACGCTGCTTTTTTGATGTTTTTTGTGACCTTTTTGCTTGAATCTACCCTCTGGTTATGTCAAAATAGCTATTGAAAATGACAATTTATAGTGGATTTTCCCATTAAAAATGGTGATTTTCCATAGTTATGTTAGTTTACCAGAGGGTATCCAATTTGACACATTATACATCATTATACAGTAATTACAACTTTATCTATGAACACAAACAAAAAAAACCTTTGGATCCAGCCGTAGCGTCTTGGGAATTGTGTGGTTTTGATCCAGGGACTTCAATGCCTTCGGAACTATATGGAGGTTTCCTAAGTCATAGGGGTACCCCCAGTCATCCATTTGAGATTGGGATTGTCCATGAAACAAAGCATCCAGCTCGTGGGGTACCACTCCAAGAAACCCCCATATGAGTGAATCCATAGGAGAAACTGATCGCAGGATCCAACGCTGGGTACGCTTGGCACACGTTGGGGTGACCCAGTCGTCTTGGTGACCCCATGGCTGGCCCTCAACCCGGTACATGGCTGGCTGGAAAATCCATTGTGCACATAGGTTTTAATGGGACAAACATCTATAAATGGTGTTTGTCTTCCATTGGCATGTTTGAATGCCGGAGGGTATATTCATTTATAGAAATCGTTGGATGAAGCATGGTGGTTTTCCATTTCCAGATCAAGTTGCAGGAGAGGACTCCAGGACTGCGTTCGTTATTGGTTCTTGAATCGCCACTGGCTGCAACTACTTTATCATCATTATCATACCACATCTATATCACAATGGATACTATCGATCTGAAATATCGACACTAACTAGCAACTTTTGGATATCTTTTGGATAGTTTGAGAGCAATTACAAATCTCCAAGATCACTTCTGGCTAATGGGAGGTCCCTCTGGCTCCTCTCGGCCCTTGCGAGGTCTATTTCTTTAATCATCAGCTTCACACGCTGCAGGCGCATTATGAGACGGTGAACAAGAATCAGCCCAGCTGCAATGATTTTCGGGGTATGCCTGAAAACATTGGTATTTCAACAAATAGGTACACTATAGATTAAGTACACTATAGAGATTAAGAAACATGGGGAGAACATGTCTCTATTGTGATGCTAATTTCTTCCTGCACCTTGAAACGCCACCTGAATTTCTAGTGAAATCATGTGAAATCCCCAGCAAAAGATTGAGTTTGTGGAAGACATAAGACCCCGCCAGAAAGAAAAAACATGGTAACAAAGAAGGTAACATAGATGCGAGATGTTGTAAGGTCTGAAAGGCGATAGCTAGGTGGGGCAAGCTTCCCATCAAGAAGTGTGAGGTAGACAAACGGGTGTATTTCCAATGAGAAACTCCATTTTATTGATGCGCTCTGGTGCACTAGAGTGAAGTGGATCTCTTGCTTCACACATTTTGCTGGCTTTACAATGCTTTGCTATGTTTTGCAGGACCCTGAGAACCCTCCCAAAAAGATAGAAGTTGGTAAAATCCTGCTAAAGTTGTGACACATTTGACAACTTTCTAATCTTTCTCAGGGTTTAGTTTAGATAGTAATGGATAGTTTTTCTTCAATCGCTAGTCTTGTCTTCGCTCAACCTTATGGATGATCAGCAACCACCGTGGCACCTGATGGGTGAAAGTCTTAGTTTGGTCTTCTATGTTTGTCGCTTAAAATCTCATGTTGGGGGAATCGCGACCAGTAACTTTTGCTCAAAGAAGAGTGTCACCATTGATGCTATGGTAAAGACATGCTTAAAAACCCGATGTTTGGTTAAGATCAGTTTCTGAAATGTCCCTCACACCAATTTAGGTCTCCCTTAAAATCTCCGGATACGCCGCGACACGCCGCCCAGGCCTACATTGTGTTATTGGCCAATTTGATGACCTCATTGTTCATCGCTGCCCTGGACAAGGTGCCGGTCTTTCTCGTTGCTTCGACCACACAAAAATCTGGATCCATTGGAACATCAAAAAGGTGGTGCCGTTGGCCAAGTTGGTTTTCTTCACTGAGACAAGCGTTGGGTTTACGCAGTTTACGCTTTATGGTATATTACGGATTATTTTTTTTGATAGTGATAGTGGATGTTTTCTGGCTTTTCTAAAGCTGTCAGATGAGTGGACACCACAGAATTCCTTGTAGGATTGCCTTCCCCCAACTGGACCATACTGGACCGTTTTGGTGAAACATTCCAGGTGAAACCCCCAGGTGCTTGGGTAGTGCTCCGCCGCCAGGTTTGCTGCAGGATCCATACATGGTTCGGCAAGCCCAGAGAAGCCCAGAGAAGGCATGATTTCACCATCATTCAATGGGGATAGCGAATAACAGATTTAAGATCTCCAATTTTTGGGACCCCAGCTTATACATCCAGTCCTAAGAATAGCTAGGCCAGAGTTTAGTTTGGGGGGTATTAATGCATTAGTATGATCGGTTTTAAAGGATGATTTTGTTCAAAATGGTGATCCGACTGCTTGGGGCTCCCAGTTCAACATGGATGCAATCACTGGAACATTCACGTGGTGCATCAATGGCCGGGCCGGTTAGGACCCACCATTCTGAGGTGGCTCCTGAATTATGAACTGGCCAGGACCGAAAAAAACCCTCGGAAAATCATGGCTCAAACATCACTAAATGGAGGTTTGTGTGGGAGAAAGACATCCATAAATCAGCCATTTTTCATTGCTTTCTTTAGGGTACTCCTAAGTCCTTTCACTAGATCAACACAATTTTCCGTATTGAAATGACAACTTGTGCGGAGTATACCCGAGTATACACCCATTTTCAGGCGCACGCATCTGGGATTTCCAAGTCTAGGAGCTTTTCAAAGATGCCGTCCTAACATCAAAGACATCCAAGACATCCAAGATTGTGATGCGGGTTGTGTTTTGGCCGCTGATTCCGATGATGTTGATGTCATTCGCCCAAAATCACATAGATCAAAAAATGTTACATGGCTTTGAAAAGATGAACATCCAGTCTGAGCGTGTTTCAAGAATGTCTGGCTCTAACATCTAAAGGTTCCCATTCCTTAATTTGGAGTTGTTTGGAATCCCCTATTTCGAGGCATTCCCAATGTTATAAGAAATCGCCATGATCTCATACCTGATGCTGTCGCGAAAAAGAATCCCCAGAAAACTAACTATTTGGAAATCAAAAGATCAACTGATATGGTACAATGTGAGGCCCCCAAGATATAAGTTGGCTTAGATTCGCCCCAGTAACTAGTTCGTTATTTGCATACCATAAACCATAGTTATTGGAGTTTTTTGAACCAACTTAGCTATCGTGGCCGGGGGCCTCACATTGTATAGGGAATATTGGTGGAATTTCATGGTTTCTATGACCAGCTCCATGCGGTGGATCCCTGGATCCCAATGGATCCAGTTGGAAACAGCCGCAGGACAGACAATCGCGAACAATACCTGCAGAATAAGCACAGATCTCAGATCTCAGATCTCAGCTAAACTGGGGCATCCCAGCTGGAAAGTGCTTAACAACCAATAAAAAAAACAAAATAAAAATATTTTAACGCAGTTGTTTGTAGGGTATACCCCAGATACATATATATATATACAAATTATAATATAATATAACATAATATAATATAATACATATATAATACAATATAATATAATGTAGTATAACATAGCATAGCATAATATTATATGATATCACATAATATAACATAACAATCATGTGTAATATTAGACAATATATAATATAATATAGTATAATATGGTATAATACAATATAATATAGTATGATAGAATATAGTATAATTTGATATTTTATGTTTGTTATATATATATATATATATCCAATATGGGCTATAAACCATGGGATGCACATGGGATTATGATCCCACCTGATCGTTTTCCCAGTGGCTGTGGCCGAGACCTTGCCAGCTGACACCTGGTGTTTCCCAAACAGTTTGATTGAGATATTTGAATTCCCCTATTTTTTCAGACTTTTTCAGATTTAGATTGAGATATTTGATTGAGATATTTGGTGTTTCTACACTAGATTATCCTTCTCAGACTTTTTACTACTCTTTTTACTACTCCATTTAAGCCAATTATAGTTGAATTGTGTTAATTTGTGTTTCAAAATGCAAGTTTCTAATTCCCTGATCTTCCAGAATTCAACCATGATTGTTTTGAAACTTATTGACTGACTATTCAAAAACCGATGTTTGAACGGGACGCAGATGACAGCGCACTGTTGGATGCTTCCATCGGTTCCATTCCCCCACCACTTGACCAACTTTCCATCGATTCACATCCGAAGATGACAGTCTATCGGAATTTGTTCTTTTGTTTTGTTCTTTTCACATCCTTTATACCAAAATAAAGGCCAGAATCATGTGTATATATATGTATATGGAATTATATGGATAGATACTGTACATCAGACTTTTGCCTACATGTGAGTTTCAGACACACCCACATATCATATCAAGTTGATTATATCAATTAAATGCAATTGATTTCCATGAATGTTCCATGAATATTCCATGAATATTGCATTAGTATCCCATTGATATGCCATAATCCCTGAGATCCCATTGCTATGCCATTAATATGACATGCAAAATCCAAGAAATCCCATGAATTTGACCATGGCTAAGCCGGGTTCCAGGCCGACTCTCTTAGAACAGGAGTCCCAAAGGCGTCTTGGCGGAGAGATCGGAGAGATGTTCAGATCCGGCTGGCAATACCCGGAACGTCAAACGTGGAAAATCCCCGAAGTAAATGGAGGTTTCAATGGGAAGTTCCTCTTTTTTAATGGGGAACTTTCCATCTTTCCATTACCATTATCAATGTTTGATTAAAATGTTATTAACTGTTTTTTTTTTTTTTAAATACCATTCATGGAGCTTTAAATGCAATATTCATCGAACTGGGGGATTTTCTAGCCACGTCCATGAAGAACGCCGGGCTTTTTGGGGATGATGAACTAACCATATTTCGATGAGATGGGAACGTCCGGGGTATTTTTAATGGCTCAAGTGGGATACATGACCTAAATATGTTGGCCCAAAACCATTAGACTTAGACTGTTTTTTTTTTTTCGGGATAATGCCTGAGATATACTGTTAGCAGGGGAGCTGGGCGCCAAGCAGTAAATACATGGATACATAATCAAAAAAAATACTTAGCAAACTCTGGAGTTACGGACAAATGTCAGGGGTTAGTTTTTTTAGCTCACACATACATCATAGATTACACAATACATGACATACATATATATTAATATTATATTATATATATACTATATTATTATATTATATTGTGTATATATATATAATAGTGAAGTTCCCAGTTGGAAATGGTTGGCACAGAATCCATGTCGAGTGCGGGGATGGTATGTGCTTTTAACCCATCGCACATCGCACATTGAAAAGATGGGGGATTTTTTGCGCTGAGGATGTAGACCTAGCACATCCAACTTGAAGATGTGTCGGTGGCAAAAATCACTCCATAAAACACCAGTTACTCACCAGTTACCCTCTGGTTATGTCAAAATAGCTATTGAAAATGGCCATAGAAATAGTGAGTTTTCCCATTAAAAAATGGTGATTTTCCATAGTTATGTTAGTTTACCAGAGGGTACTAACGAGTTGCTGACCAGTTGCTGACCAGTTCCCATTCGTGAGATGATCCTCGTGGCTCTGAGGCACGGACACCAGTCAGAGACCTCCAGTTTCATGGGCGGAGAAACCTCTGAGGAAGCCGCAGCAGCTCGGTGATGTCAGGGGAGCTTCATTTAAGTCTAACTGTTTAAATATACCCTCTGGTAAATAAACATAGACCCTGAAAATAACCCATTTTTAGTGGAAACTAATCTTCCAAGTCCTATTTGCCAGGGTCTATGTTAATTTACCAGAGGGTAGATATTTACTTAAAAAGAAAACGTCTGCAAAAAGATATAGAACAGGTGAAGTCTAAAAGTTCTGTATATATATATATATTTACATATAGTTAGTAGAATTTACTTTTTGGATATGCATTATTTAAAAGTCGCTATAACATAAATAGAACAGGTAAGTATCTAGATATCTATAGAATAGATACAAAATACGTTAGATATTTAGATACTTAACTGTCACAGGGAAGCTTAACTGTTTTGAATAGAATTTATCATGGGTTCATATAGGTATATAATCCCTATATCCCATTATGATATACCAGTCTCCCATTATAGATATCTTATTGGGAAATCATATGATCTACTCATTTATATCTTAACACTGTTAATTGCTAGGATTATATTAAAACCATATAGATAATTTGAAGATATTTGAACTAACTTGTTTTTTTTGTCTATTCATGTCTACTGAATCCTATGTTTTGCTAAGGACAGCAGCTCCTCAGAGGCCTCGGCGGAGTATGGCTGGAAGTTTGTGTGATATCTGTATATATAATTATATATATATATATATGTATAATTATTCATAATGATGTATAGTTGAATGAAACATAGACCCAGACCAGACATTGGTTTGGGCCACAAGTTGAGACCCTGCGGAGACAGGATTGGGCTTTCAAGGATCATTCTATGCTTCTAATTCCTCTGGGTGTCCACTGACAGAACTTGAATCATCCTGAATCCAAAATTCTCAGTCTTCCTGAGATTGCTCTGTGATACATTATATTATATATATACCTATATCTATATATGTAATGTCCCCATGTGCAAAGCTCTTCATGTTCTGTGACAGTGGACGTGTCATGTTCTTTCCCCATTGGTGGGCAAACACCCCCAAGGTATCCTATTGAAACCTGGAGTAATTTTTTTTTTTTTTTTTTTTAATGGTGGTTTAAACAAGAAAAATGGATATCTAAAACAACACCAGAACGCGGATAGAATTGGATATACTGGGGTTTCCTACAACGGGAGATCGCCTGGCATCATCCAACAGATTCATCATTTGAGTCATGCTTGGTCGTCCCATAGGGATGATTCTCTAATTTATAGCTATGAAAATTATGATCGTATCCCATAAACTATCATATTTTATTGATGGATACTTATTATTTCACTTTTCCAACGCGTTTTTATATATATATATATTAATAAGGTATATTAATTTATTGATACTTACTATTTCACTTTTTCTTATTATAACATATATATATATATATATTGTAGTATTCATTTGTTTGGATTCTGGATATCCAATGTGGGATCTGCCGTCACCCGTTGTGGTCACCCGCCCAGAATCTGAAAAGCGCAGGCTGCGTCACAGAGCCGATTGCTTCCGCAAGGACGAGAAGGCCGAGCCCTCGCGGGGAGTTCAGGGATTCAGGAGCTCTCACGATGAGTAAGGTGTTAACATGTGGTTCATGTGTAATATTAATGTTAACAGTGTGTTAATAGTGGTTAATATATATATATAGGTATAATAATAGTGAATATAGGTTTTTTTAATTGTGGTTACCCTATGGTAAATTAAGAGTACCCTGAACATCACCAATTTTTAGTGGAAACTAATCTTCCAAGGCCTATCTGGCAGGGTCTATGTTAATTTACTGGAGGGTACTAGTGGTTACCCTCTGGTAAAGTAAGATAGCTATGGAAAACCACCATTTTGGCAGTTAAATCAACTACAAATTGCAATTTTCAATAGCTTTTTGTTAAATTTCCAGTGGTTAGATGCGGTTATGTAACAGACTTTGCTCTATAAATGCGTGTATATAGAATATAATATAAATAATGTGTGTATACATAATATAATATACATCTTACATGTGTTTGTCAATGTTTATCAGTTGCAGATAGTTACAGAGATGTTTTCCTAGATCTGTGTGGATCAGCCTAGAGTCTGGATTCCAAGAAATGGGCAGAACAGGCTCTAGTGGGGATGTTCATGATGTACCACGGTGACGAAATCATGAGTATCACTGTGATAAACAATCCACGTGTGATATAATAATTTGGAAAATAGGAACTACATTATTATTGAAATGAAGACTTTTTTGTTTAACCACCGTGACAAATCAGCCATTTGCAATTGATCTGAGGTTATGGTAGGACTCTCATGGCAAAGGTACACCGAGGTACCCATTTTTTTCCAGTTCCCCTCTCTAAGGCAACTTCTATCCAGGACCGAAAAGCCTGAGAAAGCAGTTTATTGTAATACCGTCGATAGAAATTGGTACCCTCTGGTAAATTAACATAGACCCTGGCAGATAGGGGTTGGAAGACTAGTTTCCATTAAAAAAATGAGATTTTCAGGGTCTATGTTAATTTACCAGGGTGTAAAACCCAGCTAAAATAATGGTGAGAAATGACTTTTCTATCCTGTTGGGGATTGCTGTCATCGGATGTCATCGGTTTGGAAGATCACCGATGGCCACTGATGTGTCTCAAAGATTCTCAGAGGTCATTGCTAAGCAACAAACCCTGTGTCAAGCATGGCTGGATTGAATTGTCCCCTATGAAAACCCTCTGGTAAACTCACAGTTTGCTATTGAAAATGGCCATTTATAGTGAGTTTTCCCATTAAAAATGGTGATTTTCCATAGCAAAATGTTACTTTACCAGAGGGTAAAATTAGAAACCGATGATTATCCCAGCGAACGAGCGAAACCTCCATTTGCTTCGGGGATTTTCCACATAGCCTTTGTTTCCAGGTACGGTGCGCGTGTCCGAAAACGACCGTCCGGACGTCTCAGTAGAGCACAGAGATATTCCAAGTCCTCCAAGACTTTCTTGGGAAAGCCTTGCACGAAGCATGGAAAACGGGAGTTTACGTTGTAGATCCTCTAAATCTAACATGGAATGCCAAACATGTTGTCTTGAGAATGTATTTTATTCTTGGATATGGCCATAGATGTGGGTTCCATGTGAGTCTTGGTGAATGGTAGGATAGATTGGCCAAAAATGGGGAAATATCATACAGCAAAAGAAATACAGGGTATCTCAGACTAGAATGATGTATTGGATATGATATGTGGATACTTCATGACTTGACAGACTTGATTGGATTGGTTTAAGGGAAAATTTACAGGAAACCATAGATTTTCCCATTAAATATGGGGCTTTCCTGCAGATTTTCCCTTAAACCAATCCATTGAAGATTGGAACAAAGGGGAGACCCTTCACTGGCCCTTCATGGATACAGATCCGAATCGGATCTGCTGGATGTTCATCCCCATGTCGAAAATCAGAACGTTTTCGACGTGTCAAGTCATTTTTGTTCGCAAAAGATTGGAGGGCTTCTCCTTGATCTACCAAAATAAGTACGCTTGGTTCACTTGGTTCCCAAAAGAGCTTGAATTTTGCCACACGCACACACAGGTTGACTTCTCATGAGTTTGAATTTCACTTGCATTTTTGAACCTTACATCACAATCCATTCTTTGCATCCGAATTTGACTCACAGCCAAAGCCTTGGCGCCCAGGATTTGTAGATGACCCAACCTTAATGAAATCACGTGTTAATTCATCGGCACTCCATATCCGATTGTGTCATATCCCTGGATATTCCAAAAACACAGCAGGAACTGAGATATTCCCTCAGAGCCTCACAGTCCTGGTCACTGAACCGGCTTGCTAACAAAGGTGGTCAGCCAATGTCAGCGAAACCTGTTTGCAAAAAACACCTGGCATCAACCTTCAAAAGCGAATATAACATAATATAACCCTGGTGCAGCTTGATCAAAGGATTTTTCTAAGGTTTTACCATGCTTCCGGAACCAAAACAGGACGGTGAACGCTGCATTGTTTTCTTAAACCAATTCTCGATCGCTTGGCGGTCGACCGCTTGTTTTGCTGGCCGTAAGGTGGCAAGATCTCTGGAAACAAATATGCACTGGGCAAGATGTACCCTCTGGTAAACGTTTACATAACTATGGAACATCACCATTTCTAATGGGAAAATCCACTATAAATTGCCATTTTCAATAGCTATGTTAAATTACCAGAGGGTAACTGCTGCAGCGTCTTCCGCTACTCCTTCAAATCTTTGAGCTCGACTGCCAACAAGGCCTACGCTGTGTGCAGCAACTTGTTCTCAAGTCTGCAGCAAAGCCACAAGACTGGTCCTACGTGAAAGAAATCGCAGGACAAAACCAACCCAAAAACAATATTTGGAAATATTTGGAAAACACATAACATATATATTCATATAATTCCATGTATCAACAGAAACATATCAAAACCCATGGTTTTTCCTATGGGTTTTCCCATGGGTTTTCCTACATCCATCAACCCCCCCATGGTTGGCGGTGAATTCCCAACCATCGAGGTCCGTGGACCTCTTCCCCATGGCCTCCACGGACTGTGTCGGTGTGGCCTCCGATAGGCCCCGTGAGTGATCGTGATTGAAGCGGACGAAGATGGGCCAATTTTATATGGTTTTTAAGATGCTTTTGTCCGGATTTATTTTAACATTTATAACTTTATAACCTATAATTTATCAACCTATAATTTATAACCAACAAAATCAACAAAATATCTATTGTTTTTTTTGTTGGTTGATAGCTCCAAAAAGTATTGGATATGTGTTTTTTTTTGCAGATGGGTATGGGTCCGAATTGGGCAGGCCTCGATGTTTGATGCTAACAATGATCATAATATATCATAATATGCTTTTATAAAGAACATTGCTATTGGTTATTAATATTATCCATAATATATCCATAATATATCCATAATATATCCATAATATATCCATAATATATCCATAATATATCCATAATGTATCATAAAGAATGTCATGGTTATTGATGTTTTGATGACCATCCAGGTTTTTGTTTTGGTTAAGTTGGTTGATAGCTCCAGTTTTTTGGATTTCTGGTGCCGATTGCACAGTTGAACGGGCCAAGAAAGAGGCGAAAGAAATCAGTACTGGGGAAGCCCACTCTGTTCTTTGACGTAAAACAAAACAATAGAACCACTAGACTTTGAGGGATTCAATGGATTGGTTTCAGGGAAAATTTCTAGGGGCCCCCCTCCATATTTCTCCGTGGGAAATCCACGAGAAATACGCCCTACCGATTTTCCCAGAAATATCCATTGAGGGGATGCGATAGTGAGTTTTGTGCATAGCTATTTTCCAACCAGCTATGTTTGATCACTGGAGGGTAACCCATTATTTACTAGTATATTTCACTATTGACTATGGTCAACTATTATATTTTGTATCATGAACTATGATTAACATTGATTAACTATTATAAACTTATTGACTATGGTCAACTATTAATTAAGTATGATTATTATGAACAACCATTAACCAGCATGAACCACCATGAACCACCACTAACTATAAATTTAATTAACTCATACACCCGGAAGACCTTCCCTTGGAGATTTTTTCTCACGCCAGGTGTGAGTACCAATATGGCCTGAGGCGACCCAGGTGCGACGATGGGTGACAAAATAGTATTGTCCGTGTCATATTGACATATGGAGGTTTCCTAAGTCATAGGGGTACCCCCAGTTATCATCCATTTTAGTAGGAATTTCATTCAATAAACCATCCATTTGGGGATCCATTGATGGAACCCCCCATATTGATCTTTATAACATGACGTTAAGTTTTCTAAAGTGATCGAAACATGATCTAGTGTTTTTCTTCTCAAGATATCCAATGTGATCTCAAATGATCTAAACATGATCTTAAATGATCTAATATGATTTTAAATGCGTTAACAAAAATATCAGCTAAAATGGTCTAATTTTAAGGTCCTTGTGAGGAGTTCTAATTGTGATGACCGTTCATTTCATCTTTCATAGAATGGCCTTTTCCGGATGAAAGAATTTAGATCAACAACCATGTGGTATGGTTTTTCTCTGTGAAATCCCTTAGCAAACCATCATGAACAGTGGGAAGAAACAACACAAGTGAATATGTTAGGCATCAACATATCAGGATATGACCGGTTTTTTCAGGGTTTCAAACGAAGTGTGGGTATCACCGGGACAAGAATGTGGTAATCATACAACAAAAAGGTTGGGATTTGTGGCGACTACTTGTAGTTTGAGGTCACTTTTTTGCTCGGTCGCCAGGTTTCTGTATTGCCAAGAATTGACGGCGAATCTGGATGTTGGGAAAAACTGTGCTGTTTTTTTTGTATCAACAAATGAATTTGAACATGGATATAGCAACTGTATTTTTTTTGACAACCAGTAATCAAGTGATTAAGTGACTCAACTATGACCAAGTAGATGGGTGATTTTACTCTCTTCTTGTTACAAACATGACCAATGAGATTCAAATCATAGCTCTAAGTAGTCTGGTTGGTGGTTTGGAACATTTGAAAAATCAAATCCATTCACTTGGGAATGGAAAATCATCCCAACTGACGAACTTCGTCCATCATTTTTCAGAGGGGTAGGCTCAACCACCAACCAACCATTGTCAATTAAGCATTATTAACTATTATCAACCATTATCAACCACTATTATACCAACCACCAACCAGATCATTTCCGGCTGTTTGTGGATGGTTTAATGATCGTTTTCTCATATTTCTCCGCTCCTCCGCTCGAACTTAGTGGGATTCCCCAGCCATTTTATGGACTGACATGAACAAACTAACTATCCCCATAAATATCACCATTATATGACCATTGTATGACCATTATATGCATATATAATCATATATATACATGTATATATATAATCATATATATATACATGTATATATATATATATATGTATATTAATATATATATGATATATATATATATATTAATACATTAATATATATATATATTAATATATATATATTTATTAATATATATTAATATTTATTAATATATATTAATATATATATTAATATATATTAATATATATATACACCAAGAATCCATCATTTATATCAGGGATACTGATGTATTACATTTTAAATCTCCCACAAATATGCCATCAATATGACCCTTTTATCCGATTTTATCCCCATTTTATAGCACCAATTTGGGAAAAAACAATCCCATGGCGCTACCCAGGCGCGGTTGGAGGATGCGATTCGCTGCGATGCAACGATGCAACGCCACCACACGATAAAGCATGAGTTTTATGGTTTATCGAATTTTGCGGATGGATGAACAATCCTGTTTGGTATTGGTAATCAGCCCTTTTTAAAACCGGAGGGGGTTCTTAAACCTGTATATATTTAAAATTTTAACATTAAAGAATTAGATGAGATAATTTAAAAAACATGTCCATCCCAAAAACGTGTCACCAAAATTATATACTCTCCCATCAGAGTTTTCAGAATGGGGAGATGCAATAATGATAACCTTCTCTGGTAAACTAACATAGCTCTTGACAATTGCCATTTATAGTTGATTCACCAATTCAAATGGTGGTTTTTAATAGTTATGTTGGCTTACAATAGAGTAGATGACTTCGAAAATGGGGACTCTGGCAATTTTTCATCGGAAATGTTTCATCCCATAAGCTTTACGGTGCAGCCCAGAAGCTGTGGCAATGACGACTTGGGGGACAATTTCAGAAGGTGGCCACCTCCGGTTCGCTATAGTGGCTTTACAAAGCCCATTAATCAATGGCCATGCAACAGGAACCGATTGATTGGAGGTACCTACCATTTTTTGAAGGCCATTTTTTTCAGGCCTAAATTTCAGGGAAGATCCCAGCAAAATATGGCCAGAAATATGGTACGTTTACGTACCTCCATCTGTTCGGATCCTGAAGATCTCCCATTGAATTAACCAGTTCGATGGTTTTCTACATGTATCTACCATAAACCCAACAGTTACCCTCTGGTAATTTAACATAGCTATGGAAAATCACCATGATTAATGGGAAAATCCACTATAAATGGTCATTTTCAATAGCTATGTTAAATTACCAGAGGGTACAGTATTCTCGTGATAAACCATGTCACCATGTCACCATGAAACCTTGTGACCTTGTGACCTTGCACCATCGCATTTCTGAACTGGGGCACCACCATTTTTTTGTCCAGCAGTTGCACCCCCATTCTGACCGACATTACTGCGCGATACTGTTGGCACAGTATCCCTCGTTTTGTGGACGAACCACTCACATATGACATCTATAATTATATGGGTATGGATCAATACCTATTTTCATACCATTTTTAGGGGGATGAATATCCATAAATCCCAGTTATTTTGATGTGAACTACAGGGGTACAAGGTTTTGACACACTGCCATATAGATGGACGAAACACATGAAACTGGGCATCCGTGGCGACTGAATCCGGCGTCAGTTGTCGGAGTTGAATCCTGCGGGTTGAGCCGAAAAACGACGAATCGCTCAATTTGAAGCGACCAATTTGACATGTCAACGGCGTCAACGGAAACTGTTTCACCAAAAAAGGGCATTTGACATATTTGACTCCGGCATGTCAATTAAAAAAACCTCTCGATAGCACTGATAGCACGACCCACCTTTGTTCATGCGGGTTTCTGAAGAACTTGGAGCGATGCATTCCGGATCAAAAAATCTCGCCCAGGGCACCAGGATAAAAAGAAAGAACTAGTGACGATATACGAGTTGTTTTGAAACGCTTTGCTATCACGTGTATACTGTATGTGTGTGTGGTGATAGATGTGTGGTGCATTCTGTTTGACACAAATATATTGTTGTTTGATGTTGTTTGGCAGTGTACGTATATATATATGGAAACTGCGTTTACAAAAAAAATGACCTAAGATCAGTAGCTCTCGGTTTACCATCATCACAAAGCAATCGTGGATATCTCTGCACTTGTTTTGTTACTCTTTTTTGTTTGCAGCTTGTATCATCAAAAAAGGACATGTATGTCGTACATCGCATATACAACATACCAATCCCATATGTTCCATGGTGCTGGAATATTTACCAACATTTGCCCCAAAAATCAACCAAATGTAGGTAAATATACCAGCACCATGGAGCATCTGGGAATGTTTGTTGCCCAGGTATACCCTCTTTTGTACTTTAACATAGCCATTGAAAATGGCCATTCATAGTTGATGACTACCCATCAAACAAGTTGATTTTCCATAGTTATGTGGCAGTGGGTCAAAACCTTGTACCCCTGTAGTTCACATCAAAATAGCTGGGATTTATGGATGTTCATCCCCCTAAAAATGGTCCATACCCATGTTAGTTTACTAGAGTATATTTCTCCAGATCTTTTTTTTTATCATCGCATCTCGTCCCCTCGGTCCTAGGTGATCTATATTGGGGATGGTAGTAGATCATCCCATTCTGGTCATGGAGAAAGTTGTCGACACAAAATACGAAACATGTTTGATGGCTTTGTCCAAACATAGGCTACCAAAATCATCCAGAATACCTAGTGGTTTATCATATTTTATATATTTTGATATCATTTTATCATCATGTTCCTATTTTCACTGAATCAACATTGTTACTTTGGTATTCAACATGTTGAGACATGATGTTGAGAGAAAGGCCATATGACCCTGTTTTCAAAACCCCTGTTGGGTGACACCCACTTGTTGACTCTAGCAACAGGATGATGTCTTAAGCATAGGACGCCACATTTCTTATTTTTTATGATCCTGGTTATGAAGCAGAGCTTATCTAAAGTTAACGAATCATACTCGAGTTGATCAACATGCCACCCTTATTGTTTTTTTTCCAACTGCGGTGATTTTCCCGACTTGAGGATTAAAAAAAAACAGTTGATATACTCAAAAATAGCTGCAAGCATCGTTGGATCCCAAGATGTTACCGACCGGGAGAGACGGGATGTTTTGGGCGCTGCGCTATCGCGCTATCGGTCCAGAGGATGTCCGAAGATTTGACTACTGGAGGTTGGCAGCCACGCCCATCAGGTGCTCCACCTGCTCCACAAGAGAGGTTAGGTGTTTTTTGAGATAAGTTTCCAATGATAATGGTGATTTAATGATGATTTCAGGGCTTTATAACATTTTATAACTAGTACCCTCTGGTTATGACTAACGGTTAGCTATTAAAAAGGGCCATTTAGTTCGTGGATGACTACCCATGAAACATGGTGATTTTCCATAGTTACGTAAACGTTTACCAGAGGGTAAGTTTCCAATGATATAAGAATGAATATGGTTGACCATTATAATTATAAAAAAGAAAAACATATTGATATGTAATTATTTCCAATATGATATTATTTTTTTGGATACCCAAAGAACAGCACCAAACAGAGATAAAATGAAGTTTCAGCAGGTGTCTCTGGAGCTGTAGGGCATTGGTGTTTCGTTGTGACAAGGGACTCTGATGCCGGCGTGGATGTGAACTCACAGCATGGCCAGGTGGCAACCGTGTGTTGCCCATGGGACATCAAGCGACAGCATCGACTGGTTGTTTGACTAGCGAATACTAGCAACCTGACATCTAGGTCAAATATGATTGATCATATTGATCCATCTGTTTATACCAAACTCATTCAGGGACTTAGGGGCATGACTGGCAGGATGGTTGACAAATGGTGAAAGTTGCAAACTCCTGGCAGTCTTTGATCTCAAACTGTTGGAGCTGGCATGTGTCATCCTGGGCATCCTGGGTGTGAGAAGGGCAATGAAGGAAAGCTGATCTACTGGTTATGGGTTTCACTTTCTGAGTGAAATTGTGGTACTACTTTCTGAAGGTCTGTAGATATTCAGTAGATCAGAAAGTGGATATGGTATGTGAAGGTATCACAATGAGTAAGCTCATTGCAAGTCTCTGGATATCCTATAGCTGTTTCAAAAGGTGTAGGAAGGATGTGGAGTTCCGGCTGTGGTTGCAATTCTTGTGGGTCTGGTACCTGAAACTTGTGGGAAAACCACATTCCATCCTATCAAAACGGACTTTGGGGTGGTACCCCATTTTGGATACCCTCTGGTAAACTAACATGGCTATGGAAAATCACCATTTTCAATGGCAAAATCCACTATAAATGGCCATTTTCAATAGCTACGTTAAATTACCAGAGGGTACTTGGCACCAGAACTTTTTTATAGTCGATGCCTGTCAGGCTGTGCATGAAAATAATTTTCTTGTCGTACAGACATTTTGGGTGGTGGTTTTTGTCGGTTTATCACAGGTCATGGTTCACCAACTTCCACAAAGTCCGACAAACCACCAACCAGAGACTTCAATTTGTCGCCCTGAGGTTCAAATTTTCACTAAGGATCAACACCTGTTGACCTTTAAAGTCAAAGAGGCTTTTGGAGGCGAAACACTGCTGTAAACACTCCTTTGGTAGGTCCGGTCCTATGCGGAGGTGACGACCACCAGTCCTGTGGATGTCTTAAAAAATCAAGGCTTACCCCAAAGCTGGGTTTCTCATCTTTCAACCGCTACAACGGCATACGAGATCGTCCGTTTGTTTTTTTGGACTTCCTGTTGTTTTCAGAGGATTCAAATTTATCTCTTCTTACGATCAGTCTCCATTTTCGAGTCGTTTCAGCAGTGCTGCAGCCTTCTTGACAAGGATCAGGTGCTTGATCAGGCTCGTGCGTAGGCCGTTGCGTTGTTAGTAGGTTAGTAGGACTCAACTGCGAAGAGCAGAAAAAGGCAGCGCTGGAAAGAGTCTCGAAGCTGAGGATGTGGGTAGTGGGATGTGCGGGTCCCACCCAAGCTAGATTAGTAGGATATATTTTGTTGTCATTAACCTCTGGTAAACTCACAGTTTGCTATTGAAAATGGCCATATAGAAATCGTGGATTTACCCATTAAAAATGGTGATTTTTCATAGTTATGTAAACGTTTACCAGAGGGTAACCTGGGTTATGATCACCATTTTCCAATTGGGTTACCCCAAGTACTGTATCTGGATCTCCGGCGTATACCATGGCATACCAAACTAGGGTGTAGTTTCATTTGATGTGCTTACCTTCACAATCTACGTTTGTTTTCATGGCAGATCGATACGATTTGGGTTGGGCTTTCCATGGCATGTCCACCACTGAGGCCATGACGTAAATTGGTGCTTTGGAACATGGCTGGATTATGACTTTCCAGATCCATGTCAAATAGTCACATAATAGTGGTTAATAGATGTTAATAGTGGTTAATAGTGGTTAACAGTGGTTAATAGTGGTTAACAGTGGTTAATAGTGGTTAATAGTGG